TATGAGTAGACCTTTTATAGTACAAATGGTATACAATTTCTCTCAATGGGTCAACATAAAAATATTAACTGCTTTTACTTAGAAAAGTACGCAAACATTTACGTGATAACGTATATATTCTAATATTATCCAAACAAGGCAATATAAATTTAAAACCTTATATTTAACAATCATATTAATAATGACTTTTTATTTAATCAATACCACCAGTGTTGGATGGCTTTTTCATAATAGACAAGGAAAGGTCTATGAATAATGGCAAATACAGATTTATGTTTGATCAATTTTATAATGACCAAGTATTAATACAATCTTCATCATGTTGGTTGTAAGGCAGTTTCCTCCAAAACAGAGGATGGTAAGGGTAAATAAGTAAAAGACTAAAGTTTCTAACATTTGTATTATTCAGTGTTCTATATCCTACCACGCAGGTTTGTCTATTTACAATTGATCCTTGGTCCGAAGTCTGTGCCTCCAGGCTCGTATTCAGGGTTTGGCAGAGATTGGATCAGTTCTAGCATACGTCCTTATAGCTTGGTGGTCTGTGATATCCATGGCTCGACATACCCATGCAGGCACAACACATCATAATAGTGGTGTGAAATGTGTGAAAATAGTGTGAAATTTATGTGATGAAATACACACAAATTCACATCACAGTCGCAGTCAGAACTTGTAAAAATACTATAGTGTAAAATTTGTATGACGAAGTATGCATAAATTCACATCACAGTCAATAGTCCAAACTTAATGTATTGTCATTTTATGGTCTTAAGAGCCCTTTTCGGGACACCAGGTCATAGTTAGCAAAACCGAGACGTTTGACAATCCTTGAATTGATAAAATTAATTGATAATGATTGTAGAAAGTCAATGCTCCCTACTTCTACTTTGACCACCTAAACTACCAACTACGATTAGCAAGATGTGGGATTGTGTGTTGTGCCATGCTAATTTACCAAACACATATTAATCAGCACAAAGTACAATAACATATAATAGCAAGTTTTAATACTTTCACCCAGCATATTTATATCACACTTTGATGATTTATTCACTAATCTAAGTGTGTTAAATATTAAATGATCTCAAAGAGTTTTACTATAGAGTAAGCACACCTAGTAAAATCTACCATAAATTAAGATAAATACATTTGGAACCATTATTACACTCATGTTGCCGTGCATGAACTCACTAACTCATGTTAAAATGAGTTTCATATTTTAACAGTAGGATAGGAACACTAACTAAAATATTCAGTGATTGGTTCTGGTTATTTGTAACTATTGTTTCTATATTAGATGAATCACTGCTATATACTAGTTCAACCTGAATGACCCCTCTCTATAAATTCCCTAATGACCATGTTACCTCTGATGATCACTCTTGCTTTCTTGATATTTCTACCATAGAACTTTCACATTCTGATTCATCATTAGGTCTCTATAGAAATACCCACCTCTATATTTACACCCTCAGGTATATAGCACAATATCAACTTCCTTTGTTACTGAATTCTGTAATTTAGCATGGTCTCATTGTTTTTACGTATATGAAATACAGAAATTATGTTCATACAGTAATATAGACCTATAGTTTCCAGTAATAATTGAAAATAAACAAAAAAATGGCTTATTTAATAATTTATATGTTTTTGAAAATGAGTAAAGAACAACAGAGCTTGTAAGGTACAATACCAATGAGGGATGACAATGCATTACGTTGTATTGGTTTTCCAGGTTATTGTTTAACAAGAAACTCCTTGTCACATCAATTGCTCAACAAATAAAATCTTTTTCCATCACTATCGATGGTCATCGTTTTATCACTTTAACTAAATCAGTATATCTCAACATAAATAGCTCCCCATTATGATTAATTACTGTAAACACAATTAATATCTAAGAAAATACCCAAAACAATCCCAATAATTATAGCAAATTTCATTGTGTACTAAAATGCGATTGTTTGTAGCTACCCTTCACAATCACTTTCTCTTCTTTGCATAAAGTAGTTTTCATCTTTATTTTGTCTTTTCATTGAAGAGTACATTCACTACAAGAGTCTTATGTATACAAACAATTTATGTACGATATTCCAAGTAAAGGTTGTTCCAGCCCGAAAGTATGAAACACAGTCGGGGCCTTTAGAGTTTGCATTTTCATCTATTTTTTTTTTATTACAGTCTGAGGCTCTAACTAAATATCCAATTTTAATTGTAGAAAGTCAATGCTCCCTACTTCTACTTTGACCACCTAAACTACTAACTACGATTAGCAAGATGTGGGATTGTGTGTTGTGCCATGCTCATTTACCAAACACATATTAATCAGCACAAAGTACAATAACACATAATAATACTGTTCAGTGGATCTCTGCTGATACTAGTGATAGGGGTTGAGCTCATCACAACCCAAACTTTCAATCAAAGAGACATCGCATCCGACATTAACTTTAAGTCCTAAACTGAATATTATATTTTGCTTACATTCAGAGAGACAAACTGAATACCATCTAGCATGCCTTACTAATTTTAGGAATGAGCTTGTCACAACTAAAAAGAGAACCCAGTCTTTGCACCACACATAAACTGTACACAATTCATCACTTGGGACGAGAAGCAAGCCTACAACAATACTGTGGAGCAGGACTAATTTTAAATAGCAATTCCTAGTCCTCACATAAGGTTAAATATAATTTCGGCACGAAATATTTGCCTGATTCCTCGGTAATACATGTTTCAAAACCCTAAAATAGTTGAGTAAAAATCATATTTTTTCAATTTTTTACAAATATTTAGTTCAGACAAGGAAAAATCCACCAGAGGTCTCAAGACTACGTGTTTCTTGCCATTTAAAGGGATTCCAGCAACACATTATATTTATAAATATTTCAAACCAACTGGTACAAATCTCACATGATACAGAGATTAATGGGGATTGGAAATATTTTTCGAGTTGGACATTATTTGTATAGAAATATATAGAGAATGAGCATGATTTTTAAAAAGTGGCTTAAAATCTCCCCATGTTATTCTCATAGGTAAAACATAAAAAAAACACCCCTTTGCCCTATTCTATCTATTGGATTGAGATACGGCAAAACAGTAAATAAACATTTAGGCACATTACATTGGTTTCAATTTTTGATAAAAACAATAATACAGGGTACAAATTTAAAAATCTAAAATTTATATGAGTACCATTTGGTAAATAAATTAAATGGTTCCATTTGTATGACAATGTATTATAACATAATATCAGTGTTGGTAATGGTTACAAACTCCATGCATTACTGGTGTGACTTTATCGTTTTAAAATGCTTATTTCTAAAAAAAAACTGCTTGAGATACGGCAAAACAGTAAATAAACATTTAGGCACACTACATTGGTTTCAACTTTTGATAAAAAAAACAATAATACAACATAAAAATCAAATAGTATTTTAACATTATTTTAAATGAGTACAAATAAATCAAACTGTTATCATGAAAATGTTATAAGTCTATACTTGATTCCATTATTTTGAAAGTCCATTATAAATGTTCTAAATTTGTGATTTAATCACCAGAGGTTCCAATAACTCAAAAGAATTATATTATTTGATATGAGTACAAATAAATCAAACTGTTTTCATTAGTATGCCAATGCATTGTAATATAATATCAGCATTAGTAAATATAGGTCTCCTTTATTGTTTAAAAGTGCTTATATCTCAAAAAGGCTTGATATACAACAAAACGGCTAAAATTCTAGCCTACTACATGGGTTTCAACATAATAATACAGCATAAAAAGTTAAACAATTTCAAACCATTTACCAGTTTCTTTTGTATGTGAATATGTTATAATATAATTTCAACAATGACAATGGTTTCAAACTCCAGGTGTTGCCAGCACGGCAGTGTCGGGGGCGTGATGATGTTCAAAGTAATGCGCCTCCTATCACTTACACATTGGTCTAGCTTCTAATAAAAATATTTATAGCATGAAATTTATATATTAAAATTCTACATGAACTACTGTTTAATACAATATAAATATAATTTAATTTGTGCAAGTGTGTAATTATTAATTAAGGAAAATATAAAAAGGTTACTCTAAGTAAACATGAAAAAGTAAGTAAGCGAAGATTTTTTTTATTTTTCAGTCAGAGAAAAACTATCAGTGGGAAAAGTATAGATGATTAGATGTTACTCAATTTTTGTTTTAAACATTTTTCCATAAGACTTTTAGTTTGTCATCGCTGGGGATCAGAAGTGTGCCTATGGGTTAGGAGCACGCCCGAGTTCGCGTGCCGAGAGCCGGGTCTTTAAAAAAGTGGCCAAAAAAATGAGCCATTTTCCAGGCTTGTTTTTTTCAGTATTAATAACATTTTTTTAACCAAAAATGCCCCCATATAGCCTCTAAAACGCCAAAAATGGGGTAAAACCATCATATTTTACCTATTTGGGGTGTTTTTTCGCCAAAAAATTTCAAAAGTCCTGGGTCCAAAAACGCCGAAAGTGAGGTAAAACCATCATATTATATCTACTAGTGTGAGCTAGAACACTGGACGTCGTTATTGTCCAGCCAAACTGAGACGCATTGAAGCATTTGATCGCATGTTTTCCACCGCCAGTAGTAGTAAAGAGTGCTGAAACACCTGACGATATTATATTGCCTAGGCAACCTGATAGTAATAGTGCCAGAGTGTGATAGGAAACCAGAAGATGCTACTGTTTAAGAAATTTGTCGTGCATTGTTGGGTCAGCTGATCGGATTGTTGGCGCAAAAGTCCCAGAATATGACACCTGATAATATGCCGGGACACCTGATGACAATATTGGGATTGCCTAAGCAGCCTAAGATGCATTGTTGATCAGCTGATAGCACTATTGACGCTGCCAACACTGTCAGTGTAAAACACAAGTAGACGATTTTACACTAGCAGCCTGTGGTGCATTGTTGGATCAGCTGATCTCATTGTTGCCGCAGCCAGTAGTGTCAGTGTGTGCCGGACCACGGTACGGGTATGACGTGTCTAAGATGCTCCTTTTCGCCGCTCTCATAGCTGCCCTTTCAGTTACCGCATTGTCTTCTCAATTTCATGTATGTATTTTTGTAAACACATTTGTATATATGGTTTTCTTTATTGTACAAATAGTTTGCAGGACTGTAAATTGAGTTGCCGTCTGGTTTTGACAATTTTCTAATGTATGCAGCCTAATTTTGCAAAATACATTTAAATTATCTTTCTATCACAAGTTAGGAGTGGTAAACTAATAGATAATATGATTAAATACGATGGATTGCTATGAAAAAGAGCAATTCGGTCCAAAACTTACATTAAATTTGAGCTCAGACGAGCATACTGGAAATTGTTACGAGGTACAAAAATAGCTTTCATGTAAGTAAAATATATATCTTATGGCCAATGTTTTATGTAAACTATGAAACCAATAATGCCCAGTAGGATATCTGATGACAGTGTATAGTTTTGTTGTACAATTAATTTCAAAAAAACAAATCGGATTATAAGTGTCGTTAATTTTAGTTGGATAGGAGTTTTTAGAGGACTAGTCTAGGAGTTTTTTGTTTTTTTTTTTTACATATCATTGTTTTAAAATGTCATTTAAGGCAACCTCTGAGAATGTACAGTAATGCGCCAAATGTCGTACAATTTAAAACTCATAACCCATTATACTTAAAGTTATATTTTCAAAAGAGATGCTTAGTTTCTTAATAATATTTCTTGAAATATAGATTTACTAATACACTAATAACATTCATTAAATAAAAGTAGTTAGTTTACATTAGATTAGAATTACGCCGACACACCAACGTGCGTATTTTAAGTCGAAGATGAGTGAAGGATGAGAAATGGACGAAATGTATTGTGTAGAGATAAAGAAATAAAAATGTCTTTATTGGCCAGCATTTATCTGGTAAATATCCGAATAGAAAAAATCTTTTGTTATATGAAACTAAAAGCTTCGTTTCTTACTAAAACTCAGTCAGGACCAAGTCCAATGATAGAGGACAGCTGGGTCCAGCTTATAGAACGCATCCAATATATGTATACTTAAAATACACAAATTTGTCACTAAATCAGTAAGTCAATCGTTAAGTAAATACCTTAATTATTTTTTAAACCTATGAATTTTTATTCAATTTTACGAATAATTCCGTTAAATTAGAACATATTAACGGCATACACGATTTCGATTATTGGATAAAACTTCCTCTTGAAATAACCTTTGTAGTTTTTACGAGTAATTTCAAAACAGCTAAATCCATAATCCATGCTCCATAAGCGTGCAGGAATTTCATGTAGCCATTTGCAGAGTTCAAAAGTGACGCAAGGCAACATGCTGAAGAGTACGGGTCGAATCTATAACCACTTGTTTCTGCAGGAGATAAAACCGATGTTATTGCCTTCAGGTCAGAATCGAGATCGTGAGTTAGGTACCTAGGTTATGCACCTTTACACTGGGTTATGGTGTTGTAAGCATTGATGATATGCGAATTTGAATATAAAGTAGGTACTTGCTAACGGACTGATGTTGTCAAATAATACGTCTCAGATTAAGAACTGTTCTCAAGTCGTAAAAGACTACCGTACACCGAGGTAGGGCAAGCATGAATAGTTTAACAGATAAATTAATCATTGTCAAAAGAAAACTGTCATTTTGAATACAGCTATAGTACGTAAAATCTGAGGATTTTATTTTGTCCTGTTAAGTAGTTCTCTGATAACGACTGCATATTTTTTGTGTGGATTTTAAAGTGTCCACTTTACTCTTAGGTTATTGACAAAACCTGAAGGTTAGCAAAAGTGAATATGAAGACTGTCTTGTTTGGTAAACATTTGTTCAAATTGTTTAGGCCTAAATATATTTTAAAATTCAACAATAAAACGCACTCAATGTTAGTACAACCATAGACTGAGCAATGAATACAATACAATCATTGGACTAACCAACATAAGAGGGTACGTTTTAAGACAATGGTTTTATCCTTGGTACAACCATGTACAACGTAGTGAATCGTACCGTAAATATATCTTCAGCTGATAGTGTAGGAAGAAGAAAAATTGCTGAATGTTTTCCACAGACACGTCTCGCACACATTATGTTAGTAAAATAATTTAAAAAATCCCTTTCAACAAAGTGGCTAATTATTTTTGTGTTACCCCGAAACTAATATAATTGTAGAATAACTGAAATAAACAACAATCTTGTAGAAAATATAAGTAGCTTGTGGAAAACACTAAGTGTTATGCTATAACTTATGATGATGTGTTAGCTGAAAACCGACCAATGTGTTTGTTCAAAATCGTATATGTCATACTCATGTATTTTACTACCCTTAGTGAGAAGGTGTCGTCCCGGACATATTTCTGATTGAATTGCCTCTACACAGATCAACCCATTACATTCTATCAGCGATTGTTAGATGTAATGTGTCGATATTACAATCAAAATGTCTATTATTTTAAATTTTAGTTTATACGAACGATATCTTTAAACGTATTTTCGTAAAAAGCCCCGTTGTTGTGGAATATCACTTCAACGACGTAGACATGTGGCCACACTTCTTGCTCTTTAATTATTTCGCATCTGGACACCCTTGGTCGACCAAGAATGGATAATTGTGGTACAAGTAGGTAGTCCTGCACACCTGGTACTGTAGCCTACATTGAGTGGTACAATACTGTGTGGCACAGCTTCTTGTTGATAACTAAACATCCAACCATGTTTTGGCGAAGGCAATCTAAATACTATCTAAGCCCATCAATCAATACAGACTGCAATAAACACTGTCTGTGAGTTGTTATCATAATTTTATTTATTTTATTTGCCTTTTGAAGCTGCGCAAGCCAGGCTTCAGCCTAGGAAGTGAAAAGTCGAATACCGTTATCAATAATAATAATAATAATGCTGTATTATGTTCTACGTCAAATCCCCAATGATTGGTGAACCCTGAGATGATCAAAGGATTCGCTCGTTTTCGTTAATATGGTTAATATACACATTTGTTACTAAATATACGGAATTATAGACACACTAGCAGAGTACCCGTCCTTCTTACGGGGTTAGCATATAAGTACAAACTGCTTATTGCAGTTATACTCAAGCTTTGCGTTTGTAATGGACGTACATGTGAGGGACACAGTTCTAGTTCTACCACAATGTTCTACCACTTCACCTAAACATTAGAAAAAAATTCATTATTAAAAATTCGAAAAATTATCACAAATTATTCATGAAATTAAAAACATAAACATGACTGTAAACAATCCTACTTTGACAGTTCTCATTTTTTATCACAGATTTTTGCCGTTGCGAACCAAAAATTAAAAGTGAGAAGAAGAACATGTGTTAATTGTAAACAGTCAATGTGCAAATTATCTCATGTTGTATTAAAAATGGGTATAGTTTTGGATATTCATTTCAGAGTTCTGCCAGTTTTTGCCTAACTCTGTTCTGTAGAGTTTAAAGTAGCCTACACCTTATTGTCTACAAATTGGCTAAATAACTTAGGTACGGTACATTATAAAAGCTGACAGTCTTTTTACGTTGACTTAAATTGTAAGCTTACCATTTCCCGTCCATGGGCAGTTTGATAGTTAAAAATTAACCCGTTAAACTGGAATGGGACTGTTATGTAAATTGTGAGTATTTCAATTAGTTAATAATCTTTTAGTCGACTCTTTTAAAATAATCGGAAATTATGACTCCTATTAGTTTTTAAACAAGTCATTTGTTTATAGATAACTCCTGTACTTCTTTGCAATTGCTCGATTTCGAGCAACATGTACACTAGTATCTCTAATTGTTCTAAAGTTCAGTGATATAGTGTTGCAAAAATAATTATCTTTAATATCGTGATTATTTTCATTATCATCACCTAAGGTCATGAAGCATCGTCTCCCGCGATAACGGCAAAATCCTGAATATCTCCATCGTTCACGGAAACATTATCATCAGCGGCATAGGCTAATCCTGAAATCTCCTTAGGCTATCATCGTCGACTCAGTCAGATATTGTTAAAATAGGACTACCTAATTTACAGATAAATAATTTCCTGTGTAATAAAGTATCCTGTGTAAACTAGCAAAATCTGAAAATATAGTTCTTACATTTGGTTGTTTATAAACAATATTTACATCATATATGAAACTAGATACAGCTATAGTCTTGACGCTTGAGTGGACACCGCTATGGACCTTGCCGCTATGGGCCGATGGACTGATGAACTGATGGCCTCGCGTGTCTGATGGCACTGATGGCAGATCTGATGACCTCCGTGATATGACAGTCGTATCTGGGGCCACGCATTCGGCGGGATCCGCCCCCGCGGCCTTACCTGCCTCAGGTCTAGTGAAGAGATGGAAGTACCCTCCTACCTTGGCTCAAGTTGGCTGTAACCAGCAATAAGTTTCTTATAATGGGGTGGAAAATCTTAAATGTCTAAGCTTGCGGTGAATCATATAGTTAAACCAATTTGGGGTCAGGAGTCATATAGTTGGCTCAAATAGAGTTAGTAAATCAAACTGTTAGAAAACGAGCAGAAGTAAAACTGTCCCGGACCAGAGCCTAATAGCGTTCTAGGAGTAAGATGTAAAGGTGGGACATAAAAATCAATGACTGTATTTCACTAACATTAGGATGGCAAGTCTGACAGTTGGCCAAACCTAGTTTGGCTAGTAATATTGTTTGGCAAAATTAGGGGTAGCAATCATATAGAGTCGTCACAACTTGGAGAGGTAGACACATGATCGTCACAGCCTAGGATGGAAAATCATATAGTTGTCACAACTTGGAGAGGCAGGCAAGTGATGTGATCGTACAACTTAGGTTGGAAAATCATATGGTTGGCGCAGTTTTTTATGGGATTGTTCAAAAAATGATAAACATATTTACAACAAAAGCCCTGTCATGATTACTTCTATCATGAGACATAGGCAAAGGGAAAGATCCAATTCATGAGCCCATCATTGTTAAGGCTTGATTTATTACGTTCGTATAACCACTTATAAGTGAGCCTGATGTTTTAAGAATAATATAAACTAGATCAACGCTTTCGTGTAAAACATCCTCAACATCCACCCACTTAATTCAAATTCGCGTAAACCTCCACACCTTACAACAAGACAAGACCCCACTACACCATGTTATGTCTGTGCAAGTGAATGATGTCTTTCAATTGATTGTTCACTCTTAGGTTATCCCACGCAGGTCTCCCATATCTACTTCCAAGAAAGTGGTGAGGACCGATACAAATGCAACTAAAAGACCCGAATCGCATGTGATGCTGTAACAGCTCTCTCCTGCATTGTGCATTCGACAAAACGCCAAAATATCACAAAACAGTCCATCAGAGAGAGTGACTTGCACATTGACTCCTGGAGCATAGGGTAAAAACCCGTCGATAGACCTTCCATGTAAAAACACAATAGATATATGGAAGTGGCACATCACATCATCACGCACTGTGCCCAACATAACGAGCGATATCACATTGACCTTAGCCAAACAAGATGGCGCCCGCAGATTCCCGCCAAACGGGTGAAAAAGCGCGCCACACCGGTAACTTCTTGCTCTGTGTCTAAACTGCGTGAAATAACGGAGCAAGCGTAGTGGATCATCGTCACCTCCCGGTGTGTGGAGAGGTGAGAGAAATGCCAATAAGATACACTAACTAGCCATAATGTCTGTTTGGGTACATAAGCTAAACATAAGCTAAACCGGGTAGGATAATCGATGACATTTTGTTGTACATACCATGCGCCAAGTAAAAAAATGCCAAAACTTTTTGACTGTTTACCAAGTAGAGTAGACTCTTCTTCTTTCAAAAGCGTGTCTAAAAAAAATTCTGATCGATTGTGGGATATGGCATTTCAGTTTCAGGCTACAAATTCACATGTTATATACTTTCCTATTTTACCGAGGCTGGACAGACATGTCAGCACTAATGAGACCGTCATCCAGTAAGCTGTCCTCCAGTGTTTGCTTGGGACTGGTAGTACAACGCTTGAAAATCAAGACAGCGTAGAACCGAAATTTATGTGTTCTTCTTTGGTAAAGTTAGGTTTTAATCTGAAAATTGTAATGATTTTTGATCGAAGTTCATGCTGCAATTTAAATACGCATGGTGCAGTTTATTAGGGCTAGTGTCAGTTCAGACTATTGCAAAGAGTTGTTGTCTAACTCAGCCAAAATATTTTTCGGCTCACTTTTGGCCACTAGAATCTGGGAATGATTTTCCTACGATACATTCGTTATTAGTTTGCCCCACGTGTTTCCGTAGTGTTGTTTCCGTGTTTTATATGACTGTAATTGGTGTGTATGTATCTTTTGCAAGAACTGTAGTATAAGATGGTTATAAACATAAACACGTGAACAGCCTTAGTTTGTAAATATGAAATGGAATAGTGTTAAGTATATGCCTATAATACAAATTGTAAAACAACCTTTATTATTCCACAACAGCCAAGCGCGTCCAAGTCGAACAAACTACCAAACCCACACTCACACTAATATTTCACAACAACACTTTCTATCCGAACACCACAGTAAATCATTACGTTAACACCACACTAATACACATGTACACAAACACTGTGTGTGAAAGCGAGAGTTATAGGTCATTAGAGATGAATGCAGAGCTTTGCACAATGAAGGGCGCGGCAATGCTCGTGCGGTACCTGTGTGCTCTCCCATAAAATGTGGCTGTTGTCAATGTGTTTGAGTAGAGGATTGTTCGATTGTTTGTCCTTGTACAAAGTGTGTTAAAACTACCGATAAATGCTAAATCCTACCTTTTTAAAACGTGATAAAGTGTTATGCAGATATTGCAAGTTATGCTGAACATTCTTATTGAATAGGTATCACCAATTGTGTCATTATAGGACAGTCAAATACTATAACAATCATCATCGCTGACCCGCAAGTTTGTTATGCGATGCTGTATTTTCGAATTCATCTCAAAAATAGTTTACAGTACTATGTTCCTCTATTCCTAACTGGGTAACGACCTCTAGCTGTTAATCGATGTGTTATAGTTTTGGGGAATTTTCCTATTATTTTGTGAATTTTTTGAGGTTTTGAGGTGGCGAGATTATATTGAGTAGTATTGCAGCCATTCTTCACATCGATAGTTAAAAGCTGATAGTAAAAACAAACTACTACTGATACTGATACTAAAAACTGATACTAACTGATACTAAAAACAAAATGTTTAATTTTAAGGTTACAGTACTTTCACGACGTTTCGGGATCTGGAATCTGACTACGTTCTCGGGGAAGAAAGAACCTAAACATTACAAGATTAGTTTAAAAACCTAGCCAAAGCTGGGAAATACACACAGAGTAGAGACATTTAGTATTCAAAACAAGAAACAAAAAGCATGAAATACATAAAACAATTTTGCGTAGAATATGATAGTATCGAGAAATAGTTCCGATAGAAGATAAGGCGGGTGAACTGAATGTAGCCTACACGCTGAACAAGATGGCGCAAGCGCAAGACTGATAGGCCTACACACACACACACACCTTATTAGTATTGCTGGTATTGCCAACCTTACGAATCTATTTTTATTTAACAGATTTTACTATTGTATGAGTTAACTGCGCGGTTTGGTCTTTACGGAGGTGCAAGGCACTCGCCCAAATAATATAACCATAGACTTATAACACAAGAATATAATATTATATGAATTAGATAGAACAGTACTTTCATTGACAGTTTCATTTGCAGTAGTGATTTAAACATTACGTGTTAAGTATTGCGTGATTACACTGCGGTCAACGGTCGACCCAGAAAGGTTGGCGGAAGTGAGATGGTACTCTCAGGATAGCCAACATTAAAACACCGAAGTGTCGTGTAAATGGCGGGAAGGAGATCTGTAATCAGGCAAGGTTGAGTGAGGATGGAAAGAAGTAAAGAAGTGACACGGTGAACTCTAGAATCGGTTAAGTTCATTGTTCTCTGGCTGAGTAAAAATAGTTGTACAGTACAAAACTAGAAGAAGATTTTGGTGTTTTCTGTTACAGCTGATGCTGATACAGTTAACAATGGAATTACATGTGTTAAAGTTTTTTTTTATATGGTAATGTTTTGTCTGGGCTACTTCACTTGGTTAACTATATGACAAACATGTATGTAAAATGGCTACCTACTACAAAGCTATAGAAGGCGTTTTGTTAGTCGCCGTTTGCTCGAACTAGAGCTGTCGTGGCTGTTCAATGAGGCTTCCTTCTGCAACGTATGCAGTTACGACTAAAATAACCCTTTTTGAAGTACTTTTCAATGTTTAAAATTACGTTGTACAATGTTTTACTAGCACCCTTAACAGTGTGGTACAACAAAATGTCGTATGACTTCAAATTATATGATGTGTCACAGAGTTAGAGTCCACTTCTCCTCTGTGGTTGTGTACGCCTTGTAATATAATTCATTTCTATCTGTACATTGAAACATCTGTTCAAATGTTTAGAAATTGTTTTTGTTTACTTTGATGTTTTGGTTCATATTGTAAACTTTTATATCATGCTAGATTCTTTGTTCAATAAAGCCTAACTAAAGGTAATTTCGTTTATAATGGTTTTATTCATTCAATCTACAACACGCCTGTCACAATTAAGGCAGTGTGTTTAATCTATCGTTTAATCCATGCCTCAGTTTAGACCGGACTCTTCAACGTGAGTAGTACTGTATGTAACAGAGGTTGGACTTGTTACATTACCGTGTTCGCCAGTGGGCTCTGACACGATACCTACTCTTGTACCCTACAATCTCCAGCAACCACTCAGTCATTTAGGTGAAAAGCGATGTTACTTTCGTTCTTGCGGAGGTTCTCGAACTGGAGCGAGAAAACGTCGGTTCGTGTTTCGCGTTCTTGCTTTAAGACTGCTCTACTTACGTCTAGCAGACGTTTTGCTAATCACTGCAGCGTGGTTTTATACGGGGCTGCACTTTACTTGACGTCCTACACTCATTCGATTGTTTTTTTATATTCAATATTTTCATTCGATTGTTTCATTCGATATATCGTTTGGTTAGTTAGGTTAGGTTAACCTTACCTAACTAACCAAACGATATATCGAATGAAGCAATCGATTAATCGATATATCGATCGATATTTTCATTCGAATGAGTGTAGGACGTCAAGTAAAGTGCAGCCCTACATACCTTAATAAAACGTGCCTTCGAGTCTTCAGCTTATCTATAATGATGACAATTTTTCAAGTTGCGACCTGTTTTACTATTTGGTATTATGTGATAACAGTAATGTATAACGTAAATCGTGTTTTCTCTGTCATGTAAAAATCATTATTAATGTACGCATCATATTATTAGAAACTCTCTGATGACGTCATAAGAGGTTACTACTGTATCTTTATTTTACTTGTCATACAACACTTTTCAACAACGTGTTCCCGTTTTAGAGATATGAGTTGTTCCCTAGTTTATGGTTGCACCAACGAAACTCCCAAAAAGGCCGACTATGTAGGCTATTAGACAATCGATCCCAGGTAGTTTAGCGTAACTCGTCAAGAGAAAGAAGATTATAAAAAACAATCAAAAGTTATTACTTTGGCTATTCTTTTTTGTTTCAGGATCTCAGACAGCAACTAACAGAAGAGGAATGGCTGACTTTGATAGGGCAAGAGGAAACAGGTATTATTAAATTTTTAATTATTATTTTTTCTTTTGGAAACTGCAATAGTTAGTCAATTAATCTAACTCTGAATAAAATACAATATCCGTTATACTTATACAACAATAACTGTTCTGAATGTTTTTTACAGAATTCGATTACAGTTGTTTTAACGTACCTTTTAATTGATTGAACAAATTAAACAGGACACTTTTGAACCATGTAATACGTAATTCTATAGCGAATCCATTGATTATTAAAATACGCACACATACAAGGTCTGAAGGATTTTTGTTTGTGGGATTGACCCTCTGCCCTCATCGTATTACCACCATTGATAGTGAATAAAGCATGTCAAACTACTTACTCTACCCAAAAATCTGAAGTCCGTTTTAGGCTTTGTGTATTTTATGTTAGTGACTTTTAGCGTGCTGATGTCTGTAATTCTCTCTACAATGTAGGATAGTTTGTTTAAAGTTCCCACGGTCACTTCACACTACAGTATCTGTTAAAGTGTCGAATAAAACACATAACCTAATATAAACAAACCAGTTCCATCAGGTTGAAATTGTTTTGAGATTGGTTAAAAATAAACAACTAGTTGTAAACGAAATGCCTTCTCGAAAACTGGACGGAAGTTATCTCAAATCATCTTCATTCAGCTGCATAAATCTCCAAGGGAATAGATGTTTAACCAATTTTACAAGTAACGCCAATGATTGTATTTAAACATATGGGATTCTTCAGGTAGTTATCCTACAGCTGATTCGTGACCCTGAGGACCTTGTAATCAGCTGATTATGACTCAATATCGTGAGGTGTGCTGTCACACGCCACAGAGTGGTACACGCTTGGCAATGACCCACTCATTGTTTACACACATAATATGGGATAGTAGAAAAACTTGGAATTTTTGCTAAATTATTGACAATAAACCCAAGGATTTTGTTGAGAAATGATTAGAGGTTACGTTTCCATGAAGATATCTTTGCTGTAGTACTTTGTTAGTACATATTCTTACTTTTCTTTAGAGCCTGAATTTTCTTGACTATCCTTAGTGATATCGTAATTTTTTTGTGAATTCCCCTTGTAGCGAAATCGTTGTACATCGATGGTAGGGAATACGCTAGTATACCTAACCTATTACCTATAATGTGTACTCTTAAAAATCCTCCGATTTTGATTAAATTTGGTAACTACTTTAATCGACTACCGGAAAGGAATTTTATGGGGGTAAAAATAGTGGTTCCCATTTTTTATTCCAAAAACATAATAATATTTAATACTACAATTTATTTCGTTTTTGTGATATTTTTTAACATTGCATACCGAATTGATGCTTATTATAGCTTATAAGGAATACAGAATTTCTATCAGAGTAGAACACCTGCATTTTCCAGAAAAATATAGGGTACTCAAATCAATACTTTAGACAATACTTTGTTTAAGTATAAAGGTAGGCAAGGTAAAGGCTGTGGTCAGTAAGGGACAACGGAGTTTCCCTATGGTCTGTGGTGATAGTTTCGAAATGGATATGATTACTGTACTTCGTCACTTCATTTTAGAGACTGCCAACATAACTCTCTGCTGCTATCTATAGCGCTAATACAACATGGTTCAAATTATTAGACGACCTTGAAAATAATTGTCAGATTACTGTTGATTTGAAGTACTGTTTTTATTATTTATATGGGCCAATCTTTGCCGATGACACTATCGAACTTTTATCACAGTTTAAAGGAGTAGACAATAAACAAGTCTACTGCTTTAAATCTATGCTTTTATTAAAAAGCTAATGGTCTAAACTCTGATCTTGTTATCATCTAACGTCAAACTTTTGTTAGACAGCATCATCAATTGATAGTCCAATAAAAAATGGCATCTGGGTTCGGTAACGTTCTTGCATGTAAGTTAATCGAACCAGCGACCTTCAGATTTGGAGGCGAGGACTATGGCCACTCGACTGCCCAGGCAATTTAATGTTATTGCCATGTAGAATCATTTTTTATATACATAAACGATAACTTACCATAATGGATTTGTTATTGTTTGTAGGGACTTTTTTCATTAACCTTGTTTGGCCGAGTTCTCACAAGCCAGACGACCGTTCAAACTGTTTCACAACACAATAGACTTCCAAGTGTGAGAACAGTTCTTAACTGTAACTCTCGCTCTAAACTGCTAAGCATTGTGTAATATACAATTATTGAACGGCATTGTGCATTGTGAGATGTGAAAATACATTGCTGATTGATTATTAGGTATCTTGTAAAATAACTCATCAATATGTCGACCTCTAACTCTTTTACATCAATAAAACTTGTATTAGGCACCTTCGGAAATAACTCAACAATATTTTGACCGGTAACTTTTTGAGACAAATAAAACTATAAGAAAAACTAGTATACGCTATGGTTGACGTGTCTGGGCCTAGATCCACAACTTCCCATAAACTCGACAACGTTTCAGGGCATCTCAAAACAAAATAGGTAGACCCCAACTCTGGCGTGGATTCTCAAATATTCTAACTTGTGAGAATATAGGATAGGATAGAACATATTGCAAAGTAAACATATAAAAAAGTAATTAACCATCTGGATATTATTCTAACCCCTGTAACCTCTTATTCTCTACCTTAATTTCACACATAAGGAAAATTGCCATAATCGTGTAATACTATTAAAAAATTATATCAAATGGGATACTATGGTTATCGTCAATGTGTGGAACCAACGGAACGAGTAACCATGGTCGGCAGGCATCAATTCTTATATACGGAATTTTGTATATTGTGAGAACGGATTCTCTTAGCACATGACATGAAATGTACCCAATCGTGCTCGTGCAAACGTGCATAGGCTATAATACACGCACGTATCGTGTATCGTCAGCAAAGATTATCGTATGCTAGACTGGTATGCGGAAGGTACAAGTATATTTCTCACGTCGCTCACGGCGTTCCTAGGTCTGGACCAGAGTTTATAGCCTAGGTTCAGGTCAAGGTCACTTCTAGAGGCTCACCTCGACTTTGACCCGACGACATTGACTGTCCACCCATCCCCGAGGTTGTAATCTCAGGACACCCTAGATTTATGAAAGGTCGTATTTTGTGGCAAAGGATCAAATATAAACTTCATCGTCTTCTTGCGATTAAATATTAATGTTTTATAATATTTTTAAAATCATATTCCAACTATTATAAAAGTTAGTCAGCATCACTGAATCTTGGGAAGCAAATTCTGAAAAAATTAACTCTAGGGGGTGGATCCCAAATGGAAGTTACCTTTTTGGTTAATGGTTTCCATTCGTCACTCGGCTATAGAAGCTTTACAATGACACCTCATCAATCGTAAAAATCGGTTGAATAGGATGGTTGAAAAAGGGATACTAGAAAACACTTATTGTAATAAGTAAATCGATAAATAGACTTGAACACAACACTAGGGACGTGTTCTGGTAAAGGTGGTCTTAATTTCTCTTCGTTGCCTACATTAGTTTTTCAAAATTGTTGAAGGTTTAAATAGCTTCAAGTGAAATAAAAATGTAGAAATGTGTGAGAATGTTAAAGGGTAAAAATAATCTTGTATGTAACAGTAAATTTTTAAATGTTCATTTTAGCCTGGCAACTCAAGACCAAATCCAATATATAACTGGTTTATGCAGAATCAATTTAACTTATGAACGAAGCTATATTTCTTTTTTTATGCTAGTAGCTTTTTGTGTAAGGGAACACGGTCTGAAAATTTCTTGTTGCAAGGCAATGATCATTATTTACTAAGGTTAGTTGTTGGCCGTTAAGTCTGAACTATTTAGGGACAGGGTACTTTATCAAAATAAAAGAATGGCAACCCCTAAATTCGTATGTACATTTACGTTCGTTTGGTTTCTTGTAACTTATAAGACTAATAAAGAGCAAAAGAGATTCAATTACAGTACATTTTACATAACGTTAAAAGGTACAGCCATAGGTACATGTCATTAAACCACAACCACATACTGATTTTGATAACGATAATGTAGGGTTAGGATATTTCCAACGCAACAGAAAGTATCAATATAAACTATTTCAACCAACCGAGTACCCGATGAATGCAACTTCAGTAACTTCACAATGTTCTGCAACATTGCGTCCAAATATCCATAGAGAAATAACGCATCTTTGTCCACGCGCGTTCGTATTGTGTAGCAAGACACAGAGTAAGGAGAAAGGTTGCCGTTCGCTGTTAATTAAACTGTAATTGGGCTCAGTGGAATGTTCTTTCCGTCAGTTGGCTTTCCACGTCCGGTCAGTGTTATCAGATAAGACCTGCGCTCTGCTCTGCAATTCTGTATTGTTCAACAGGAACCGGAAGTTAAATGTCTCAGCACGTTAATTTGTTACTCTGTGTTACTTATGTGTCCTCTTGGTCTTTCTTAGCACAAAGAAGAGAATACTTATTCAGTTAATTCCCTGTGGTCTGGTCTTAGTAGGTGAAGTACCCCTAGGCCTAGACCTAACCTAAACTAACCTAACCCACTCTCTTAGATTTTACTCTCCTCTCCAGTAATGAACGAATGTTATATTCTGCTGAGTTCAAGGTCAATAGGTTTATGTGTAGGCTTTTAATTTTATGTAAGTAATAATAACCTGAGTTTTTCAAAGGCAAACTAGCTAAAAGTATAAGAAGCCTAGTACATAAAAGGATGGTAACATTAATATTCTTGTGAACCACTTTAAATACATTTCTATGGTTATTGGTTATGACACATTTTAATCAGTTAAGGAGTCATTATAGCTGTAGTAGCCACTTAGTCAGCACATTCTGCCACTGTAGAGGGCAAATGAGGTAATCATTATTCTTGATAAGGTGTGAAATGATGAAGAGAAAGTTGTACATTTAATGTAATCATGACAAAAACCCCATTGTTGTGAAGGATATGTATCAGAAGGATCTTCCCTAGACACTACTTGGTTTGCAGAGGGAATAGTTAACTGTTATTTGGAAAGTCACTATATTATATTTTATAATCTACTTGGAAGTGCCGGCCATATGCAATGTGGTAAAGTTGGCAGTTGACTCTGCTGTTCTTCATTGTCGAGATTTTAATTAATGATCCCGGTTTGAGAAACAACTGATAATTTCACTTCATTCGACAATCATCTTGTCTATTATTCAGCTTAAAATGTGCATCACCTAGCTGTTGTTGCTGTATAAGAAGGAATGGTAGGCCTAAAATGAATGACCTCATTCGAAATTTGTCATACCAGCTTGTTGGGCTGGTCAGTAACTTGTCAACAAAGATACACAGATAGATAAATTAACTTAATTAAGGTTTAAGTTTACCTTGTCAAAACAATCCATTTGTAGTATATAACTAGCTGTGTACCTTTTACAGACGGGATCTTGTAGTTAGTTGAAAACTTTTTATAATCAGAACAGCATTTGGTTTGCATATTTAGTGTGCATTTTTCCAGATGCAGGCAAAACTCCCTATACAGCACTGTTTCAGGGTCTGTTTCCCGGTTATCGAAACTCAAGTACAATTTGACACAGGCATACTCAGAATCTCCGGTTAGCAACCTGAATGATGCTTAGAAATTTAATTTTTGATTTAAAGTTACTCATTATTGCACTTGCAATTAATAAGATCCGTTATGTAAGACACAATGGTTTTAGTTTCACTTGGTTTTGGATTTTCTTAAACGTGATTGGAAATGGTTGCAGTTTTTGTAAACAACATTTAATGTACACAGTGATAGATAGAAAAAAATCATCTTTGTCCAAACAGCTGTTTGTTACTTCATAGATGTTGTATTCTTAAAACAGATGAGTATTTCATGAATGACATATTATATGGTAAACATTAAGAGAAAACTTGACAAAAATCATACAAAATTGGGTTTTTTGACCGTCCGTTATTTTATTTAAAAAGTAGTGAGGTCATATTTTAATGGCTAAAGACACTCTTCTTGCCAATCCAGTGAATACAAAAAGACTATTTGAATCCCGATCGATGATCTAGTTTTTCAGGAGAAGGTTGCGTAAAATGTCTTCTGGGCCATGACAGACAGACAGACGGAAATTGAAATAAGACTTGTTTCAGCTTCTTTAATACATAAAACGTAAAAATAAAAAATATATAATTCTGAGCAATGAACAGACAAAATTCTAATTTGATTCATATAGATTCACAGCCGTTTCGTTCTGTCGGAAAAAGAGCTCATCAGGTCAGAATGTTTAAAATATAATTCCTCAGGGTGGAGGCATCATTAGAATGGTGGAGGTATGATCTAGCACAAAAAACTTATAAATACTTCAATATTGATCGTTTTGACAGACATCAGGTAACTTAAACCTCTATAAGTCTATTTGCTTGCATATTATCGAGTGGCCATCAATATTGAAATTAAAAATAGATAATTCACACAATTTTTCCCAAACCTTGCTTTGATATTCATACCTTAAAATACGCAGGTACACAAAGTGTGCTGTAATATGCAATTTAAGTTATTAATTTAACTCTGTTCCAGGAGCCTTGTATGACATTGTCCACCCGGTACTGCCGTCCCGTCACCGCCGCACTCCCACCACTCCACACCAGCTGCTCTTGGATGCTCCTGTACTCCAGAAACAGTTCACCCTGGACCTCCAACCAGCAACTTCTCTCCTGGACCCAAGGTTTGCGCTGGTCAGCCGCTGGGGCAACCGGTCAGAGCAGCTACCCATGGACCTGGTAGAGACGGACTGTTACTTCACCAGTGAAGGGGAGGAGAGGGCAGCAGTCAGCGTCTGTGGAGGGGTGGTGAGTGGAGAGTAGTCTTCTTGAGAGTCTTCAACTCTGTGACTAAAATCTCATTTCTACTTAAATAATATTATCTCTGATTATTTAAGTACATAATATTATCTCTGACAACAAAGAAAGGGTGGATTAGGGAGGGTGCAAAAAGACTAAGGGGTGAATTAATGAAGTACAGGTAAGAGAAAAGGATGGGTTAAGAAATGTTAGGATCGGATTAAGAAAATGTAAACAAAAGGGATGGATTAGGAATGTTTGAAAAGAGAAAGGGATGGTTTAAGAATGTTTGAAAAGGGAAATGATGGTTTAAGAATGATTGGAAAGATAAAGGGTGGGTTATAAAGGGATTGATTAAAAAAGTGTACTGTACTTAGAATTTACTTATGTTTGGATATTTATTGTATAATAATGATTGTAGGCCTATTGGTTTGATATGTTTTATATGATATAAGCGCTGATTTATAAACAAAGTTTCCAATGTTCATTTTCAGAGAGGAGTAATTAAACCACCAGGAGATGAGTACTATGTGATAAACCCACTGCCAAAGAGGTTCACCAAAAGGTCGTCTGACCGATCTTCTTCTTCTCCTCATGTGATAGTCCGTAAACACATCAGTCATTTCCACACGGACCTAAACAGAGTGAGATCTTCTAGTCTGAACAACGGAGACTCGTTTTGTGGAGTGAGATCGGAGGTAAATGTGAAGGGGTTTTTATCAAGTTAGACACTTTAAATCTTGGAAATTGATGTAAAAAAGATTTTAAAACTATTTTGCATGAATCAAGCTAAAGCCAAAAGGCATAGGTGGCTACTAAAGGGGCCATGGTCTCTTCCCCCAAGAACTTATTATTATAAACAATATTAAAAATTTGATTTTATGATTTTGAAAATTGATTTGATATAAATACCAAACAAATACCCAATGCCTGCAATGCACAGATCTAATTGTGAAATGTTACCGAAATACTTATTGTTGGAGAGGGGGGAGTGAGGGAAACTCAAAATGTTTTGCAATCCCTCCGTTGAGTTCATAGGAGCCTCTTGGCATTCCAGAGCTGAAAACATTATGTACTATTAATTTTCATTGTAAAATATATTAACTTTAAATTTCAAAAAATTGTTCTTTGGTAGAATCTGGAGTTTCAGGGAAATTTTCCAACGAAGAAATCCTTGTGACTACTTTAGTATTGGGTTTTTGGTTTGTTGGGCATTAAGGAAGAGAAAAATTCCCCCCAAGGAAAGGGGGAGAGGGCATAAATATCTCTTGGGCCCATAGCATGTCTCATGCAAACTACAAGCCATCTTGCTTGTGACTTCTTCATTTAATTGTGTTGTCTAAGCGATGTATACATGCGTGCCAATAGAAGCATTACAGTGTTTCATCTTCAGTCTCAGTGCAAAGTAGAGATAGTAGTGATGTGGGTAAACAATTTTGTTCTGAAGGTGGAGGACTAACCTTTCTGGAACAGCAGCATCCTACATTGCCCAGAAAACATGGTTCAATCCAGAACTTACAAGAATTTTTTTTTTAATTTGAGTTTAAGGTCGCTTGTTGCAGGCAGTGCCTATCCATAACACAGGACGTGTGAGGCGAGCAATTAACTCACCTGTTCATGTAGAGACTGCTGTCTTTGTAGACAGTGACATGTTCAACCTCATGTCCAACAACTTCCCCACTGACACAGAGCGAGAGGTCGTCCGGTTTGTGTTAGCTATGGTTAATGCTGTGAGTAAACCAAATATCTTTGTAAGTACCTAATGGTTCAAATTTGAGTTTTGATGATTCAAATAAGTAACTGTAAGTGTTTTAATCTAATAATATCATTGCTTAGAACAGAACCTAAGGTACTTCGGTTCTAATCATCGTATCATAGGTTATAATTTTACAAAAAGACCTCTTGCGGTCTATTTGGAGTGGTTTTAAACTAAATTGGTGGGTTTACAAAACCACTTAAGAATTAAGCCTCGTACATTACAATATCACTGGTAATGGTTATAACAATGTCTGGATTGTGGATACACCTTTTACTGACAGCCAAAACCATAAAAAATAAGATTCTATAAACTCTACAGCTTTGAAACCTGAAATTCATAGCTCAATGACATCTGGCATCTGAGTCTGGAAACGATCTCCCTTGGATTCGAACCAGCGACCTTCAGATTTAAAGACGAGCACCATAACCACTCGGCTACCCAGACAATTAATTTTCTGTGACTTTAATACAAATTTTAAATCATACTCATTAGTTACAGGAAGGGGGTAGACCATCCTGTCCTACTTCACAACAATGCTGCAACTAACTACTACTTTATTAACTAAAAACCACTATGATTAAAAACTAATTATTTTAAGTCAGAATTTGTCACTATTAACACTCAAGCTGAGTTGACCATGCTTCATGAGTTTTAAAAAGATTTCAAACAAATATAAATACATCTGAAGCCGTTGACATTTAGATACTAATCCAGTCATATGTTCTGCTTTATCAAAGGAAATGATCAGATTCCAAATCTCACAGCATAGGAAGGCCTAGTGAAAACATCATAGGAAATTCCAAAAATTTTTTAAACAACACTCTCTCAGGCATAATTTGCAAAGTCCTAATTTTTGCTACAGGTGCAACTGTTATACCACGATCCGTCATTAGGACAGCCAGTTACATTTGTGATGAAGCGTTTAGAGATCCTACACACAGACCCGAGTGGCTTGGTCCGCTACCACGACATTGACAAGTTCCTTGGTAACTTCTGTGCATGGCAAAGGGAGGAGAACCCCGTAGATGATGCAGATCCTCTGCATTGGGACCATGCTCTCATACTCACTGGGCTTGACTTGTTTGTACGCAGCAAGAACGGAAAGTTCAGCAGCCAGGTCGTAGGTGAGTTGTTAAAACTGTGACTTGGATGGTTTTGTTTTACTGGCTAGGCCTACTTATTGAACTGGGCATTTTGACCAGATATCTTTCAGGCTAGAAAAGGCTGGATAGTTGGGAATTTATAGGTTTGGGGGTTCCATGTCTTTTTAGTAATGCCAATATTCTGCTATGTTGACAGATTGTGTTTAGGTAAAAATTGGGTTCTGAGTTAAACAGTTTAGCTTAGAAACAAGACTAACCCACGAATGATTGTTGCTGTAAGAAACTAAAAGTCAAATAGTTTTTAAATCATAAAGAAAAATATTGCAGTTAATTGATAAGCCAGAGCTCAAAAACTGGTTTCATATTCTTCTGCCATCTACCTATGAAGCCTAGAACCTTACTGTAACTTAACAGGATTTAATTAGCTCATTAAAATGGATCTTCTGTCTTCCGTTACAACATTTATAATTCCAATAAAACTACTGATTTAGATGTCCAATGAATAGCTATTCATAGCTTTCTCTTGATTCACTGAGAATACTTAAAGTATATGACATTTTATATTTATTTAAGAAAAATAGTTGTGTTAGTTGTGTTTGACTATTGTATACTAGCAAACACGTTGCTCAAAATCGAGCAATTGCAAAGAAGTAAAGTAGTTATTTAAAAACAAATAAAAGTCATCATAATTTCCGATGAGTTTAAAAGACTTTGAAATGAAAAATAACAGCAATTAAAATATACAGCTGATCAAAATGTAAACAATCATGTTCTTTATAAGGATAACATGGGAACTTTAACAGCCACTGGGGCAGAGCCCAAGGGACTTTTTCAAAAATGTAAGGTCAGTTTGCAAATCTACGCGACACGCTCTTTCCAATGAGACATCAATGGATAAAATCGGTTAAGAAATGGCGGAGGAGTTCAACCGACAAAGTTTCATGTAGCGTATTAATTATATAGATTGTTAAAAATCAGGGGCCTCGCACAACAATAGCTAGGCGCCGTCTCGAAGGGTTGGTTGTGAGTGCGTGGCACTATTCGGATTCCCCGAACACACCACAGACAGAGAATAGACACATGTCAATGGACTAAGTCAATAGGCTCTTTGACATCCACGTAAAACTTCCAGAGGGAGGTGTAAACAGCTTTATCTGGAGGTACAGTAGGCCTACTAGGATTCTCTAGAAGGTTCCTCGGCAAACCTATATAAGGGACCGAGGGATGATCAGAATTTTCCCGTGATTACAGAAGAAGATGATAATGTCTTCACAACCACAAATGAACATGATTTTTTCCGCGATCGCGCAAGTCGATGATGATATCTACAGAGCCGTGAGGGATGATCAGAATATTGATCAGGATATTTGGAAGAAAATGATTATGTCCACACGACCATGGGAAACAGTCAGAATTTTGCGGCGATCCCGGAAGGTGATGATGATCTCCACACAACTGCGGGATATGATTATCATTTTGCCGCAATCGCGGTAGACGATTACTATGTCCAGTGTCCACACGACTGTAAGAGACGATATAATGATTTCTACAATGATAATAAAAAACGGTGATTCTATAATGATTTCTAATGATTTCCACGAGGGATAATCAGAATTTTTCCACAACACCGCAAAACGACGATAATGTCCAAAAGACCGTGGAAAAAAATCAGTACTTTGCCTCATTCACGGTAGACGATGATAATCTCCTCACCAATCAATTGCAAATATAACCACAATTTTTTTTATTTTCCAATTTGTTGGTGCCCCCCAAAAAGCCAACTGCCTCGCGCCCTAGGCACGAGCCTACCTTGCCTATTTGTTAAATCAGCGATGGTTTAGGTAGGCTTAGTTAATAATTAGGTGAATGTAATTACTGTGTTTAAATAATATTAGTGTAAAATAAATACCCATTATTAAATCGCCAAGTTTTATTGTAAAGAACCTGTAAGCCCGCAACAATATTATATATTATATATGTGGTTATATATGTGGTTGACAGGCCTAGCACCAGTAGCTGGTATGTGTACCCCCACCAGCAGCTGTACAGTCAACGAGGGAAGACATTTTGAGAGTGTCTACGTTGTGGCACATGAAATAGGACATAAGTAAGCTCTAATTTTATCAGACACCTTGTACCAATCACTTTGAATAGTGCAAGTCAACTTGTATCCTATAGTTGTAAAATTCAATGCCTGTTTTTATGTGATTCATGTTGGTTTCATTTGAGTTTGCTAATGTTTATTAAACTCAAATTCTTTTCAAAAATGAAATAAAATTGGCCTCATGGATGTGAAGGACTTTTATTGATAAGTTAGAGTGAAGTCAACAATGTTCTACAAAGCATGTAAAATAGGCTATATATAGACACTGTTTTGAATATTGTACCTGTAATAGCTTCTACAACCTGAAATTACATGATTTACAACTTGTTTTTGAACACAGGGTGTACCACAAAGAAGTTTAGACGTTGATTTTATATCACTGGCCCATTTCTGCACTGAGGCTTTAACACTTTACACGATTTTTATAAATTAGGTTTGAAAAATTTTTTGTGAACATTTCAGCTTCCTTACATTTGTAGACACAAAATGGCAGCATATAGAAAGCTTTATGATCTTGCTTCCTGAAAAAATTGGTTCTTAATTTAATTGATTTATTATTTTCAAATTGTACAAGGGAAATTAAATTACTTTTTGGTACAGAAACAGTTAGACATTTTGTTTTACAACACTACCTACTAGTGTCTATTGACAAATGATTAGTCCACTTAGTTCTTGTCGGATTACTCACCGGTACAACTCCTGGATAGGAATATTGGAAAATGGCGGAAATTTTTGAAAAAAGTAGAAGTACCGGTAATTTGTTTTAAAAATTTCATTCAAAAATAGTTGAAGTTCCCCATTTAAGGTTTTCTCTAAATCTGACAGTTTTTAAAATACCAACGGTGAATACATTATTCTAAATATGATTTGTTTGTGTTTAGTCTAGGCATGAGACATGACGGCCCTCTAGCAGACAACAACTGTGACCCGACCAGCTACCTCATGTCCCCCACCCTGGGCAGTGGCAAGATAACATGGTCTGAGTGTAGCAGACATTACCTACTACAGTTTCTCAGGTTGGTAACTAGTAAGCTAGTCTAGGCATGAGACATGACGGCCCTCTAGCAGACAACAACTGTGACCCGACCATCAGCTACCTCATATCCCCCACCCTGGACAGTGGCAAGATAACATGGTCTGAGTGTAGCAGAGACACTGTTTCTCAGGCTGGTAACTATAAGCTAGTCTCGGCATGAGACATGACGGGCTTTGGCCACGATCGACAACAATAACGTTTCCATGATCACGGAAGACGGCAGTTATGTTTCCGAGACCATGATGATGATCAGTATTTTCATTCCTAGTATTTTGGTTGTGGGGAAGAGTAAGAAAAAAGATATATAAACATCTATTAATTGTTGTTTTGTAAACTCTGAACTTGTTTTAGGAGCCCACAGTCTCACTGCCTCATGGATCATAATGACCAAAGCCAACTTGATCATTCTAGCCACGGAGCTCTGCCTGGAGAGAGGTTCGATGCTGATCAGCAATGTACGTATTGTCACCACAAATTCTACCTTAATTTGAAGATGCTCATAAAGCCTAAACCGTATCCAACAAGGTTACTTTGAAACCAAACTTACATATTATAATTTAGTATGCAGAGGCGGATCCGGGACTTTATTGAGGGGGGGGGGCAGCACTTAAATTCTTACATATTGTTTGGAGAAAATTTTGCCATAGGTCATAGGTAGCCTATCAACGTAAATATGTAAACTTTATGTGGGTTCAAAATAAAACCCATTTTTGCAGTTGGGTCCGGTTTAATGGAACTTGTAAAAAACCTGAATTGGTGAAAACCTTTTATGTTTGTTGGTGGTTTTGCAATAATTTCGCCGTGATCATGGAATACGATAATCACCGCGATCACGGGGGACATGAAGATTTTGCGAAACACAATGATGATATCTTTGCGAATTGTAACCGTGGTAGGTGTTCAGGGTTTGTCCGGATCACATGAAACTATAATGAGTCTTGGCGTTCACGGGGATGTTCAAGATATTTCTGAAATCAAAAATTATTACATACTAGACCTACGTGATGGATAAACATTTTTTATATCTACGGGGGGGGGGCGCACGCCCCCTGGCTGGATCCACGACTACTAGTATGTCTCTTAGTTAAGTTTTTGAATGTTCTTTGAATATATATTACATTATCATCTTTTTCATTACCGGTACTGTTATCCTTTCTCATTCTTTACTCGACAGTTCCTTTCCTTACACCATCGGCCATCTTAATTCTCTTTTCTCCACACTTCTATTCACCTCATCTAACTAATTTCTTCATGTCTTCATCTTAGTCTCATTTCTCTTATTATTTTCATGGAACCTCTCTCTTCTTGTATTCTTTTTACACAACCAAACAATCTAAATCTTGCTTCTCTTTCCCTATTGAGGTGTCTTCCTGCCCTTCTTTTGATCCATCCTAAATACATCTCTCTAGTTTTGTTGTGCATGGCGGAAAAACTTTTGAATCAAAACACTTTAAAGCCTTTACATTTGGATTGCAATTTTTTCCAAGTTTGGGTTGAAGTTCTCTCCCTATTCAATTCAATGATAAGTTTCTTACCTTCATCACATTGTAGGTATGTTGAAGTACGGAGCTGGAAGCAGACATGCGTCTTCACAGCCTTTACATGACCTATGCCGAGATCTCCACTGCCATCGTGATAGATACACATGGACCTCCCATCCAGCTCTGGAAGGTACAACTTGTGGCACTAACAAGGTATATTTGCAACAAGACTCACATTATTGATCCTATCAAGTTTGATTTATTTATTTACAAAATGACAATAAGCAGCTCAAAAAGACTTCTTACGATTCATTATGAAGGAGGGCATAAAAATGGGTTGTTGAGGTATTAAGAGGGCTAATAATATATAAAGAAATACAGTAGAACCTCTTTAATCCGAACCCCTGTAATCCGAACGTCCACTAATCTGAACGCCTCATTGCTGTACTCTATACACAGTACAGTAGTTCTTTATTGTATACTGTATTTATTGATATACGCACCGTAATTATTTCAATTGTAATGTACAGTACTGTTTATTCTCTATGTTTACTACTGTATTAAATAAACACTGTATTTTACTTTATAAAGCATTTTTCACTTTTCCCTAGCTATTGTTATGTAAAAACAACAATATGTTCTGTAATCTGAACAATTCAATAGTCCGAACTACCGCCGGTCCCAATTAGTTCGGATTAAAGAGGTTCTCCTGTATATATAATATTAGTGTTTAGCAAAAATGTATTTTTTCTAAATGTGTTTTCTTTTAATAGTTTTACAGAATGAAAATAATTTATTCTTCTTATGGCTCGTCATTTTGTAGTAAATTCTAATAGAGCTGGATCTGGAACCTGAGTGTTCCTTTCAGTTTGTCCTGAGAAAATTCAGTAGCTTTTGATCCTTCAAAAATAAAATCTGATCTTTTGGCTTTTCATGATCCTCACTAAATCAACAGTTTTTCTTAGTCAGTATCAAAGCTATCATATCAGTCAATGCTCATTCTTATTGGCCTTAATATCCGTTCTCTGGCGTGTCGGTGTGCTATAAATCTAATCTTATCAAGACTGCTTTTTATTGTAGTTGAAATTGATGAATGAAGAAATGTATTGATATTAGGCATATGTACCCCACAGTGGTGCCGCAGTGGACGCTGTGTGCCCCGCAGTCTGTCCCAGCTGCAGGCGGGCCCAGTGTCAGGACAGTGGGGGCCCTGGGGGCCGTACTCGGAGTGTGCGTCCGGCTGTCTGCAGGGGGAGCCTAGTGGGCTGGGCCAAGGCAGCACAGGCATCATGTTTGCATACAGGCAATGTAACAGGTATAAATCTGTAAAGTAGAAATTGATGGATATAATTTTTAGAAAAACCTATGAGTCGTTCATATAATATATCAATACAGTTAATAGGCCTACAAAATATTTGTAATACTGTAAAAGAAATAATATCAAGTGACTATTAATAGGGCAAATACACAATGAGTCAATGGAGAGCATATTTTGCTTTTTACATGATTTACCATGTTGATCGGCTCAATTTCCTATCCGGTGTAGTAGCTGCACTTACTTGGTAGGTATGGACAAATATGTTTTTATATAAATTCTTTTCAAATTTTGAGTCTTCTTACTATCACAATAATTTGTATTTCTTTTCAGCCCACGACCAGAAAATGGAGGAAGTGGATGCGATGGAAGTGACAGAAAGTATCGCACTTGTCTTACAAACCAGGTAGAGAAGCTGTTTGTATTATTCACCTCCAGCATTTCCATGATAAGAAATTGTATACTCATATTAATATTATTAAATTTTGCAAAAACCACCCTTAAAAAGAGTTTTACATGTAGCCTTTTGAGGCAAAAAACTCATAGTATTTACGGTGTATTCTGGTATGAATGAATGCAGAATGATTGCTAAATTATCGTCGAATAGATTACAGAATAGGACCGAAACCAGTTCGAGTTGGGTGAAATGAGGGAAAGCGGCATCCAATCAGCTTTCAGAAAACTGTCCACTGTTACCAAGTTGTGCCATGCACTCAGTCTTTGACCGACAGCGGACTTGTATACAAGTGGAAAGATAGAGTAAGAATGCCAGGCTCTAAGTGAAAGTCAGCTCAACAGCCAAGAACGATAAGGCAACGTCGCATCCCCTACCTCTTCAAAGGCCAGTCCTATTCTGTTATCTATTCGACTATAAATAAGCTGACTAGAGTATCTTTCTTTGTAGGACCAGGAGCTAATCGTTACCCAAGACCATTTAATAAAAGACCCACAGCAAATGCTGGAAGCTGATGAAATCCCACCAGTAAAAATTTTAATTTTGATTTTAATTTTTTTTTTATTTAGTAAAGGTTTTTTCTTTTTTGGATTTTTTAGTTTGACTTTGTTTTTTAAAGTTATATGAAAAGTAAAATTACTCACTGGTTCAAACGGAAGATTTACTATATAGACTGTTCAGCTCTCTTGTTTAATGTTCCATCACAGTTCAGAACTTAACTGACTTTTTATTTATTGCATCATTTAACATCAAGTTTCAGATTAACATAAAATACTTAAAATTGAGTAATTTTATGAATTATTTTTGTACCTTAACTTAATGTAACTTTTGTCAAGTCATTGTCTTTGCCTAAACTTTGGTGTAAATAGACATTTTTCAAACTAATTCACGAATTTGTAAATTGATAAAATAGCTGATAGAATAAAAATTAATGTTGTTCAGTGTGAGAACATACCCAGGACGACTGTGAGAGACTTTGCTGACGAGGTTTGCCTAAGAGCTCGTGATGTGGACAGTGAGTTAGTTGGTACAGGACTACAGAAGATCAGTACTAACCGTGAGTTTATACTTTCAAAAATTATGTTTAGGGGACCACTACGATGTAGAATACAAGGAATCAACTAGAGCCTTCTGAAACTCTAGGAAATATTATTCTTTCATGTATCCATCTGGTGTTTTATTATAGTTTCTTTAGAAAATGTTTATTCAAAACTTCATATCTTTGGTTCAATGTTTATTGTACCCTGTGATACTTTTTATTCTCTTAGTAATGTTAGGAAAGAGAGAGATTTGTTTCAGTGCTGTCCTATTCAGCCTAACTATTTAAGTAATCTATTATATTAATTGTGTAAGCCGATTCTTTGCGTCAAAATGTTGGGCGACTGGGAGGTCATAGAACGACACTAGAGGGCTCAGTTAAATTAAAGGTCTCTATCCCGTGACAGCGGGAAAAAAGTGAAATTCCCAAAATAATAACACAAAATTAGATATAACGTAAAAGAAGCATTAGAAGCATTACTGCTGATTTTTGTTTACTTCAATACAGTTGATCATGGTTTATCACTAAGCCGGTAGGCAATATTAACATTTGATGATTTTCAAACCAGTCAATTTTGCAATGTACTAGGTCCTATATAAAACCAGGGATAACGTTACCTATAATAATTAAGAAGTACTATGACAAGTTCCAATGGGGGGAAGACAAGTTCCAATGGGCGGAAAAACAATATTGTTTGGAGATTTTAAACAGGTAGGCCTACTGTCTGTTTTTCTAAGCAAAAAAGGTTAAAATAATATAGCCGAGCATGTGGTTTATAATAGTAAAGGGAGCATCCAGATATAACAGTAAAACCTAGAGGTAGTTTCAGTTTCTTTACGTTTCTTAAACAAACCAAAAATATGCATGTCAATGCTGATGAAAAGTAATTTCGTGATTGGTTTCGATAGCCTAACTGGGTAATGGAGCCCTGACCATTTGCAAAAGAGGTAGGAATCAGCCGATGATTAGGCTTATTTTGATGGAATATGTAGTCAATTGCATCTTTAAGAGGAATAATACCCCATGAACTTACACTATAATTGTAGTTTTTTTTATGTTGGGAGTGTTGCTGAAGGTCTAAATTCCGGAAGGTCTAATTAGACCTTTGGCACACCATTTTGCATTTAGTACTTGTTGCTGAGGGTCTAAACAGGCAGTATGCCGAAGGTCTAAATCCCGAAAGGTCTTAAAGTACAGTCAATGCAGAAAACTTATCCACTGATACTGTTTTAGACCTTGCGGGAGTTAGACCTTGGGCACACAACCTAAATTTTGTAAATAAATGTTTATAAAATGAGAGTTTCTGAAGGTCTAAAAATGTGAGTCCCAGAAGGTCTAAAAATTTCTGAAGGCCCAAGTCCCAGAAGGTCTAAAATTGCGAGTCCCAGAAGGCCTAAAAATGCGGGCATTGCGTCGCCAGAGTTGAAGGCTAAACACACAGTCAATAACGTAACAACTTGTTGAGTATTCTCATTGATAGTTTTAGTAACTCTCACGTCTATTATTTTGCTAGCTCGTTATTACGAGTACGATGGAGATATTAAAATTAAAATAATCTCCATTTATAATAAATGGGGATTATTATACTATACCTATACCTATAACCATCTCTCCATTTCGGTTATAGGTATAGTGATAGGTAACTTTATAGATGGTTGCTTAAATCATTAATATCATGGAATGCTTAGCCCAGTAGTTTTAGTGATCACCTTAAAAACTGAAAAACTTACAACTTTTCAGTCCCAAGTGAGGACTGATTCAGCCCCATATTCCATTTTTAAGTACCCTATATCGACACCTGTGGCATCAATTTTGGTTTTTTGTAAGGCAACGGTCCACACGCTGGTCTTTTTACAAATTTTGATCTTTTTGCAAGATAGCATCATGCTAAATAGCCCAATGACAAATGCCATCTGGGTCTGGAAATTATCTCGTTTGGGAATAAACGATGACCTTCCAATTTGAAGGCGGTCACTATAACCGTTCAGCTATTGAGACAATTAATGTCATAAATTTGATATAATCTTCTGATGTCATCAGGCTAATTGAATTTCAATTTATGACACTATCAAAAGTTCAACATTTAATTGAAAACCAGGGTTTGGACCGTTCCAATACAAAACCATGGTGTATTCCAATGGCGTGAACAAACAAAATTTAAGAAATTGTTTCCAGCGGAGGAGGCGTGCACAGTTTGGTGTTACAAGCGCAACGGAGGCTCCAAGAGTAGAGGCTGGACGTTCCCAGATGGTACAGCTTGTCACACTCACCCTAGCAAACAGGCCATGTACTGCATCAGTGGCGTCTGTCAGGTAACATATATTTTCTAACCTGTACTCTAAATTACAAGGGTTCATTAGAAGTTCTCCTTTACCACAGGCTCTAAAGACAAAATTCTCCTTGTATTATTTGTATATTTTGTATTTTAACACATATTCAGTGATCCAATAACTCTTCAGGGGGACGGCTCACAAGGAGTCGGTCGAAAATCTTAAATGGAAGCATTTATAGGTCAATATGCACATCAAATGAAAGGTATTTTTTAGTAGAATACAATGCCGCAAACCGCACTTCCCTGAGGAGTAAGCGTATAATAGCAATACAAATTAAATGAATCTTTGAACAACTGTCATTCTTGGCTCGGTTGTCCGTTTGAGTTCAAATTTGCGGCAGTATATTCTGCTAGTAAAGACCTTTAATTTGATGTAAATGTCAACCTCTGCTTTTATTTAAAAAGATTTCCTCCTGACTCCTTGCGGGACGTCCCCATGAGATGACAGAAAATTGTTATTTCCTAAAAAAAGTAGATTTTTAGGTGTTGTGTTGACATACCAAATCTTATTGATTTATCTGTATTTAACTGTTTTCGGACTTTATTACCACCCTGTATAATAGGACCGTATTTAGAACCAATGTGGCTCCCGGCCTAGAAGGATGAAACATTAATGTTAATCCTCCTAGCACCCAGCGGGTCACACCAGAGAGGGCCCTCTATGCTGATTTAACTAAATGAACTTGACAGTTTTTTAACGATCAAATCGACGAATTAACCTAGGTGGCTAGTAGGGCACTAGCCAATAAATAATACCATTCTTTCATTGATGCTAGAGAAGAATTTGCATTTAATTTAAGTTCTTACTATTAGAAGGCTGCACTTTAGATTTGTTTACTTCAAGTCAGGAAAAAATTTTACTTACCTATGGGCCTCAGGTCAAATCAGATTGGGTTGCTTTTGAAACTGTTAATTTTTATATAATGTTGATTTTCAAGCCGAGCAGAGCCCGGCCTACAAGCTTGATAGATCAAGCACAAAGTCAGAAAATCAAGCTCGAGCCGAGTTACTCAATACAATAATGCACAGTTAAAAGTTAAAGATTTTATGTCCGCGAGGATCACGCTCACGAAATTGAAAGATTAGGCCTACCGCTTTTGCCATGATCGTGGATATCGACGAGAACATTTCTCCGGGGGTGACGATGACGATGTCTCCACGGTCGCAGGAGATGTTCAATATTTTGCTGTGATTGCGGTAGAAGATAATGACGTTTCTTTTTCCGCAAGAGATATATCTAGGATTTTGCTGCAATTGTGGAAAAAATTATTTCCCCGTCACCCCGGGTCGCGGGAGATATTAGGGATTGGGCAGAGAACGAGGGAGACGATGATGTTGATATCTGATGATGTCATAGGTTTGGTTGCAATCACGGTAGACTATGATAGGCTGATGTTTATTTCATGACTACGGGAAGTATTCACGATTTTGCCGCGATCATGGAAGACGACGATGACGCCTCGGTGCCTCGGGAGATGCCGTGTCAAGCTTAAGAGCAAGTTTAGGCGGTAATACATGTGATAATGTTTTAAAGATTATTGGGAGAGGGGGGCCCGCGGGCTCTTATCGCCGCCACTGACAACTTAGCTCCTTACTGTAGTATAGTCTGGGAAAAGCTTACATGCTTTAAGTTTATCATCCACAAAGGTCCAAAATTAATGTGTGAAATCATTCAAATGTTTTTGTGAATACTCTTTACAATTTGTTTACAGGAGTTCAGTTGTGAGAGAGGAGGAGAAGACAGCCACATGCTACTCTCCAGCGAGATGTGTCAAGTGTCTCGAGGCAAGAGACGGGAGGTGAGCGAGATTATTATGACTAGTTTAATTATCAAAATACACCAATGAACAAATTTTTTGATTTATAACAAGTCAAAAGTAGCAAAATGTCTAATTATTGCTTGCTACTCACAAAGAATGTGACCCTGTCAACTTCCACCCACGCTGTCCCCTGTTTGTGTAAGTGGGTATCTCTACCACCAGACTCTCCCACGGATAGGTAAACTCCTTATGAGTTGCACACCAGAACTAACACTGGTATACTCAATATTTTAGTTTTAAGCTTGTCAATCACACTGCAACACATGCCATACGGTATATATTTTTCAGCCGTTTTTGTTTTGAGTTACATTTTTGTTGAGATGATGGTTTTGTTGTCTTACTAATATTGACAGTTATTTTAAAATGTTGAAATTCTTCGATGGAACTCTTATTTTCTATAAGCTAAATCTTTATAAACCACCGCAGTTGGACATGTGTAACTTTGTTTGCAGGTAGCTGTAGGAGTTTGGCAGCCAATCAGTGACTGCTACTACAACTGTGTGTCTCCTGGCAGTGGAGTAAGGCTAGTGGAGCGCAGGTCTTGTCATCAGTGTAACTCTACAGCGAGCATCCAGCTGTGTAAGCAGGACACTATGGTAGGTCAGATATTATTCAACACACATATCCTCTTACATTTCGATGATTCCCAGGTATGGGTGTCTAAAACGTTTTACTCCCACAATGCACTTTTCTCTTCTTCACATCATCACCAGGGCCGTCCCTAGGGTTGGCGGCGCCCGGAGCAAACGTGGTTGTGGCGCCCCCTTCCTCCAATAATAGTCAGTCGCATTCGCATATTTTAATACTATGGTAATACAAATAGCAGCTGCGCGGCGCCCCCTCAACCGCGGCACCTGGGGCAGGTTGCCCCCCCCTTTGGATGGCCCTGATCATCACCTCATCTATTTACCATCTCTCAGGGACGTATTTCCCTAATGGCGGACAAGGTGGTTGCCGGGAGCCTCAGCCTAGGAGGGGGCCTCAAATATTTGTTTTTGATAAGCTTTTCTCACCGATAATCTGCGATTGCAGAAGACGAAGACGATGTCTCCAGGTACCCGCAATATGTCCACTATTCCTCCGCGGCCACATGAAAAATGTTATGAATCTTTTGCGGTCGGAGGAGTCGAAGATGACGTCTCTGCGCTGGCGCAAGACGTTCACTACTTCTCTACGGCTATGGGAGACGTTCATGATTCCACTGTGATCGGAGGAGACAAAGATGATGTCTCCGCGGTCGCGCAAGATGTTCCCTGTTTTCAGCAACCACAGCAGACATTTGACATTATGATTTAGCCGCGATCGCAAAAGACGAAGATGGTTTATTCACAATCGCGGGAGTATTGTGTGATGTCCAAATGTCACGACGTCATGCAATGCATCCGCAATCGCGCATGATGTTTACTATTTTGCAGTGAATTTAGAAGATGTTCACAATCCCTTCGTGACAGCGGCAGATGTCCAAGATTTTACTGTGACCTCTGAAGACGCTTGCAATTTGGCCGCGGTTACAGATTTTGCATAAGCTGATTTATAAGGGTGTGTGATGCATCGAAATTACGATTTGATTCGATTCGATGCATTAAACCGCGATTCGATTTAGTGGTGATAAAAAAAAAATATTCGACTCATGATCGGGAGTCAGTATCCATACACCAAAAACGCCTGCAGAAAGTCAATGCAATACCCGCAATACAGGAGCGTGTTGTTGCGTTTCCTTTGCGAAGGCTTTCTTATTTAATTAATTCTTTGCTTGTAAATATTGCTTTAATTGTTTTATAATTTTTTGTTTTTTACATTGCAAATGATAAGAAGTTTTGTTAAGTGTAAACAGTGTAAGACATGTTTTACTATTGTAAACATAGCCAAAACAAGTCACTCAAAAATCATTCTAAAAATATCTATTTTTGTAGGTCTGCTATCTCCTTGTAGTTTGTAGGTCATATTCTATCCTCTCATTTTATCAATGTAAACCAATTGAAAGTTCCAGTATAAATCTTGCAAATGTTTTTATTTGTTTACACCAAAACACATCTTTATTTGTAAAATCAATATTATAAAATAGGTACCTAACATGCTTAGCAATATGATTCTGTGAGTAAAAATTATGAAATAGGCAAGTAAAGCAGCTCACTGACATTTCCAGCAATACAGGTTCTTCTAATATATGATTGAAAATAAATATTTTTCACCTCAAATTCATATATTATGTCATGTGTATGAATAGGCCTAATACCACATCAACAAAAATTTGCATTACTCATATGTGGTGAATTTTAATTAGCCTATTGTTATTTCACTCCATTGATAAGTATGAATAGAAAAATACTGCTGTATTGCTTTGAATCGAGTTGTATCAATTCAAATCGAATATCTTTTGAATGGAATCGTTGCTTTGAATCAAAAAATTTTCAAAGCCTCTTTTTTCACCACACACTATCTCACTAATCTTTTCCCCACATCCCTCTTTACCGCTTCTCTCCACCATATTCGCCAGCTAGGCTTCTCCATATTCTCCTAACTTTCCACAGTCAGTTCCCCTTTTTCCGTCTTTTGCCATCATACCACCTTCCTTTCTCATCCCTCTTACATTCATCACATTCATCCACCATGTTCACCAACCAAAACTATGCCTCTCCATCCTCATTTATCTTTTCACAGATCTTCTTCCTCCATCATTTTTCATCTCACATGTCTCTTACATTTTTCTTATCCACATCCCTCTTTATCTATCTGCTATCTTAAAACCTTTGCCTCTCTATATTCTCCCACCACCTTCTTCCATTTTATACCTCTCTTCGCCTCGTCTCTCCACCTTCTTCGCCAACTAAGCTTCTCCAAACAATTTTCAGTTTATCTCCCATCACCATCCTTTCATCTCCACACCCCTCTATCCCTTTTCTACTGGGTCTTCCTCTCAGTCTCATTTTCTACCACCTACTACAAATCCTACACTATAGCTTGTATTTACATGAGTAGACATCAGGCTACCTCGGTTAATATATTTTAAGTGACCTGAGGCAGGTAACCTCGTGTGACTTAACTAATAGAGGAACATAATTTATTTTCCATAATGGAGGATACAAAATACTAAAGTAATATTTCTACTCAAATACATAAATTTCTACTCAAACGGCCTATTTGATCCAGGTATGCGGCAAAGTGAAATCAACGCTGGAGTACGCAACTGTGATCTGCACCCGGTACAGTGAGAGGGTACGTCGACTGTCTGGTATGGGGATGCAACTTTCACCTGTAGTAGGTGTGTGCATTGGGTAGCCTAGTCTGCCTAGTAGTTATAAATTAGCTTGGCAGATGAGCGTTCATATAGTGCTTAAAATGCCAGTAGCTTTTTCATCGTTCAAACTGGACCCAGCTATCCTTGATCATTGGGATATCATTAAATAATCCTGACGCGAAATATTTTTCTTGCTAGTTTCATTAACCTCAGTTGTTGGAAATCATTTGAAATTGCATTAACTATGTTTTCTTGAATGTTTTAAACATATTTCAACTTTGTACATCCTCTTGATCAAAATGTATCCACTGTACTTAGATGCTCAACATAGTTCTTAGTTCTTATATTCCTGGATCGGCTTCAGCATAGTCCTAAACATTTGTAAAAATAATCATGGTCTTCGGGTAACACGATTTTACAATATAGTTTATTTAGGGTCATTAATTAATAAACTTTGTTGATTAAAATCTATTGGATACAATTAACAAAGTAAAAAATTGAAATAAAGGGAACAAATACAATTATGTGTCAAATAGTGAAGAAATAAAGGCTTAAAAACTGTATCTTGGTAGAACTAAAGACACAAAAACTGCAATATAAATTGTAATTAAATAACTTAAGTGGTTAAGTGTAATAAGAATGTGAGGTAGGCTATCAGGATGTATTTTTATGTTTGGTGTTCATAATTTCTCCTTCTTTTAATTAATACAAATTAGGAATCAATCAACGTTTTATGGTTTATTATGTAACAGAGGACCCAGACCGAGCATGTCGTATAGCTTGTCAGGATGAGACTGTACTACATCGCTTCTACTTGGTGAATGGAGAGGACGGATGGTTTCCTTTTGGCACGGACTGTACCAAGGGAGACACTACCAAAAAGGCATTCTGTATACGAGGGAAATGCTTGGTAGGTTACATGTTATTCAGTATATTTTAGTTAGTTAGATTGTTACAATCAATAAATATGTCGGCCTTAGTCACTAACAAGACTACAAGATCGCACCACTCATCCTACATTCATCTCCATTCATACTTGGCTTAAAATACCTACTTTTTATGGTCGCCATTTCGTTGAAAACTGTTAAAGTATTATTTAGGATATCATTTGGAGTTTAATATATTGCCTTAAATAATTGTTATTCATATTCACTATAAAAGACAACTTAAAAATGATGCAATGAAATATTAAAGGTAGTCAGATCTGAAACATTCAGATTGATTTTGACTCTTCGCACTTTATTAAGTGTAACTTGGTTTTGTCTTAGGATCTATTTGCCGTGTTTATCTACAATGCTACCAAAATCAAATTAAAATATATATATATAGCTAGTTACTTTCTCCCCTATACCATAGTATATGGAGAAAGTATTGTTTTTGTCAAAATTTTCGAGTTTGAGTTTTGAGTTGGTATATTTGTTTTGGGTCCCCCTGGACCCAAAAAAGTGGTTTTTGAAGTAATGTCTGTGTGTGTGTGTGTGTGTGTGTGTCTGGATGTGTACAGAGCTAGGGACTACACCTGTGGTCCGATTTCAATGAAATTTGGTATGTAGGTTCTAATCCATGGTATTTCTAGGCGTTTTTTCATTTTTTTGAAATTTTGATTTTTAATGGGGATTTTCCCATAAAAACCCATAAAAAACCGGAAAAATCGAATTATCTTAAAAAATTACCCGAACGATTTTGATAAAAATTTAGTATGTTGTAGCCCTTTAAACTCTGAACAAAATGGTACAAATCCCATTTCTCTAAAAATTACGGTTCAAAAGTTATGGTAAATTATGTTATTTTCCCATAAAAACCCCATAAAATAACGAAAAATAGGATTTTAGAAAACGAATCCGGTTTTTATTTAACATAGTATGTTATGGTCCTTACAATTTTGATAGTTTATCAATTTTTTAGAAATTTGGTTTTTTAATGGGGATTTTCCCATAAAACCACATAAAATAACGTAAAAATAGGATTTTTCCAAAATCGGCCCGAACGATTTTGATAAAAATTTAGTATGTTATAGTCCTTTATATTCTGAACAAAATGGTACAAATCCCATTTCTGTAAAAATTACGGTTAAAAGTTATTGTAAATTATGTTATTTTTTCTCATAAAAACCCTATAAAAAACGCCAAACTCTGATTTTCACAAAAATGGCCCGAACGATTTTGATAACAATTTAGTATGTTATAGTCCTTTAAATTCTGATCAAAATTGTACAAATCCCATTTCCGTATATTTACTCTCACCACTTACACATGATAAAGGTTGTTGACAAACTTATGGGAGAAAGTATGTGTCAGAATGCTGATACCGTTTATTTTTATGAAAAACTGTACAAATAAAAAATCAAATCTGATTCTTAAAGATTTGATAACAAATCTATTGTTTGTAGATATTCAGATTCAGATTTAGATTTTAGCATTCAAATTTACTGGAAAGAGACATCCGGATTTGGATTAAATTTCACCATCATTTGGATTTGCCCCAGATAAGAATTTCAGAACCAATTTTAAAATTTGGTTTTGATAACAGTTGTGAAGTTGAGTGTCAGATTTGACCCAAACCCGATAAAATCCGTACAGCTATGATTTGGATTTGGTTTTCAATTGCTGTGACTTAGAAAAAATACTTTTCGGATACAGATTGTGTTCCTCTTTGGGTCTGATGACTGGAGTGTCTAATCAGAATCAATCACACCTTACCATCTTTTATATGTTTTACCGTCTTGTGAATTAACAGTATATGTGTAACTGTTTTAAGCGTGTTGTTGGAGGTATTTATATTTACTGTCTGTAATTTTAATGTACAACGCTGATCAAGGAGTTATTTAGACACAGCTCGACCCAAAATTTCTGGATTGGCTGAGCCCTGAACAACAGTTTTACAGATGATTCAGAATACAGATACAGATAATACAGTTACAATACTTTTTTGTAGGAGTTTGGTTCGGACGACACTCCGCTCCATGAGTCAGAGTACATTCTTCCCTCTACAGCTCGTGTGCCGGGGAGACATCGGAGAAGCTACGACCATTCCGTCACCATCACTGCAACATTGGACAACCAGACATTGGCGGAGATGGTGCAGTACGTTAACAGAACAGGTTTGTAACTGTGTAAAAAGTTTATAAATAAATATATTCTATTTAATATTATTCTTAACTAGCTGTGTACCCGTTCTACGCACGGGGATCTTATTGTATTCAGTAGAAACCTTCTTATATAAATAACAGCAGTTCTTTTGCATATTTTCAGATATGCTGGCCAAATTATTATACATAACTTCATTTTATGTTGTTTGTTGTTGTTCCGGATCGGTATGACAATCAATAAAATGTTAAATTACCTGTGTCTGCCGGTCGATCCTAATGTATCCTATTACAGGAGATGCATTTTGGCGAAATTAAATCGCCATCATCTTTCCAAGGTCTTGAGCTTCCCCATTAGGTGCATCTTGGAGTTTTTGAAGCATATACACGAACTGTACACTTATACATATGACGAATAAAACATAAATACACGGTAGGCCTACTTTTATTTTTACTATGGAGATGTAGACGCGTGTTGGTCGTGTGCCGAGTCTCGACTGAAAAGGCTTATTTAAAAAAATGTAAGTTTCCCAACAACACTGATTCAAGGTCTTTTCCCCAGTTATCAAAACTCAAGAGCAATTTTATACACAAAGAATCTCTATTTTCATTTACGGTTACCCTACAAATTATTGCACTTGCGATTAATTAAATCCGTTATGTAAGAAAAACGTTTTTAATCTTACTTGGTTTGGATTTGCTTTCAAAACCTGATCGGAATTGGTTACGGTATTTGTAAACAACATTCAATGTAAACATATCAGTGACAGCTAGAAAAAATAATCTTGATTCGAACAGCTGGCAGCTGTTCGTTATTTCATAGATGAATATGTGATAAACATTGGGAGAAAACTGTACAAAAAATCGCACAAAATTGGGTTTTTAAACGTCCGTCATTTTATTTACAAAGTAGTGACGCCATATTTTAATGGCTAAAGATAATCTCGCCAATCCAGTGAATACATTAAAATGATTTGGAACTTGATAGGTACTCTCGTTTTTCAGGAGAAGGCCGCGTAAAATGGCTCTTGGGCCATGACAGACAGGAAGACAGACAGACAGAAATTTAGATATTAAAACGTAAAAATAACCTAAAAGTTTATGATTCTGAGCAATGTACAGACAAAACTCTAATTTTATTTATATAGATAGAGAAGCTAATAGAGCTAATCAATTCTTGCCCAATATAACATAGCATCATCTTATGTTCAGCAGTTCAGGAGATAGACGACCATAATATCAAAATGGCATGCAGCTCCCCTGCATGGGGTTGGCTTTGTTATACAGGTTATTTATACACACTGCCATCTAAATATATAAAAGGCAAAGCCCTCACTGACTGACACACTCACTCACTCACTCACTCACTCATCACTAATTCTCCCACTTCCCATTTACCTATGAGGCTGAAATTCGGTACACCGATTCTTTGGGCATTAAATAGGAAAACTAAGTAGTTTTTATTCTGATCGGGCTTTCGGGCTCGGCCCCAGTGGCTCTGCAGTTTCCCATGTTAACCTTATGATTTTTTGTATTTAAAAGGAATTTCTTAACAGCTGATTCAATTAAACAAGTTGGTTCTGTTCTATGATGTTCAATAGCATTCAAGTTACAAGGATTACCAACAGGGTGCAGCACTATTATTTTTTTTAATTTATGACTACAGCCAATTTGCAACCAAAAGGTGAGTGAGCATAGCGAACGAACTTCAACCTGGAAGCGAGTTAGCGTAGCGAACGAGCTCCAACCTAAAGGTGAGTGAGCGTAGCGAACAAACTTCAACCAGGACGTGATTGAGCCATGTGAACGGGCTTCACTTGTGAAGTTAAACAGGGCAAAGCCTGCGGGTACAGCTAGTTATAAATAAATGCAACTGCTGGAAATTCAAATGGGACATGCTCCGGATCATTTGGCTAAGGTTGCTATGATTTACTTGGCAGTGGGATTGTGGATACTTATAAAACAAACACAGGGTGTAAAATATAGAAGGGAAACGTTCAGATATATGCCAAACATCAGAAGGAGACTTGAAGAAGATTAAGAGACAGACCATTATTGGACGCAGTTTGTCACAGGACATGGACATTTCAGAGCGAATTTGGGGAGATCTAACCTGGTGAAAGAGGAAGTGTGCAGATGCGGAGAAATAGACACCGCGACTCATGTATTAATGAATTGTCCACTTCAGAAGGCGAATAGGAGAGCACTGGAAGAAGTTTTAGATGGGAAAGGTCTGGAGATGAGAAAAGAAAACTTAATGAGAGACAAGGAAATAATTGAGACGTTTAGGAAAGTGACTAGGGAAATAGGAAGAAGCACATACAGGCTATAAATTGAAAAAGAAAATTAATTAAAACTCCCCAGTGAAGGGGAGAGGAAAGGTTAGAGGGAATCTCAATGTTCCCAATCGCTCAGGGTAGTAGGGGGTTGGCAGTCATGCTGTTAGGGTTTTGGGACACAGAATTTGTTCTTGGCCGAAGTTCGAGAAGATTTTTCACGGAAAGCGGCCTGGCAAATAAGTCCCAGACTTAAGTCAGGAGTGGTAGTGGCAACAAGGAGCTTTAGCCCCAGCACGAGACTGTAAAACCATATCACTCTATGACAAAGGGTAAAGGGTATAAATATATGGACCAGCTGTAGCCGTTTTTTCCATTCAGGTTAACTCTAGTTAGTAGTTGAATGAGCTGCTCTCAGGGAGTGCTACAGTCTAAATTTTACTTTCCACTCTTATTTTTTGATACTTTCATAATTGTGACAATTGACAGAAACAATCCAGTGGATCTAAAAAAACTGCAATTTTAATTCCAAAGGAATTAGAAGTATATTTCTATCCGTATTGTAAAAAGCAAAACAAAATGCCATTGGTTGATACAATGCCCTCCAGGTAAAAAAACTACTGAAGGTATCCTTTATACATCCTGTGCTGGATATCTTAAATTACATATAGCTGATAACTGGTATTATAAGTTTAATAATTATTTATTTTTTAATTATAAGTTAATTTATCTTTAACTAACTATTGCTTTTGAATTGTTTCAGGAGGCCAAGCAACACGTTTTATTGCTAATAGAACTGAAGTTCTTGATTTCAACAATCCGGTGGTTGCAGATATATCGGAATGGCTAAAGCTCAATGACATTGACTCAAGTTTTTCTTTATAGGGCTGTGCTCAAAATGTACATACTGTGTTGTGATATAAATGTTTTTCCTTATTTGCTAATTGTTGGATTTATTTATGAGTTCTTTCAACTTTCTACCTTCCACGAACAACCCAATTATGTTTCAACCAAATATACTTGACTGTCTTGGGGTTTGAATACATAGCTTCCTTCCTAATCTCCTTATCTTGAAACCAAAATTGTAGCTGTAAATAAAACTCCCTTTGTATTATTGACACATAATGTTCACTAATTGTCAAAATTATACCCCGTGACCTCTGTACACTGATCCTAAAACTATTAACTTCACAATCTGATAACTGATGAAAATCAGGGAGCTCTTTAAAAAGGTTCAGAGATAAATTGGGAAATTTTGTATTTTGAGGGTCAAATGAGAAAAACCAATTTTTACCCCATAACCCCCCCCCCCTCGGAAAACCCCGTTCCTACGGTCCGATCATGCTGGTTAGACAACTCATTCAAGTTTATCCAGTGGCAGTCCCAGGATTTAATTTTGGGGGGGGGGGAATGATCATTGAGGGGTCTGGGGGCATGTAACATCCCCCAGAAAAAGGGGGGTTCGGGGTCCTCCCCTGGAAAAATGTGGAATTTAAAGTCTAAAAACATATTTTTAAGATACATATTTGAGCTCTAAAATATGCTCAGGCTGATAGTATTTATGTTAGCTTATAAAATATAAAATATTTTGGGGGGGGGTATATCCCTCCCGCTCCCATCCCCTTCCTCTGGGACCGCCACTGAGTTTATCCCGCCTTACACCTTTAAACCAAATTTCATCAAAGTTGGACAAAAATTACTCATGTTATCGCGTTCACGGACATATATATAACTCATACTATGTATATATATCCCTCTCTCTCTCTATATATATATATATATAAGTTATTTAACTTATTTAGCCTATAGCCTCTTGATGGCGATGCAAAATTTTCAGTACGGCCGATATAAGTAATTAAGGTCAAAAATATCGAAATTCGGGTTTTTATCGATTGTTATACCTCATTTATCATAGAACAGGACAGTATCAGTTAAAGTATCAAATTGAAGACGTAAAAGGTCGAAATAAATCATTTTGTTAGCCTCTGCACGGTCTGAGAATAGGTACCTCTTGTCGCTCAATGTTATTTCACCATAACGACAGTAGGTCCCATTTCTAATATTCACTTTATAAACAGACTTTAGTCCAAAAGTGAATTGTCCTGCATTCTAGAGTAAATTTAGAGAACTACAACAAAGTTCAGTGTACGGAGAACAAATTATCTCACTAATTTTGAGGTCCCGGCAAGAGGTACCTTTTCTTATCTTATGGAGAAATAACATGGGGCCGACAAGAGGTCCCTTTTCTGAAATGCGATTTTTACGATGACATGTTTCAATAAAACAATTATTTAAATTAAAACTACTGGGAGTTAAGACAAAAATTGGTTTTGCCTCTAAAGAGTACATTATAAGCTTAAAAAGCTTTCTTCTGATACCAAAATTGTTTCTTAAATACAAAAAAAAACTGATTTTATGCGTATTTGAAATTTTCAAAATGGTTTTTCTCAAAATGACCCTTTTCTATTACAAAATTTCAAAGTCCTATTATAACTTTAACAAAAAAAAATTGTAGATGCATGGTATATTTCCACCAAGTGATTAGGAATTAATAAGGAATAAGGAATCCAAACTCAAAATAGAAAATTCCCGACAAGAGGTCCCTATTCGCTTTCCACATCACAGGTAATGGAATAGATGCGACAAGATGCAGAAGAAAAACCTACTATGGATGCATAAGAAGCTGACTTGAAGAGATTCCATCAAATAGGCCTAGTTCTCTGCCTATGCTATGATGTGACATTGACATTATAAAATTAGAGCAATGCAAAATGATAACAATGTAAAATAAGATACCTGTGTCTAAAGTCTAAGGAATGTCGGTCTTAGGCACTAACAAGACTACAAGATTGTGCCACTCATCTCCATTCTTACTTGGCTTAAAATACATACTTTGTATGTTCGCCATTTAATAATAAAGTATTAAAAGTTTTCCTAGAACGAAGTTACTCTTATTTATTTACAACAGTGCCTGGGGACCGAGCTTTGCTCGGGGAAAATCATTAGTCCACTCTGAAAGCAGTCTTAGTACTGTATTGGAGACACATAGATCCATTCCCAAACTCCACACGGCTCGCCTTTACTACGTCCTACACCATTTCCTATGTCATGGACCTGTTTTCCTCCCTTCCCATAGCATTTTAGGATTATAGATACCTTAATCTAATCGTCATAAACAGTTCCCACACACCGGACAGCTCGCCTTTGACTACATCCTTCACCACTTCCTACGTCGCGGACCTGTTTTCCTCCCTTCCCATAGAATTTTAGGATTGTAGAAACCTTAATCTAATCGTCATAAACAGTTCCCACACTCCGGACTACTCGCCTTGACTACTTCCTTCGCCACTTCCTACGTCGCGGACCTGTTTTCCTCCCTTTCCATAGCATTTTTGGATTGCAAATACTTTAATCTAATCATCATAAACAGTTCCAACACTCCGGCTACTCGCCTTGACTACTTCCTTCACCACTTCCTACGTCGCGGACCTGTTTTCCTCCCTTTCCACTTTCCATAGCATTTTTGGATTGCAAATACCTTAATCCAATCATCATAAACAGTTCCCACGCTCCAGACAGCTCACCTTGACTACTTCCTTCACCACTTCCTTCGTCACAGACCTGTTTCCCTCCCTTCCCATAGCATTTTAGGATTGCCCATACCCTTATCTAATCGTCATAAACAGTTCCCACGCTCCGGACTACTCGCTTTGACTACTTCCTTCACCACTTCCTACGTCAAGGACCTGTTTCCCTCCCTTCCCATAGCATTTTAGGATTGCCCATACCTTTATCTAATCGTCATAAACAGTTCCCACACTCCGGACAGCTCGCCTTGACTACTTCCTTAACACCTTCCTACGTCGCGGACCTGTTTTCCTTCCTTCCCATAGAATTTTAGGATTGCAGATACATTAATCTAATCGTCATAAACAGTTCCCACACTCCGGACTACTCGCCTTGACTACTTCCTTCACCACTTCCTACGTCGCAGACCTGTTTCCCTCCCTTCCCATAGCATTTTAGGATTGCAGATACCCTGATCTTATCGTAATAAACAGTCCCCACACTCCGGACTGCTCGCCTTTACTACTTCCTTCATCACTTCCTACGTCACGGACCTGTTTCCCTCCCTTCCCATAGCATTTCAGGATTGCCCATACCCTTATCCAATCATCATAAACAGTTCCCACACTCCGGACAGCTCGCCTTGACTACTTACTTAACACCTTCCATCGTCACGGACCTGTTTCCCTCCCTTCCCATAGCATTTTAGGATTGCCCATACCCTTATCTAATCGTCATGAACAGTTCCCACGCTCCGGACTACTCGCCTTGACTACTTCCTTCACCACTTCCTACGTCACGGACCTGTTTCCCTCCCTTCCTATAGCATTTTAGGATTGCCCATACCCTTATCTAATCGTCATAAACAGTTCCCACACTCCGGACAGCTCGCCTTGACTTCTTCCTTCACCACTTCCTACGTCGTGGACCTGTTTCCCTCCCTTCCCATAGCATTTTAGGATTGCCCATACCTTTATCTAATCGTCATAAACAGTTCCCACACTCCGGACAGCTCGCCTTGACTACTTCCTTAACACCTTCCTACGTCGCGGACCTGTTTTAGGATCTAAACAATCTCAAGTAAGCATGCAAGTAATTTATAACTGTTGTCATTCCTTTAATTCCTTGTTATATATTTTTTACAGAGAGCTTTATTTTAATGTTGCATTGTTAATAATTATTGTTAAGTTTCATAGATATTTCTTCATTTTTAAATCAGTATTACTAAAGATCATATTTATTTATCTATTATATTTATTCATATTAATACTAGTCATTTTAATTTCAAAGCAAGATTCTAGTTTACTGTTCCATGTTAAAAGTTGTTAAGTTTGATGGATATTTATTTATTGTTAAATCTGTATTACAAAAGATTTTATTTACAAATTTATTTATTATTTATTTATTATCTATTTATTAATATTATTAATAGTTTTTGCAAAGAATATGAATACCTAATATGAATCAGAATTTGAATGAAGAGTTAATAATGACTCAGTCTGAGTTACAAGTGTTTTTTGATCATGCAAATAATATTAATAACTATAACTTAATCTATGCTAATATCAGAAGTATGAGAAAAAATTTTAATTCTTTTGTTGCTGAAATAAGTAGTTTGAAACAAAAAATTCACTTGATTGTCCTCAGTGAAATTTGGATTGGTAGCGATGAGATAAATTTATATGCAATACCTGGTTACAATCTTTTCGCTAACTGCAACAATACTTACAGAGCAGGTGGTGTTTTATGTTTTGTTGATAACTCGATAGATTGTAAACAAATCACGTTATCTTGTAATATGTTATCAGCTGATGTTCTCGTACTAGATGTTAAATTGAACAAATCATATTTTAAGCTAGTCTGTTTATATAGATTACAACACGTGCATGAGAACTCTTTTTTGCTTGAACTTTCTGAACTTGTTTCTGAATTAAAAAACAACGTTATATTTATTGGAGATATAAATATTAACCTACTGGAGGAAAATGCAGTAACTCATGCTTACAATAGTACGTTAAATAATAATGGTTTTATATCTTTAATAAGCAAGCCAACCAGGATAACATTGAATTCGAAGACGCTCATTGACCATATATTTGTTAGAAATAGATTTATAAATGATTTTATCTGTGATGTTTTTGATCTAGGTATAACTGATCACTGTGTTTTAGGATTAAAGTTTAATAGATGTTCAGACAGAATTAATGATAGGCCTAATTGTCATGATAAAATACCAAGTAGGATCACAATAGACTATGATGTGGTTAAAAATAAAATACAAAGCATGGATTGGAAAGAGGTTTATGCCGAAAATGATGTAAATAAATGTTACGATAAGTTCCATGAAATCTTAACTAGTGTCATAAATGATAGTAATAGAATAGTTAATGTAGATTGTAAACTAAGTTAAGCCAAGTTATTAAGTCCTTGGATTACATTAAAGCTTCTAAGAAAAATAAATAAACGGAAAAAACTTTACAAAATTTCAAAAAAAAGGCCTTACGACATGGGATTTATAAATTATTTTAACAGGTTCTCTGTAAATTTAAAATTTGAAATCGATTTTGTAAAAAATGAATACTATTCAAAAAAATTAGAAAACTGTAAAGGTGATGTTTCCCAACAATGGAAAATAATAAATAATTTAACTGGGGGCAGCAAAGTAAAATGCATTGACCGGATTGAACTTGATGATGGGAAAACGATAACGGAACCTCAATCCATTGCTCAAGAAATCAACAGACATCTTATCTCTGTACAGTCAGGTCAACAAGGTACAATCCCTACCGAACCACTTCCTACTCATGTCTACAATGATTCCTTCTTCATAGTTCCTACCACAGTTGATGAAGTCAAGACAGTTGTCTATAGTTTGAAAAACAAAAAATCCACAGGTTTTGACCAGATTAATGTGAGTTTATTGAAACATATAATTGATGACATTGCGCCCGTTTTGGTCCACATAATAAATAATAGTTTTGTTAAAGGTGTTTTCCCAGAAAGTTTAAAGCTAAATTCAGTTGTTCCTATATTGAAAAAACCAAATTCATTACGATTAGATAACCTCAGACCAATTAGCCTTCTTTCTGTTTTTCTAAATTGATTGAAAAATTAATGTTATTAAGATTGACAAATTTTCTGAACAAATTACATTTTTTTAGCCATAAGCAGTTTGGATTTATAAAAGGCAGATCAACGGAAAGTGCATTATTAACTGTGACAGAGTTAATATTTAATGGCTTTAATTCAAATAAAAAAACCACAGGTCTCTTCATAGATTTCAAAAAAGCGTTTGACATGGTCAACCATGAGATTCTTATCAATAAGCTAGAGGCTGCAGGAATTAGAGGCATAGCTTTAAATTGGTTTCGTAGTTTTATTACAGGAAGAAAGCAGCAAGTTAAAATCAACAACAACATTAGCGATTCACTCATTGTTCAGACGGGTGTTCCCCAAGGGTCAACGACCTCTGCAACCCTGTTCCTAATATTCATTAACGATCTTCTTGAACTTGATTTTAAAGGAAATATAAATGCTTTTGCAGACGACATTGCTCTTTTTTACACTCAAAATGATACTGTTCTCCTTTCAGATTCAATCAACTACGATCTTTTATTACTCAGAAAATGGTGCTCCATAAACAAAATGCAAGTAAATGTTAGTAAGACAAAATATGTTAATTTTGACTTCTTTGGTTTTGACACCCCTTCTCCTTTAATTTTTCATTCCCCTACCTGCAATATCCACTTATGTACCTGCCAACCATTAGAAAAAGTTAAATCGATTAAATACTTGGGAGTTTTGCTTGATGAAAAACTAACTTTTGAACACCATATTTTAGAACTACACTCAAAATTAAGATCACAAATTAGAAAATTCTATTTTCTACGAAATTTTTGTAACACTTCACTTTTACGAACACTTTATTTTGCATTGATAAATTCAAGATTACAATATGCCTTGCCTTGCTGGGGAGGTACTTACAAAACATTATTAGAGAAGATTAGAACAACTCAAAATTTTTTCTTGCGAATAATTCTCAAAAAACCTAAACGAACTAGCTCTTTTCCATTATACCAACAGTTATGCATTCTACCAGTTCAACATCTTTTTATTTTTAAAGTCCTGAGATTGTTCTTCATCCGGAGCGGAAACAGAGAAAATATAATTCCAAATCATCCTTACAGTACAAGAAGTTTTGCAAATAAATCTATCAAATTACCCAAAGTAAACAAAACTTTTTTCAGACATTCATTTCAATACTTGGGTCCAAAATTTTACAATCAGCTTCCGCTTCATATTAAAAATACAACAAATTTCAAACACTTTTGTAAAAGAACAATCACTTGGCTTAGTTCTCAACAGGATGTAGGTTATCTTGCCAACTCTTTGGTATAAGATTGTGTTACTGTTACCTTATTTTATGTGTATTTTGTTAACACTTTCTTAGTCTAAGTTTTGCCCAGATGTTACAGCAGGCGGATAAAATATTTGTCATCTGATGCTAGGCTCAACAATTTATTATTTATTATGTATGATTAACCTTTTAACTGGCCACACTACTTGAAAAAGTGACCAGTTTACATTTCTCAACAATTATTATGTTTGTAAAGTGTTTTTTTATTATGGGAAATAAATTCATTTATTCATTTATTCATTTATTCGTTTTCCTTCCTTCCCATAGCTTTTTAGGATTGCAGATACCTTAATCTAATCGTCATAAACAGTTCCCACAATCCGGACTACTCGCCTTGACTATTTCCTTCACCACTTCCTACGTCGTGGACCTGTTTCCCTCCCTTCCCATAGCATTTTAGGATTGCAGATACCCTGATCTTATCGTAATAAACAGTCCCCACACTCCGGGCTGCTCGCCTTTACTACTTCCTTCGCAACTTCCTACGTCACGGACCTGTTTCCCTCCCTTCCCATAGCATTTTAGGGTTGCCCATACCCTTATCCAATCATCATAAACAGTTCCCACACTCCGGACAGCTCGCCTTGACTACTTCCTTAACACCTTCCTTCGTCACGGACCTGTTTCCCTCCCTTCCCATAGCATTTTAGGATTGCCCATACCCTTATCTAATCGTCATGAACAGTTCCCACGCTCCGGACTACTCGCCTTGACTACTTCCTTCACCACTTCCTACGTCACAGACCTGTTTCCCTCCCTTCCCATAGCATTTTAGGATTGCCCATACCTTTATCTAATCGTCATAAACAGTTCCCACACTCCGGACAGCTCGCCTTGACTACTTCCTTAACACCTTCCTACGTCGCGGACCTGTTTTCCTTCCTTCCCACATAGCATTTTAGGATTGCAGATACCTTAATCTAATCGTCATAAACAGTTCCCACACTCCGGACTACTCGCCTTGACTATTTCCTTCACCACTTCCTACGTCGTGGACCTGTTTCCCTCCCTTCCCATAGCATTTTAGGATTGCCCATACCTTTATCTAATCGTCATAAACAGTTCCCACACTCCGGACAGCTCGCCTTTACTACTTCCTTCGCCACTTCCTACGTCACGGACCTGTTTCCCTCCCTTCCCATAGCATTTTAGGATTGCCCATACCCTTATCTAATCGTAATAAACAGATCCCAGACTTCTCACTGCTACCCTTGACTACAATCATCTACAATGTATCGAGTAATCTTCAGTATAATCTTTGCTAAATGATGTTTTTCCTTTTGTACTGTATTTGTAATTTGCTAGTATACTGTGGGTAGTTGGCTTATTATGAACACATGCTACAACTTCAAGTCTTTTGTTTACTTTTCCTTGTTATTTAATTCAGCCAACAAGGTTACCTAGCAACCCATAAGACTAATGTTAAAAAAATGTGATTTTCAGTTTCATTTTTCTACGTAATTAGATTTTTGTTGGCAGTTCTAACTGCAGTAAACTCGTTTTTAGACCAGAATTAAACTATTTACAACATTTGAAGAAAATCGTCGGAACCGTTTTCGAGATCTTTGTGCAAGCAAGCATACATACATACATACATACATACAAGCAAACATTGCTCGTATTAGAGTATAGGATATTACCAAAATAACAATTACTTATTTATACACTTTAACCTATAAGAATATTACTTTATGTATATAATTTTTTAAGGATGTTAAAATGTTAACAATTCCTTAGTGTATGAAAAATTATATTATTAGAAAGTACTGTAAAATGGAACTTATGTTTTATTAGTCAAAGGTTTTATCTATGGTAAAATCAATAGAATATAGCCTCTTCACTACCGGAAACGGACACTAGATTTCTAATACTTTTGTGGTCTTTGGTGTTGCAAAGCTGTGTAAAAATTATGAAAAAGTCCAAGTAAAATAACTAATTAACTAATTAGATGTTTCGTACAATGGAGCTGCTTTGTATTGACATCACTAAAACATGCTAAAACGTAGGAAGTATCAAATTTAAACATTTATACTTAAAGTTATGGCTGGCTTTAAATTTATAACAATAGGCCTACGATCACTTACATACATATAACACAGAAAATGATCAAAGCTGGTATTGTTTTACATTTATTAAAATCAAAAGTGACCAACGAATAATAATATTGAGTAAATTATAATAAAACTAAGAATAAATGTGGTAAAAATGTATAAAATAATTTATTATATAGTAAAAGTTTTATATGTTTTGAACACTGAGGAATTCAAATCTAAATGCTGTCTGCTTCCATTTTCTAAGCAGGGGATGGAAGTTGTTATTGATCGATTCAATACAACAAAGCTATCTAACGCTATGAAGGGAGTGGGTGTTGTTAAACTCAAGTGAATCTTAGTGAAATTAAAAGTTACCGTAGTTTAGAATTTAAACCTACATAGGTTTATACTTAATTAGGCTAGATAAAACAGCGAGAAGATGAATTGCTTATGATAACAACGAGAGATTTCTCACGACACGCAGGTGCGTACGCAGACGCTTCGTATTTAAAATTAACGTAGCTATTCCTTAAAACATCTCTAGAGTTACAAATCTTCTTTAATAAACAACTAATTTATTTTTTAACTATCCTACATGGGCGAATCTCACAAAGACACAATTTTACCCTCAACTTCAATCTTATGGGGTGGTAACCTCACTAATGTATTGAATGGCACCTTCCATCTCTATGACAGATCCCATTCACTTTAGTTATAACCTGCAATTTTTGTTTTGAATTTTAACATTTGTTATTGCAATGATCAATGCCATATTTTACTAGCCCACTTCAAGGTTTTGATCTCTTTTGAAACCAAGGCTATTAAACTTAAGTTATTAAATATAGGATAACTTAGGTTAGTCTAGGCTAAAGTAACTTATCCTGAGGAATGAAAGGGGTATTAAGTCCTTTTCCACCTAGCCTATGAGGAGGAATGAAGGAGTCTAAGCTAAAAAAGATTGTAAAGTAAACAATGTTTGAACTGCATAGAGGCCTAAAGGCAAGGCATTCCGGATGTGATTTTCCTCTTCAGCGTAAGTTAAATGAGATTGAGTACGATTGGCATAAGTTTGCTAAGTTACGTTTGAGAAAAACAAAAAAACTGGTGTGAGTCGAAGGGTAGAAACAGAGATCACTTTTTAGTCACTTTATCACTAGGCCTAGTCACTTTGTAGGCTATAACTTATTTTCATTCTCTCAAAGTTACTTAACCCCAAGCTGGAAACTTAGTTAAGTTAGCTACATCAAATAAGTTAGCTTAAGTTAACTTATTTACTTATGTGTCACTGTGTCAACATGACTTAACTTTAAACTTAGCTCTTAAGTTACCCACGAGATCAAGATATTAATAACTGTAGACAGAACTTAACTTACTCTGTCACAACAGAGTTTTCCTCCTGGCGGCCTATAGAAATTATGCATTATACCCGGATGGTAACTTAACTTTGTGGTTTCAAGAGTAAGTTTAAAGCCTACTGCGCGTTTAAAGTATAAAGCGCACTGGGCGGCCGCTGGCCATCTGTCATTACTGATGAATTGGTGCGTTGCTCATCATGAACGTTGGTGGGGCCGTCTTTAAATGTCCTTACCCACTTGCGTACCATTCCGTCACTCACAATGTCCTCATCAAACACTTCACAAATTGTCAATGAATTTCAATGGCTTTCACACCTTTAGGACTTAAAAATCTAATTACAGCATGCACTTCACAGTCGGCGGCAGTCTCAATTGGCAACACCATTTTGAATGCTCGAAACCGGATGTAAATAAGTCCGATTGTTGCCGAATTTCCGGCTCTGACTTGCCAATAGATGCACATATTCAGTCAAAAATGCCAATCGCAGCGCTAGAACGGAGAAATTTAAGAACGGTACTTACTTAAAAAACATGCCTCGTATATATATGTATGTCAAATAAGGTTTGTTATTGATTTAATGTAGTCCCCTACTACAATTTATTGAATAAGTATAGGAGTGAATTTCTCTATTTAGGGAAGTATACTGTAGATGGCATTGTAAGACCTAGGCATAAAACCCATTTCCTTATTCATTTTGATGCCCCCAGAGGCCAAAAACAATAAAATTATTCGCTCAAATTGCCTAGGGCTTAAAGTTATCTACAGGTATCCGATCCGTGACTGTGAACACGATAACTCTGAGTAATTTTGGTCCAATTTTGATGAAATTTGGCTTGAAGATGTAAGTTTAGGGCGGAATAAACATGACAGAGTTTGTGAACCAGCAAGATTGGGTCATGGGAATGAGGTAAAATACTTTGGGGTTTTGTTTTTTTCAAATTTTCAGGTCCGTAAAACAAGAAAATGCCCAATTTTCATCAATTGACAATCCTGTAAGTTAGAGCTTCAATAGTCTTATAGGAACACAAATAGTTTTGAATATTGAAACGTTGTTTACAATTAAAGGTTATGGGGAAATTTAAATAAAACTAGGCCTGTAGGTGTGATTTAAATTCCCATTTTATTCTTTTCTAGGAAAAGAAAACTGTTGCAGTTTGTTTGTTTATGGATAAGTTATGTTGATCAAATTTGGCAAATTTATTTAATTCATCCTGTACCCTACTCCTACTATTTGGTCAAAATAATACTTTCTACCCCTATAGCCTAATATTATGGAGGAAGTATTGTTTTCGTAAAAACTTTTGATCGATGAGTTTTGAGTCGAGATAACTTAGGGATTCATTTTGGGTCCCCCTGAACCCAAAAAAGTGGTTTTCGAAATTATGTCTGTGTGTGGATGTGTAGCCTACAAAGCTACAAAACACAACTGTAGTCCGATTTTGATTAAATTTGGTATGTAGGCTAGGTACTAATCCATGGTATCTCCGGGAGTTTTTTTTAATTTTTTCAAAATGTTGATGTTTGTGGTGATTTTCCTATAAAAACCTATAAAATAACGGAAAAATCTGATTTTCTCAAAAATGGCCTGAGAACGAATTTGATAAAAAAATTGTATGTTATACGGTAGTCATTTAGATTCTAAACAAAATGGAACACATCCCATTTTCGTAAAAATTACTGTTCAAAAGTTATTGTAACTAATGTTATTTTCCTATAAAATAACAAAAAATCTGATTTTGGAAAAAGCCGGTTTTATTAGACCTAAAATTAATGTGTTATGGTCCTTAGTTCTAAACAAAATAAGTTAATGCAACCCCTCATTGCTTTAATAATTTTTCAACAATTTTTGCAACTTTTGTGATTTTTCCCTACAAAATTATCATAGTTGCTCCAACCACTTACTCAAAGGTTGTTGACTAGCTTATGGGAGAAAGTATGTGTCAGATTGCTGATACCGTTTATTTTATTTATTTATTTATTCATTAAACAGTCATAACCAATAGGCTTACAGTGAAAATAATTTTGTAATATTGCAAATGTGTACAAGATGGCAAATGATAGAGATCAAAGTTAAATTAAATAACTATCCCTTTGCGATCGAATGGCGAGTATCAGTTGCCGCCCGCCATTTTTGAGCAGTCGGGAAAATGACCTATACTCACAAAAAATCTTTGCGATCAAATGGCAAGTATATGTCGACGGGCACCATTTTCCCGACTGCTAGAATGACGACCTATACTCGCTGTAAAATGAAAAAAAAATCAACCTCAAAGGGTTAATTAACATAATTAATAATTAATTGGCAAGCATTACAATTAATTAAAGTGGTCAACTTCCTAGAAAATGAATCTCTCAATTTGAAATTGTATTAATACACAAAGTGCACAAGCTAAGTTGCTTTGTTACTCATTATTGTTTAATTGGGTTATCCTAATTAATAACACCAAACCTATTAAGTTCATCTAATCCAGGTTAACCGCCACACGTCAAGATGATGGACACTACAGCTCCTGAGCCGTTATCCCTTGCTGTCCACTCTGATGAAAACGATGACGACATTGACGATGGCTGCATGTCATCACAGAGTTCAGAGTATGGCGATGACGGAGACTTGTCGTCAGGAATGGCGGACGAGGTCACGGCTCAGTTAGCAGCCGCAGGTTGGCAATGTCTTCATGTCGATGTGGATGGTGTGTTTTTGTTTTGTTTGCTTTTTAATTTTTATTTACCTTAGTTCATTTTTGTGTTGGTAGAATCAATTAACTTTGGGTGATAAACAACAGTGTGATTTTTATTGGAAAAAATACTGTAGGCTAATTATATTTCTAATCCTCTGCAAGATGTAACTTTAATTACCGTTTATTTAAATGTCAATGAAGATATACTTATTTAAATTCTATGGAAAATTACCAAAGGGTTTTAAAAAATGTTTGTGATCAATTACCGATTCTAATTGGTCTATTTAGTACAACTCCCAATTTTTTACCCTAGAAATAACTTTAAACGCCACAAATAAAAAGGTACCTATGCACCTATGTACCTAGGTACCTATGTATATTTGTGGACAGTATGTAAATGCGGTATGAAATAATATACGAAATATAAAAAAATAGAGTTGAAACATGTTAAAAATCATTATATTCTTCACCTAATCATAGTTTCAAGAATAGTTGATTCAACATAACTTGTTGAGAGTTAAAACTCACTGATAAAGAAAAGTGTTAGATGTTTCAGGGATTTGGTAATCAACAATACAGGTAACATTTCAATGTATTTGTAGCATGGTTGGTTTTATTTGCAGTTTTTTGTACTAACAACAGTTTTATTTCAATTTTGTCTTGTCTATGTTTATTTTTGCTTAAAAATGTGTGTAGTCTTAATTCCCTTTTAGCCGTTTTTGTGTTTTGTTATAAAAAGTGTAATTAATGTTTGTAGACATTGTTATGAAATGTAAGTTGTGATCAAATAATTTCTTTGTAGGTAAAACCAAAATAATGTCATGAATGAATTCTTATGTGATGTGTTAAACTTTGAAAAATTAGCTTGCCATGTCATTATAGTCATTATGTCATTAGGTAATTTTTCAAAGTTAAACAGGCTGTAGCTCCTAAACAAGTATGTTTAGAGAGAAAATGTCAGGAGTAAAAAAGTCTTAAAATTGCATTTAGAATGTAAAACAATTGTTTGTTTTTCGGCCACTAGACAACCTCTAGTCTTATTTTACCACACTCATCCAAACTGCTTTCATAATATCTTCCTGGATTAGAGTGTTCTGAAAAATTTGAGTTTGGCTCTCTGTCTTAAAATATGTCTTGGTCTCACTCAATGTTTCTGCTGCAATCTTGGTTTTTATATATGGTTATTTTTGCCATTTGAAGGTTGCTGAAATTTGTATCTAATTTGTAATCTAGCTCCATAACAGTTCTTTGATAGTACAAAATTAAAGACTGACACATTTATCATTTAAATTTGTTAGCAATTTTTTGTGTTCTATCCATATTAAATCCATCAAAAATTGTTTTACTAACTTGCTGAGTAAAATATATTTTTTATTTGCTTAAAATCCAGCCCACAAAAATTTTACCAAATTCATGTATTTTTACCGTTTTGATACATAATTTATAATATGGCCCACTGCCACTAATAAAATATCACCTTTGATAATGTACAAATGGCTGCATAGGACCAGTGGGAATGGCTGCGGCTGCTGCAATTATGTCTGCCAAGAAGCGGAAACGGCCTCACTCCTTTGAGACCAACCCTTCTATACGCAAGAGGCAGCAAAATCGACTACTGCGGAAACTAAGGGTAAGTTGAACCAACTAACATGGTAGAAATTTTTTTTAAGTACCGGTAGCTTATTGATTCGATTGTTAAAATAACTTTTTTAGTCAACAGGATGGCTAAACTCTAGGGTATTTTCTCTTACAGGGAGGCCACTCAGTGTATTGTGCTATTGGGGGTATAGGTTAATACCACCTAAGGACCACAGATATTTCTTTTTCAGATTTGAAGTGATTAAGTATGTGCCATTCATATGAAGCTTTTTTTTACAATGAAGAAGAATGGCAGCCAGTCTTACGGCAGTCAAAGATCAATGGACAAATGGCAACAGTGTTCTTTTTTCTCTTTCTTTCTGTGACATAAGGTTTGTTAAGAATCTGGAGGGAGATAGATCTTGGAATCTTGGAATCTTGGATTAGTGTTGACATCAGTATAACACTTAGTAGATTTAGAATAGTCTTTAACCTAACTGGTGCAGCATACTAAAAACAGCTGGTCTCCATGTAACAGAAAAGTATAAAATATTGTAGCAGTATAAGGATGCTTACTGGCCGTGGTCCTTGTCGCAACTCCAGGCAAGCCCTGAAACCTCTAAAGTGTCTCAGGGCCTAACTACAAACATGTGTGTTTCAGCAAACAATTGATGAGTTTGCCACCAGAGTGGGACAGCAAGCCGTGGTTCTCGTCGCAACTCCAGGCAAGTCCTGAAACCTCTAAAGTGTCTCAGGGCCTAACTACAAACATGTGTGTTTCAGCAAACAATTGATGAGTTTGCCACCAGAGTGGGACAGCAAGCCGTGGTTCTCGTCGCAACTCCAGGCAAGTCCTGAAACCTCTAAAGTGTCTCAGGGCCTAACTACAAACATGTGTGTTTCAGCAAACAATTGATGAGTTTGCCACCAGAGTGGGACAGCAAGCCGTGGTTCTCGTCGCAACTCCAGGCAAGCCCTGAAACCTCTAAAGTGTCTCAGGGCCTAACTACAAACATGTGTGTTTCAGCAAACAATTGATGAGTTTGCCACCAGAGTGGGACAGCAAGCCGTGGTCCTTGTCGCAACTCCAGGCAAGCCCTGAAACCTCTAAAGTGTCTCAGGGCCTAACTACAAACATGTGTGTTTCAGCAAACAATTGATGAGTTTGCCACCAGAGTGGGACAGCAAGCAGTGGACCTTGTCGCAACTCCAGGCAAGTCCTGAAACCTCTAAAGTGTCTCAGGGCTTAACTACATACATGTGTGTTTCAGCAAACAATTGATGAGTTTGCCACCAGAGTGGGACAGCAAGCAGTGGACCTTGTCGCAACTCCAGGCAAGCCCTGAAACCTCTAAAGTGTCTCAGGGCCTAACTACATACATGTGTGTTTCAGCAAACAATTGATGAGTTTGCCACCAGAGTGGGACAGCAAGCAGTGGACCTTGTCGCAACTCCAGGCAAGTCCTGAAACCTCTAAAGTGTCTCAGGGCCTAACTACAAACATGTGTGTTTCAGCAAACAATTGATGAGTTTGCCACCAGAGTGGGACAGCAAGCCGTGGTTCTCGTCGCAACTCCAGGCAAGCCCAGCAATAGCTACAAATGTTTTGGGGCTAAACCCTTGGAGGATATTGTGAGTAGAACTACTCCTTTGAACATAACTGGTTTTATAGCAGCAATATTATGGGCATTAAATATCTTTGGGCTATGTTGACTTGATAGATGGAGGGGGGATTTAGATCATTGAATTAGTTATATCAGTCTGTGTTGAAGATTTGCCAGTAAAAACATTCTGAACAACTGATTTTCTTTCCGTTTAATTAAGTGTTATTTAAATATCAGATTGTATCTTAATGTATATATTGATAATCTAAAGGATTATGATTTGACGTTACAAAGTGCAAAAACAGTGGTGTTAAATAGTTTTGTTATAGTATAATATTTTAAGCTGAATGAATATTTAGTATGCAATGGAACAATGATTCAGTCTAATTTAATAATAATTTGGTCAGCTGGTTTATTTTTGGTGTTAAAAATAAATGTAATAAAAAAGAACAGAAATTTTATTTATAAGATTTTATTAAAACTAACTAACATTTGGTGCCAAAAACCCGTCGAATCATGTCAAAAAAAGAACCATTATCTCGTATGACTACAAGATCCTGTACAAAAAGAGAAGAGAAAAAGGACAGTGAAGTTGAAAAAGTTGGCCTTGATGTCTCTGCAAAAAGTGCACTATCCTTTCCTTCTTCTGATAGAAGTTCCAATAAAAGTAAAAGTAGCAGCAGGAGGAACAGAGAAGTAGCTGATGTTATTAATGAACTCATTAAGATTCAGGAAGAGGAAACAGCTATCACAATAGCACGTGCAGAAGCTAATGCAGAGGCAAAAAGACAAGAAGCTAATGCAGAAGCAAAAAGAGAAGAAGCTAGAGTAAAGGAAGAAGCTAAAAGAAAGGAGTTAGAATTGAAGAAAAGACTGATGGAAGAAAGACTATCACTAATCAATTCTAGATCGTCCTCAAGAGGTAGTAGCACTTCCAGGCGTTCTCTCGTGTCAATTGATCAACCTATACCAACGAAAGAAGCTGTTACCTTTTGGATGCAAGGTATTGAAAATGAAATGATTCCTGATGATCAAGCACAGAATTACAACACTGAGAGGGTAAGGGATGAGCCGGCTAATGACCATCTAGATGATCAGCCAAAGCCTAGGGCCAACAAGTCGGTGAGTACATCCAAAATACCAAATACAAACGCTCAAGATGAACAGTTTAAGCCTTGGGCAAATAAACCAGTAAGTGTTTCTAAAATGATGCAGTACCAAAAACATTTTCCAGACCAATTTGAGCAGTTTGGTGTAAGGCCTCGAGATGTTAGATATGAAAAGCCTCGAGATGAAAATACCTTAACAAATCTGCTCAAAACAAATGGAAAAGAGGTCCGTGCTAGGGTTTTGTCTGTTCTCCCAGATTTTAGTGGAGATCTCAGTCAGTGGCCGGCTTGGATTGCTGAGTTTAAACGCTCTACTGACATAAACAACTACACTGATCTCAAAAATCTTCAGAGACTACAAAAATCATTGAATGGTAAGGCAAAAGAAATTGTTTCTGCACTTTTAATTTATCCGGAAAATGTTTCTGAGATCATAAATTTGTTAGAACGTCGCTTTGGACGTCCAGAAGTAATAATTAAGAGCTTAATAGAAAGTGTGAGAAACAAGCCTCCAACAAAAGATTACAAACCTGATACTTTGATAGCATTTAGTGACATGGTGCGTAATCTTGTAGTAACTGTTAAGTCTCTTAATCAAGAGCATTATCTGTTTAATCCACAGCTTTTAGAAGAGCTTACAGACAAATTGTCTACTAATATGAAACTAAACTGGGGAATGTATGTCATGTCCCAGCAATCTGAGGTAAGGAAACCAATAGGGCTAGATAGTTTCTCAGTATGGCTGTCATCAGTGGCCGAAGCAGCTACAGTTTGTACTTCTACTTCTGTTTCCTTTGCTGGAAACATCAACAAAGGCGCAGGAAGATATGAGTCTGGTCAGAAGAATTTTGTACTTATGCACGAAGATAGAGAGAAAAGGTTAAAGAAAAGACTGTGCCTCTGTTGTAAAAAAGACAGCCATAGTTTAGAAGATTGTAAATATTTTCAGAAAAATGATGTACAAAGCCGTTGGGAACTGGTGAAAAATAATAAGGTTTGCTTTAACTGTTTGAAGATAGGTCACAGAGCAACACAATGTCGTAAAAAAGGAGTTTGTGGATTGAATGGATGTGTTTATCATCACCACAATTTGCTGCATAACAATATTAAACAAGATAAGAAAAATGAAGTCATAGATGTAATTGAAGCTCCGACAATTGCTGGGTCTAATAAGGAGCATATTGGATATCAAGATGAGTCGCTTGATAGAGTACTATTACGAGTCCTTCCAGTAAAATTGATCGGAAGTAAGGGAAATGAAGTAAACACATTTGCATTGATTGATGATGGATCTACAATATCAGTCATAGAAAAAAGTTTGGCGGATGAACTCAATCTTGATGGACCAACGATACCAGTATCATTTTCTTGGACTGATGGGTCAACATGCACTGAAAACCTTTCAAAAACGGTTTCAGTAAAGATTGTCAACGATGAAGGAGAACAATTTGTTCTTGGTAATGTAAAAACTTTGAAAGATTTACAGTTACCCGTTCAGTCCATGAATATGAAGAAAGTTAAGTCAAAATGGCCTCATTTACAACAAATTTCTGAAAAGGCATTTTATCGTGGCCAGCCCCGACTGCTAATTGGTCATGAACACATTCACTATACCGTGCCCTCAAAAGTTGTCATTGGACCTGGAAATGCCCCTATAGGACTTAAATCAAAGCTTGGCTGGACAATCAATGGCCCTACTGGAAAAGAGCAATATCACAGTAGAATTAATCAAGAATATGTGATGTTCAAAAGCGATATGAAAATTGAAATGGAAGAAATGAATTCAATGATCAAAAAAAGCTTTGAACAGGACTTCATTGATTATCCAAGCAACAATATTTCAAAAAGTGAAGAAGAGGTCAGATCGGAAGTGATAATGAAAAGTACTTGCTCACAAACAGAAGACGGGCGCTGGGAAATCGGTTTGCTATGGAGAGAAGAAAATCCTCAACTACCAGAAAGTCGCTCTGTAGCATGGCGTCGATTGAATACCGTAGAGAAGAAACTGAAAGATAATATTATAATGAAACGGCAATACGATGACCAGATGGAAAACTACGCTCAGAAGGGCTACTCACGAAAACTAAGCGTAGAAGAAGTTCAACTCAAAAATGACAAGACTTGGTATCTTCCGCATTTTTCTGTTGACAACCCAAGAAAACCAAACAAATTTCGATTTGTTTTTGATGCAGCTTCAAGATCACATGGTCAAAGCTTAAACAGCTACCTGCTACCAGGACCCAATCTATTTAACAACCTTACGGAAATCTTGTTTAAATTTAGAAAGCACAAAATTGCCGTTGCTGCTGACATTGAAGAGATGTTTTTGAGGATTAAAGTAAGACGTGAAGATCAAGATGCTTTAAGATTTCTGTGGCGGGGAGAAGAAAGTGGAAGAGTAGAAGATTGGTGCATGGCATCATTGATTTTCGGAGCTGCATGCTCTCCTACTTGTGCAATTTATGTCCTTCAAACCAATGCTGAGAAAAATGGTGATAGCCATCAAGAAGCTGTGCAAGCTATTAAAGAGCAATTTTACATGGACGATTATTTAGATAGTATGGAAAGTGTTGATGAAGCTAAAAGTTTGGCCAAAGAAGTTGTTTCCATTTGTAACAAAGGAGGTTTCAATTTGAGAAACTTCATCAGCAATTCTCAAGAATTTATGAATGCATTACCTAAAGAAAGTTGGTCGAAAAACTACTTGAATGATAACCTGAAGTTGAGTGACGAAAACAATGTAGAAAGGGTCTTGGGTCTGTATTGGAACTTTCATGAGGATAGTTTCAACTTTAAAACGGATTTTGTAAGAGTTGACAAAGATGTAGTCAGTCTCTTGCGATTACCTACAAAGCGAGAAGTGCTACAAGCAGTGATGTCAGTATACGATCCACTAGGTTTCATCACACCAATAACGATGAAAGGGAAAATACTGATGCAAGAACTATGGAAGGTGAATGTTCAGTGGGATGAAACAATACCAGTAACTTTAAACAACTTGTGGCTGTCCTGGATAGAAGATGTGTTGAATGCCGAACGCCTAAAGATACCACGTTGTTATGGTTTAACAGGAGGTGAATCAGTACAGTTACATGTATTTTGTGATGCTAGTAAGCAGGGCTATTGTGCAGTAGCATATTTAAGAATAGAAAAACAAGACCTAGTAAATGTTGCATTTGTTTTTGCAAAGTCAAGAGTGGCTCCTATACGTGAAACGACCATACCACGACTTGAACTTCAAGCAGCAGTTTTGGGTAGTCGAATTGCGAACCTCATTCTTCAGGCTCATAAAGAAGTTCTCACAAAATATTTTTGGACAGATTCGAGAATAGTTTGGTGCTGGCTGCAATCAAGAAACATGCAAAAGTCTGTGTATATTTCTAATCGTGTTAACGAAATTATGCAATTATCGGACTCAAAACAGTGGAGATGGCTTCCTAGTTCGAAAAATGTAGCTGATAGTGCAACACGAGACTCTACATCCATACTGTCTGACAATAATGGTCAATGGTTTAGAGGACCGGAATTTCTGTACGAGCCAAAGGAAATGTGGCCTAAGATTGAAGATCAGTCCAAGGATCTTGAAAACACGGATTTGATGCTGTTTAATGCTGTTAAGAATGACGAAAAGCCTCTCATTGACATGGAGAGATTTTCCAAATACTCTAGGCTGGTAAGAACAGCAGCTTGGGTGCTACGTTTTATCAGCAACTGCAACGCCAAAAGAAGTCAAGCTGAGACAACTAAACAATCCAGTTTATCAGTAGAAGAACTTGAACGAGCTGAAAAACTATGCTTTCAGTTATCAAAAAAAGAAACATTTTCTGATGATTTATGTAGTTTAAAAGCAGGAAAACCTCTACCACGTCAAAGTCGCCTTTCAAAGCTATGTCCAGTCCTAGCAGAAGACTTATTGAAAATGAAAGGGAGAACTGAGTATGGAAAGGTTGTTAGTCAAGATGTCAAGACTCCGATCATCTTGGATCCAAAGCAACGACTAACAGTGTTATTGATTCACAAAGAACACGAAAACACAGCTCACCAAGGACAAGAAACAGTCGCAAACACTTTGAGGCAGAGATTTTGGATAATACGGCTGAAACAAGCAATCAAAAGTTGTTGGGCAAACTGTAAAAAGTGCCAATTGCGCAAAATGATGCCCAAGACACCTGAAATGGCCCCTTTGCCTGCTTACAGGCTAGAACCTTTTGGAAGACCTTTTACATGTGTGGCACTTGACTATTTTGGGCCCTTAGAAGTTAAAGTGGGTCGTCGACACGAAAAACGCTACGGAGTTCTGTTCACTTGTCTTTCAGTACGGGCAATCCACCTTGAAATTGCTGCCTCACTCAACACAGATTCAGCCATATTAGCTCTTCGAAGGTTTGTTGCAAGGCGAGGGTGTCCAAGAGAGATTATATCTGACAATGGAACAAACTTTAAGGCAGCAGAAAGAGAGCTAAGAGAAGCTTTACTGACATTTGATGAAGAAAAGATTAAAACTTTTTGCTCAGAGATGAAGATGAAGTGGAGCTTTCTTCCACCTGCCAGCCCACATATGGGAGGAGCGCATGAGCGGCTTGTTCAATCAGTAAAGAAATGTTTGAATGTAATCTTGCATTCACAAGCTCCAAGAGAAGAAACTCTATTAACTGTCATGTGTGAGGTTGAATACATAGTCAATAACAGACCTTTGTATCCTGTGTCTGAAGATCCTGCCGATGAGCTACCTTTGACTCCAAATCATTTCCTACTCGGTGGCGCCAACAAAGTTGCTCCAGTGGTCAACATAAGAGACAAATGCCTTGTGAAGCAGTGGAAAATAGCTCAGAAATATGCTGATTCGTTTTGGAAAAGATGGCAACACGAGTACATTCCTCTGCTCAATAAACGAGTGAAGTGGCATATTCATCAAGAAAATCAACATGTGGGCAACATGGTCCTAATTGCTGACGACAAAGAACCAAGAGGCATGTGGTCAAAAGGCATTATAGAAGTAACCTATCCTGGCAAAGACGGCAAAGTCAGAGTTGTTGATGTACGAACTACAACAGGAATTTTCAGAAGACCTACTAGCAAAATTATAAAACTTAATGTTTAAAATGTTGTGGCCCGGAGAAATGTTAAATAGTTTTGTTATAGTATAATATTTTAAGCTGAATGAATATTTAGTATGCAATGGAACAATGATTCAGTCTAATTTAATAATAATTTGGTCAGCTGGTTTATTTTTGGTGTTAAAAATAAATGTAATAAAAAAGAACAGAAATTTTATTTATAAGATTTTATTAAAACTAACTAGGTAACAAGTGGGAAGAAGTTTAGGGCACTTTGAGGTTGCAATATTGTTAGATAATTTTATAAAAAGGCTTAACGTTTCAATTACATTTTTGGAAACCCAAGTATCTCTAAAAGTGTTGGTTGTATGGTAAATAAGTGTATTGCTTGGCTTGTGGTTATCGTCTCGAATTTCGTTGCTGGACCGCTTTCGCTCAACAGTGCTTGTTTCCTTGTTTCTCTAATTGAAAAAGCCAATGGCATACTATAAACAAACTTGAAGCAAACCGCTTTATATTTTGCATTTTACAGGTTAAGAACCTAAGAACAATGATCATGGAAGAGCTAGAGACAGCTTTGGCCCAACAAGCTCCCCCTCCAGTACAAGATGACCCATCTCTGTACGAACTGCCTCCCCTAGTCATTGATGGGATACCGACTCCTGTGGAGAAGATGACTCAGGCTCAGCTACGGGCGTTCATCCCACTGATGCTCAAATATTCCACAGGTAAACCTTGGTAGTGTTGTACATTTTACCACTACCATCACTGATAATGTTGGGGTACCATCACTCAATAAACAGTTCTACCAAATATTCAAGTACTTCAAACCTACAACAGTACCTCAATATATAGGCCAATCACCCTTCAATATCAATAGCAGTTGTTACTGAATATTTAGGCTATTTCATCTCATTTTAAGCAGGAGTAATCTTACATCGTTTTAGAAAATGTAACCTAAACCTTTTAACCTTTTATTAAAAATTATTCCATTCTTAACCCTTAGAGTGCCAGGCGAGAAATAAAAGTAACGCTCAAAAAATGCCGATGATTTTTCCTGAAGGTCGCGCTAAAAATGCCGAGCGCGATCTGGCGATTTTTAGGTTAAAATTTCGTAAAAATCGAATTTTCGATATTTCGACCAACGAAAATCGATGTATCGCACCTAGTAACTTTCGACTCAATGTTAATATATGGGTTAAAAGAATCCGAGTATCCATTCGGTTGTTATGACAACTGTTCGATCATTACGAAACGTCTGGTCAGCCGGACGTTGGCACTTTTGGCTCGTTCTAAAAACGTCCGGTTCCCCGGACGTTGGCACTCAAAGGGTTAAAAAAATAATTTGCAAAAACCCGGACCCAGCTTCTTAGTTGTTTATACTAGGGGTGAATACTTCAATTGACTCTGCTGCAGTAAAATAATGTTCAATACAATTACACTACCTATTTTTGGGGTTTAATGTGTTTGTGGTTGCAGGCAGGGTGAAGCCTGGTTGGGGTAGAGAGTCTACCAAGCCTCCGTGGTGGCCGGTAGGACTACCCTGGGCCAATGTACGCATGGACGCACGCTCTGAGGAGTCAAAACACAAGGTACAGTCCACATATTCCGTCAAGTTGTGATAAAGTAGAGTCCCAGAACAGTTGTATTAGTGGAATGACTTGGAAAATAAGAAAATACCGTAAATGTGAACAAGCAAGTTTTGCTAACCTAGTGGCATGAACTAACCAACACAAGTAGACTTCTCATCGCATTGTTAAATTTGAAGCTAGTTTTTCATGTCTAGTTCACCGACACTGATCGCAAGTGTCGACAAAATTTTGTTTATATTATTTTGGGTTGATTTAATGATTTGTGCTTTACTGTTTGGTTATAAAACTAGTGGATGAGGCATTGCTTATATGATTAGATTGTTTTATTTGGTTGAACGAGGTTTTAAATAACTGACATAGACATAGACATAGACATAGACATATTTTATTTACACAATACGTTCTTTATAAAGTACATTTCATACATAAGAACAGGTGTTTCGTCATAGTGATGTATTTTATAGTAAAATTAATAGTTAAAATAATTAAAATAAACTCATGTAGGATATCAGAGAATTTTTATCTACATTATAGGGTTCTCCAAAAATTCGTCAAGTGAATAGTAGGCTTTCTCAATTATTTTATCTTTTATTTTATCTTTGAATTGAGTAGCATTTAAAGTTTTAAGATACAGGGGTAATTCATTGTACAATCTAAGTCCCATATATTGAGGGCTGTTCCTAAAAGTCGTCAATTTGTGATGTGGTAATCTGAAATTATATTTATTCCTTGTATTATAATTATGTGTAAATTTGACTACATCTGACAAATTTTCCTTAGTGTTATGTATCCAATTTAGAATTTCATTTATGTATAATCCAAAAATGGTGTGAATTCTAAGATTTTTAAACAGGTTTTTACATGATTTTCTCCTTCTTGATTTGGTTAAGATTCTAATAATTTTTTTCTGTAAAATTAGTAGGGATTTAACTTCTGTTGACACTCCCCACAGTATGATTCCATACCTCAAGATGGATTCAACGTATCCATAGTAAACTGTGATACATGTATCCTGAGGTACACAGTTTATCAGGTGAAAGAAAGCAAAAGAAATAGATCTTAGTTTGCCTTTCATTTTATCTATGTGAATCTTCCAATTAATATGAGTATCAAGCAATACACCCAAAAATCTATGAGATTCTACTAAATTTGGAATTTTATCAAGAATTACATTGTTTTTTAAAGAAAATTTAATTATATGAGTTTTATCAATATTCAGCTTTAAACCATTATCTGTAAACCAATTTTTCATACAATCCAAAGTGTTTTCTATTGATACAATTAAGTTATTTATTGAATCCTCTCTTATGATTGCTGTTGTATCATCAGCAAATAAGATTAAATCTCTGCCAATAGCTTTTGGAAGGTCATTAATAAAGATCAGGAAAAACAGAGGGCCCAATATTGACCCTTGAGGTACACCATAATTAGATAAATTCCAGTTTGACATATGTTTCACACCGTTTTTGGTCACTATTGTTCTATACTTTCTGTTCTGTAAATAAGAGTCTAATAAAGAAAAACTTTTACCCTTTATACCATAGTCTTTTAATTTAGAAAGCAAAATTGAATGATCCACACAATCAAAGGCTTTAGACAGGTTACAGAAAACACCAGCAGTAGTTTCAGACCTGTCCAAAGCCTTTGTAACATCATTGATAAATTCAATCAGTGCACTGTTGGTGCTGAATGTCTTTCTAAACCCAAACTGTTTTTCATAAAACAAATCATTGCTGTTAAAATAGTTTACTAGCCGAAAAATAAAATAAAAATAAAAATAAAAAACTGAAATGATAAGAAACATATCTTTTCTAGATTTCCTGGACTCATGCCTTGCAGCAGATTGTGATCAATTGCTACAAGTACCACGGACGAGAGGACTTGCTGCCTGGGTTCAATGAGGATGAGGAAGGCAAGACAGGAGGCGGGGGTAGTGTGATGATGAGCGGGGGTACTGGTGGGGTCATACGGCTACACAAGGCCCCGTCACCCTCACCTACATTGACTGATACACAGAGCTCACATATGGACTCATCAGGTCAACAGGTGAGGAATGTACAGAGTAAAAATACATTTGTTTCTGACCAGTAATTCTAGTCAAATAATATCCCTGGTTGCGAGATGGACTCTTTCAGAAATTGGTACCATATGCTGTCGACTCGTATGTTAACATTTAAATGAACCAACAAAAATATTTGCTACTGTAGAACTCGGCCTTTGATTACTGGTCTTCGGTTTATCGGGCCACTTGTCGCAAGCGAAAATCAAAATGTACTTCCTACGCCTTATAGGCCACTAGTCTCCATGTCTTGAGCGTTTTCACAGTTTGTTTACATTTTACCGTGCCCGCTAGGCCTACTCATTTGAGCTACTAGGCCTACCCTCTAAACTATTGGTTGATCGTTAAAAATGTTACAGCAAAATCAAAAACATCTACGGTCATGACAAAATTGTGAAGTTTTCTCTAGTCAGCTTGTGGTTGTGTCAGTTGAAAATAAAATATCCAATAACACATTTTAAGTTATAAATACACTGCCAATTAGTCAAAGTTTAATATTGATGTGATGATTAAACTATTGATAGTTTTACAGGATTAGGAAGTAAATTGTTCACACAAAAAAATCCATGAATGGAAGAGGAAGTCTGAAGAAACATTAATTAATTGGCCAACATAAAATTATTATAAGTAATGAAAAATAGGAATGGTATTAAATTTTTAAGATGAAAACATAATTAAGTTAGTCACTGAAAGTTAAGAAGAAGGTTAAGTTGGTCACTGAAACCTAAGGTTTTTCGCCTCGCCGATGATGCCTCTCCACTGCTCTCTATCTTCAGCTGCCTCGGGGGTGGTGTCCAATACTGCTAAGTCCCTCAGCACCTGGCTCTTCCATGAAGCCATGGCATGCTGAGTGGTCTCCTGCCTTCTGGGTAGTTCTGGTCTAGAGTTTTAATTATAGACTTATCTTCTTGTCTCCATACATTTGATTAATGTAAAACAAACATCTGACAAGCTTTTTAAGTGCTCCTAACTAACCACTTACTACTGACTCGTGTTCTGTAAAATGTTATTACACAACAGATAACACAAAACCTACTTTTTATGTCAAATCGCGGTTTTTTCCCAAAAACCAACAACTGACCCACTACTAGTCTTGACAAAATAAAGAACATCATCCGAGGTGACTGCGAACTCAAGAACATTTTCAACCATTACAGTAAACCATGAACATCACCTGCGACTGCGATCAAGGCAAAGTTATTGCGCATCTTCACAGATGCTCTCTCTTTCACCGTGATAATAAAAGCTCGGCTCGGTTCGATCCAACCTGAACCTGGCCCAAAAGTTATTTCCTGCTCAAACCAATCCTTAGGGCCAACTGTTGGTCTGACCCAAAAATATCAGATACCCACTGCCTCCTAGTTTTTTTTGCACTACTAAACAGTGGCGGTTTAAAAAAAAAAACAACTATTTTTAGTTAGTAACTAAGGAACTTATTCATTGGAAATATGAAATTTTCACAGGTGACTACACAGTACACACCAGCTGTCCTACAAACCATCAGCAACCCTGACGGGACATTGTCCATCATACAGGTGGACCCTAACAATCCGATCATCACACTACCAGACGGCACCACAGCTCATGTACAGGGAGTAGCAACTGTGAGTATTTCTTCTTACATCTATATAAATCAAGTTTGCAGGAAGCTCGATTTTCAAGTTCAGCCATACAAAATTGTTCAGTCTAGCATACAACGATGAGAGATTAAAGACCAAAACAGAAATTTGAGCTCTAGCTTTATTTTTAAAGCTCAAGTCTATAAAAAATCTCATGTAACAGATTTGTTTGTACATTATGTAAATTAATAATCAGACAATGTTTCCGCAGACAAATCGCCATGTGTGGACGAGGCTTAAGATATATTTTGACAATATTTTTTCTGATTGTAGATCCAGGCAGGCAGTAATGAGCAAGGCACTATCCACACTCTCCACACTGGAGAGGGAGGGGGAGTGGCCGTGGACCTAAGTAACGTTACAGAGGCAACCCTCAATCAGGACGGACAACTTATACTGACAGGGGACGACGGACAAAGTAAGTCAAAATATTATACTCGCTAAATCTAGACAGCCATTTGACAGCAGTTAATTCCACACTGGAGAGGGAGGGGGAGTGGCCGTGGACCTAAGTAACGTTACAGAGGCAACCCTCAATCAGGACGGACAACTTATACTGACAGGGGACGATGGACAAAGTAAGTCAAAATTTTATATTCGCTAAATCTAGACAGCTATTTGACAGTAGTTCATGCATTTTCATATGGTTAAGTAAGGTTTTGGAGGAAAGGGGGAAGAACACTGACTTGGTTTGGTAGTACATCAAGGAAGAAGAAAAGGATACACAACTTACCACAAAAGGGTTCCAGCATAGATATTCAAAATGTTTGGGTTGGGCTGGACCAACAGCTGGTGCCAGTTTAAATGGTTGTAATTATCAGGCCAAGCTCAGGTAAGGTAATCTATCTTAGTTTACGAGAGATTTGATATTCAGTGTAAGCAGATTTACAATACATGTATTTCTTTGTCCAGGTTACCCGGTCACTGTGTCAGGTATGATCTCAGTGCCAGTCAGTGGTGGCATGTACCAAACTGTGGTAGCCAACATACAACATATACAAGGCAGTGACGGCACCATGCAGGTCATCACGCCAATGTGTCATGTACCCAAGGTAAGATCCTTCATGTCAATCATTCGACCTTGAGTAATCATTACAAGTGTCCTTGAACTAATTATAATTATAATAACTACTGATAATTAGCCTACAGTATTGTATGTGTTAGGGTCAGAGATCTGATTAGTGCAGCAATCAAAAGGAAGGCTTTTAAAACAAATATCTGGGGATGTGTATATCAACTATATATTTTCCAATTATGTCATTAATCATTATCTCCAACTGTGTCAAACTCATTCTGAAATGAGTATGGGTTTAAATTTATAGTAGCTACATGTCTAAGCAGTGCTTTCTCTTTTAGTTTTATCAATTATCCTTTAAGTGTACACTATTTCCTCTTCTCTTTTTCTAAATTACAGATTGACCGGTCTCAAATTTTCAAGAAATTTGCAAGAAAAAATATCTTTGTTTGTTGTAGAAAAAAAATTTTAATATCCTCTTTAAGAACTTAAAATCCAGTCTCGTCCATTCCCAGCTAAACTAAGGACTATGTTGTCGCTTCCTATCTCTTGCCTTTCCAATAGCCCCAAATTAGTAATTGGCAAACATAATACAATACTTATCTGGCCAGAAATAAAATATGCAAATTTATATTACAGTTGGCATATTTTAGTCAATTTACATAATTAACGTCAAATAAATGTGTCCACTACAAGTCTACCTACCTTTTTCATGTCAAGCCCTCAACAGTACAGTCACTGAAACATTTAGTCTTCTCACATAATCACAAGTCAAGTTTATTTTGGCTTTTAACACTCAAACTCAGAATGCAGCTTTTTTGTGACAGGTGGAGCCCGGCTCTGAAGGGGAAGGAGTTGAGACCATCACACATCAGCTGGTCAACATAGCTGGCGAGCCACAGATGTTGCAGGTGTTGTCACTCAAGGAGCCATCCGGTGACAAGCCGCAAGAGGTGTCGACCATCACCTCGGGCTAGACCACTGTCTGGTACGTACAAACACTAACACACTAACACTTCTTGTTATCAAGAACCAGTTTTTCTCTATGAGCTGCGGACAAGAAAAATTTTCCTGGCTTGCAGCAAGTTTTTTGTAATATTTTGTGATTTTTTTTTAAAAATAAATGAAAAAAAAAACTTTCAGACACTAAACATCCAGAGGTACAGCTCTTCACGCGTGGATTACATAGCGCTAGTGCTTTGTAGTGTGCTCGAGATGGTTTAAGCATCTTTTGAGATTAACATTTAGTAGTCGTCCAGTGGTCGAAAGCTCAACCAAAAACATGTAATTTCTACTGTATATATATGTACTATGTCCATTTACATATTATACTATAAGTAACATTTACATTACATACTGATAATGTCAGGAGTCTCACACTGTGTGTGCATAAAAGCATTTTTCCCTCCTCTCCCTAAAAAAAAACAAAAAAAAAAAAAAAAACTATAGTTTGGAGGTAAGTAGTTATTAAAGGAGAGGATACTTACTTACTTACTTAAGCCTGTCCTCTTCTACCGGTTGGTGTCGAGATTAAAAGGCGCCTCCATGAATTTCTGTCTGCAGTAAGTGGTAGAGCTTCACGAATGGAGCTGCCCCTCTCACGCAGAGCATCCTCTCTCTCTTCCTCCCATTTCCTTCTCGGTCTACCTCTCTTGCACTTTCCCTCGACTTTGGAGGGATTTTATGGATAATTTAAATTAAATTGAAAATTTTCAGATACGTGAGAGTGTGATGGTATTTGTTGATACTCTCCCTCCCTCTCTCTCTCTCATATTATACCCCACCCCCCCCTCAATTCACACTAACATCAACAAATACCATCACACTCAATTTGATTTCAATCATCCATAAAATTCTCTCCTTTAATAACTACTGAGGTAAATTTTCTTACATGTACAGTAATATCGTTTTGTAAATGTACAAGTCATAGACTTGGTTGATAAAGAAGTTATTAAGTCATATACTGTCATAACACCTAATTTTGAAAAAAATGGTTTCACTGATTGGTGACTATCTTTAACGCTCGGACAGCTTGAATACGTCCACGGTTCACTCACCTATACCTGGATTCGTCGTTCGCACCTATCGTCGGCCATGATAAGTCGATTCTGACTGAAAGTATGGCACCTGGACCTAGGCTGAACAGAACAATAGCTTCTGAAAACAACTAAAAATAATCCTCTCGTAACTTTAACAAAATACTATAAGTCCGCGCTTATAAGCCAATACACTTCTTGGCTTTGAGATAGTGAAATAAAATACTTTGGATACAATAAAATAAAACGGTGCAGGCTACTGAGACGCCGTAGTCTCGGCATTGGGCAGTGAAATATAATACACAAGTTTCTTACATCTATAGATAAGTTTTACTCGCCAAAGTGAAACGGAAAATGAATAAGAATAATAACATAATGGTGTACTACAGTACTACGGTACTTACGTATGTTGATATTTATTTGAGTTAATGTTATGTTTTTTATCACTTGCTTGTTTGAATTGGAGATTTGAAGGCGAGGCAACTCGGCTACCCAGATAGTTTAAAGTTTTTTTATTGTGAGAATTGAAAGTTAGTAGAATTGAGGATCGGAATCGGCCCATCCCATTTTAAGACTGCATAAATTATAGCTGATTCCAGGGTTTTTACAATTGACAAAATTCACAGCTCATTCACAGTTTTATGGGTTTCACTGTGAAGTGGGTATCCTACTTTGTTAATGTATTTCTTGATGTCAAGTAAAAGATGCCAAAGTTTACAATACGTTGTCCTTTATGGCTTGGTTAGATGAAAATTTGGTACTGTATGCTTGACAGAAATTAATATTTTACATCAGTACACTCTGTGGGTGGCTTAGTGAACTACGTTCATATGCAGTTTTTGTGCTTAAATTTGCCATAATGCTTGGCATCTTATGTTTTTAATTTGTTAATTCTTTGTTCTTTTCTGATTCTGTAAATACATATCCTTTCCCGTTCCAGTTATCTCTGGGTCTGGGTGTTTACTAGACCCCCATTATTTCTCTTTCTCCACATATTGCGACTGCACTCCTCTTGTTTCCACATATCGTCAATCCACCTTCTTCTAGGTCTTCCTCTTGGTCTTCTTACGTTTATGTGAAGCTCACTAATTTTTCTGAGGATTCTATCATTTTCCATTCTTGTTAAGTGACCAAACCATCTCAATCTCAATTTTCCTACCGTACTCATTCTCTCAACTTTTCTTCAACTATTCCTCTTCTCAACTCTTCATTTATAATTCTAATCATTCTATCCAACCTTGTTTTTCCTTTATTACATCTTACTAACTTCATTTCCCCCGTCTGAACCGTACTCAATTCCCTCTGTGTTTTATTCCAAACTTATCCTATCCTACCTACACTTAACTTAGGCAACTATTGCTTTCGGTATATGTTTCTAATTCTGTATGCTATCTAATTTTTTTGGACTTTTCCAGATGTGAAATCAAAACGCTACTGAAAGTCCTAGATTCAGTTACTTCTCTCTATTTATAAAAAGGACCAACTACTTTGAGGTTTATTTTAGAGATACTATACTTTTTACATAACTTAACTGTTGTTTTGTGGCTATATGATTAATTTATTAATATGCTATATTTTACATGTTTCGTGCAATGAAAGATTGATGTCAGTAATTTATTTCTTGCTGTTTGTTAAATACTTAAATATGTATTTCACAGTGAAAACAAAACTAGCATAATTATTAGGCCCTAATATGATTGTTAAATGCATGTATTTTGTTGTTAACTAGTTTAACAATATTATTTTATATTTATTTATTTATTTAAATGGTAGCTTTACCATGCATTGAATTTTATTTACATGAGTTTACAAAGGAGTTTTTGTTATATGGCTAATTTAGGAATTAACGTCCCAACTAAGCTAGCCTTTATTTATGTAATTCATAATGTATTGTGGCTTTTATTTTTAGAAAATATGTTGTAAGTATGTGTTATTTCTCAAACAATCATTACAACATGTATAAAATTGTACAAGGTTATGATTTTATGTAACCAACTCGATATGCATCTCATTGAAGTCCTATTTAGTTGTGATCAATAAGTTTTCACTACAGGTTTTTATTTTTAGAAAATTGCCATTGTATTTTTAATTAATTTTTTGTACAGTTTATAAGGTCTGGATCTTATTTCTGACATGTGAATGCATTTTTATTGGTTTAATGTACAATTGAACCGTTTATTGCAGAAACCCCATAATCATTTTTTTTTTTACTTTTTACTATATTAATGATGTACAAATTGAAATACTGTACATTACTGCAGAAATCACACAACCGCAAAAAATGTTGGTTATGTTATGGGGTTTCTGCAATTAACGATTCAATTTTTATACTTACTTGCATGAATATTGTATTGTAACTGATTCAAAATGTAATAAACCCAAACACACAAAGGAAGTTAAAGTTGGAAAATATGTTACAAGTAAAAGCATGATGCAGATATTGTAAGTTTACTAAGTTATAGTTACAAACTTAACTATAAATTTGAGCACAACTCTTGTAATAACTCTAGTTAGAAAGGCTGTGATAAACATTATAGCAAGTACCAAGCACCCAAGCAAAATTCCCATATCAAATAACTGTTTCCTTTGCCGATTCATAGTAACTAGTTTCTAATACCAATTTGCTAGGCAAACACTTGTCCATCGCTCATAACATATTTTATTTTACTTTACCAAAAAGTTTTAAAGTTGCTGTCATACATAATTCATGTTTGAATGTTTTGTATTAATTTATAATTCCTTTAGAAACTATTTAAAACACCTGCCATTACATACCAAAGATCTTGTTTATTTTTTTTAGTGATTTTAACTTAAGTGTTAGATAAAAATGTTTCATCAACATCGAATACTTGAGTGCAGTTTTCTTATGTGTAGTTTTTATAGTTTTTGTTTGATCTAGTCAACATTTTGTCAATGTACAAATGTAACATACAATACATGTTGTAGTCTTATTTATTAATGTAACCGACAGTTTAGTGAGTAGTGATGTGGTGTCGGCTAAAAGTTGACGTTATGTTCGTGCAATTGTGCATTTTACTCTTTTCCCAGTGAATCTTAGGAATTTCATTCTGACTGTTTGTAGTGATTCTGATTTGGACTGACTTTTAATCTATGTGTATTTATAGTTTTATTATCGATATTTAGAAATACAGTAGACTCCCTCTAGTTCCACCTCGGGACCGGAACACTGGCCGGATTACAAAACGGCCGGACTAACCGGCTGTAGTGCATTTTAAATAATCAAAATGCAAATAATAGTATTGCGCATTCGTGATATGTTAAGTCATTAACCTTGGTTCAGTAATAAAAACTGCAACGTTTCAAATCACGCTTACACAAGGAAAACAAAAATTACACTGTACGTGCAGTACAGCAATAAATCACGCTTAGAACAGAACAAGTCTAGTACTGCAAGCTACTGCTACCGTAGTCAGCATAGGCTACTACTACATATTGTTTCAGAACCTAAGAATGTCGATAAAGATAAAAACATTAGATAACTCATAAAACAGCATAAAATCATAGTACTTAGTCTTAAAGATAATATCAATATCGACAGTCGTAAAATATGATAAAGATAACAATGGATGCCGAAAAACACCGCTTATTCTTTCTTCTTTGTTCTTCTATTCTTTCTTTGGTTTCTCTAATCACCCAATCACAAACTGTTGTGAGATAGCAAGCGCACAGCAGGCATCAGTTGTGTAAAGAGCAAGAGCAGATAATAGTGCAAGCGGATAGCTTAACCTTGAAGCTAACAATGGCTATTTCTTTGTTTTGCTTGATTTATTTTTTGTCAAATAAACGGTGGTGTTTCAAAGACAATAATGGGGGAACCTATAGCATAAAAAAAACTGTCTGAAATATTTAATTATACTCTGTATTTCAACATATTAGATTGAAGGAAAACTATTTATAAAAATGTTGTTGGTATTTTTGAGGTTATGTAACATAGATTTACATAGGTAATATGCAACAATTCACCCATAGAAGCAGCCGTCAACTAAACTGACATGAATTTTTACTGATGATTTTATGTATTTTCCCAGTGGCAAGAACTAGAATATTTAATTTTTGAACTAGTTACCTTAAGCCTTTGTTCTTGCAGGTATGAAGTTATAGTTCTATACCTGCAAGAACAAAGGCTTAAGGCAACTAGTTCAAAAATTAAATTTTTTACTGTTATGGCCGGAAACTAAACACTCAAGTTGAATCCTGTTGAAGGTCATTTGCCCCTGACGATATGACTTGTCCCCCTGAGACCGGGCCGGACCATCCGGCGGCCGATCCAACCGAAGCCGAACTAGAGGGAGTGTATCTATCTGGTTTCATTTTGAAATATTGTTTTGTAAATACTTATTCCATATTTTGCTTAGTATTTTTTTTTTCAAAACCACCAAAACATCAAGGATATATTTGTTTTGAATGTATGAATTTGCCAAACCGTGAAAATTACATTTCGCAAAAATTATTTCATTAATTTTAATGATTTTTTTTATTAATTCATATATTATAGAATAGATATGAATAGTATGCTTTCTGTAAAGGGGTTTTAGCAGTAAAAGGTATACAATTTAACAATTTCCTGTAACTTATTTTATAGTATTTGAATCGTGAGTTGTTTATACAAATTTTGTGAACTTGAAAATGAAAATGTATAGTAGTGTGTTCTTTTAATTTATGTTAAACAAAGTTAATATTTAGCACAATTTTTGTTTTTAACTCAGTTTTTCATTCATCTTTCAGTGTGTATAATAGGAAATGACAAAATTTAGTGGTCAGTTAATTAATAGTAAATTTGATTACTAAGGTCTAAAGCTGCCTTTTTTACACATGTACACTTAAATTTAACGACCAAAGCTATGCTGAAGTCAGAAAATGAGCAAGAACCAAAAATACACTTTTGGCCCAAAAGATTTCCTTAGAAAATTACAACAACGCAATAATTTTAATACCGGGTCCATTATGTAAACTAAAATTGTGTTACATTGGTATTAACATTAACTGAAAGATGAACATAACAGAGTATATAATAAGTATAATTTACTGTTTCTATTTGTGCTTAAAATTGTGTTACCTGTGCAATACTAAAGATTTTGTTAGTTCTTTTTAGTTATTCTAGTCAAAATAGATTACTGTTGTACATTTTTTGTATTGTCTCTCTATTAGTAAAATAATCAAAAAAAGTAATTCAGTGTTTAATCATCCTCGAACAATTTTCATTATAGCGTCAAGTACTAAAATCTTACCGTTAATATCTGACAAATAAACTGCTTATTTACCTAAAACATATGGGATATGGCAGTGAATCTATCCACAAGTATGACGTCATGGATCCTGCTGCATGGCCTTTTTTTCTAGTGGGGTCCTGCTGCAGCCCACTGGCAATAATGGCACTTGGTTTAGAATCATCACATTTTGATTTTGGTTATAGCAATATAACAGCAACCCTCTCAAGCAATATGACCACTTTGCTAGCCAAACAAGCGAATGGAAAAACTATCCCTTATGAAAAAGTTTATATATGGCCATATAAATTTTTTTTTATCTGGTTATATTTGGTTTTGGACCAAATATAACCAGATATGATCATATATGGAATCCCCCATATATGGAAATTTTTTAATAAAAAATATAGGGTAAGCGGGGGGAATTGGGTGGGCGGGGTAATTGGGTGGTAAAATTTTTAACAATTTTTATATTTTTTATTTATTGATATTTTAACATTTAAATGACATGTATGGACAGCCAATCTCTTCAAGAATAAGCCATAACCTTTTCAGATTTGTACCTTTAAACATTTAAAGGAGGGAAATAGTTTTAGGGACCCTTGTCATTTCGCGATTCTAAAAGTGGTATGCAAACTTTTTCAATCTTTCATATAAAATGCATTAAAATTTTCATACATGTGAAATTACATTATTTTTCACCATAAAATGAATACAAATATACCAAAGAACATGCCCAATACTTATTTTCATAATAAAACTACTTCTAATTTTTTCTTTTTTTTTTCAAAAATGTTACCACCCAATTACCCCCTTATGGGAAATTGGGTGGTAAATTTTAAAACTGAGCTAATACTGTTTCCTTGGCTTAATTTAATTAAAAAAGGCAATAATAATAATATTTTGTGAATATAATTCACACTAGAGTTTTTGTTTTGGTATTTCACCACTACCACCCAATTACCCCTATACCAATACCATTAGCCCTATACCACCCAATACCCGTGAGTTCACGGCACATTGGACTGAACCCAGAAGACCTAAAAAAGTCACAAAATTGTATTATAGTTACTTAAATAGGCATAGAGACTGCAGTAGCGACTGAGCTGAGCTGATGTAGTAAACTAGTGCATTAGGCCTACATTAGTTTATACAGCCTCCCTTGTTTTATATAGTGCGAAGGACTGGAAAATCGTGCCTCATTTTCTAAAGTTTTGAGACCATATTACATAATTTAAACCTTATTAGAGAAAAATTTGTCCCTATTTTCCTGTTAATATTATTAATGAACTCTTTATATTATGAATTTAAAAACTGTAGGCCATAATATTTAATTGTGGTTAAAGATTTGTTTTCATGTGCGTAGTTTAGGAAAAATATGTTTGTCACCACAAAATTTATGGTAAATTTTTTTTTTTTTATTAAACCTAGTCAAAAATGTTGCTTTTAGTTTCCTTTATAACACCCAATTTCCCAACTTTAAATAGCATATAGTGTTTATGGATTGTTGACCTACCACCCAATTACCCCCATGGGGGTAATTGGGTGGTAAAACACATTTTAATTTTTTTAATTTTTTTTGGGAACTGCAGGAAAAAAATAAAACATGAAAAAGATAGCTTTTTGTATTATAAAATTACTTAAGTAGGCATTTAACAACAAAAATAGGAAAAGTGGCCTAACCAGATACATTAGTAAAACATACCTCCCAATTCCCCCCGCTTACCCTATAAATAAATAAAAAAATTACAATTAAACATATTTTCACATTAAATCTTATAAACTATGCATTAAAACCATAATAAAAATTTTTAATTTGAAAATTTCAAAACAAAATTTTCAAGTAGCCGACTGGGATTCGAACCCGGGACTCCAGCATGGGAGTCTACCCCTTTGACCACTACACCACAACCGATTCATATCAGATGTCTTTACAAAACCCATTACGAATAAGAGAAGCTGTATTTGGTCTCGTAAAACAAGATTTTAGACATTTTATGTCATTTGAAGAATTTTATTATTAATATAGCCTAACTACGTGACATAGATATTTGCAGCTGTTTGATAGCAAAGGTACAATAAATTAATTATTAATATAATATTCTCTTTATTTAGGCCTACTACACTTACAATTTTAAAATTATACGTCAGTTTTAAGATTTTGTTGCGTTATAATAAAATTGTACAATAGATGTATGTACAGGATTTTGTCATCTGGGTTCAAATCTGGATACTTTATTACTTTACTACTAATTACTTTAAATGAGAAATGCCTATATTATCTGCCCCCCACTGTACCACATTTCAACTCAATCAGTTCAGTAGTTTGTGCTTCCGAGAGCAACAAGAAAATACACAAACTCACAAACTTTAAGATTTATAGTATTATATATATTATAAGAAGTGTTTGGGAGTCCAGTTACAAAATCCAAATGTGGCAACTATTCCTTATAATAATTCCAGTTATTGTCAAAAACTCATTTATACATGAGCATAAATGGAAAATTATTATTCCGTATATGAGTAATTTAATTCCATACCTGGGAGTCATATATGGCCATATAAAGACCATGATTCCATATATGGAGGATATTTATGGCCATATATGGGCAATAATTTCATATATAGAAAACATGTATGGCCATATATGGACAATAATTTCATATATAGAAAACATGTATGGCCATATATGGCCAATAATTCCATATATAGACTACATATATGACCATATATGGACACCACCATATATGGATACAACCACATCTGGCCATATCTGCTTCCATATATGTCCATAAAAAACCATATATGGCTTTATGAAACCATATATGGAATTTTGATATGGCCATATATGGCCAGAAATTACTTTTTTATAGGGGATGGCTTAATATAATAGCAAGTTGTTGATTATATAAACTACTAGCTGGCCCGACAGACGTCGTCCTGCCCTATTGTGGTTTTATGTCACATGCTCGTTCATTTTCAAGATGAGCTCGTTCGCATGGCTCAATCACGTCCTGGTTGAAGTTCGTTCGCTACGCTCACTCACCTTTCGGTTGGAGCTCGTTCGCTGCGCTCACTTGCCTTCAGGTTAGCTCGTTCGCTACGCTAACTCGCCTCCAGGTTGAAGTTCGTTTGCTACGCTCACTCACCTTTTGGTTGCAAATTAGCTGTTCTCATAAATTAAAAATAAATATAGTGCTGCACCCTGTTGGTAAACCTATTAACTTTTTAATGCTATTGAACATCACAGAATCAAATTGTTTAGTTGCACCAGCTGTTAAGATTCTTTAATTCCATTTAAATATGAGTACTCATAAGGTTAACATGGGAAACTCCAGAGCCACTGGGGCGGAGCCCTATTGATGGATCTGCACCAAACTTCACACAAACCATCCTTGAATAATGCTTAATAATTCCTGAAAGTTTCATTACAATCTGTCGAGCGGTTTTGGAGTCCATAAAGGACAAACATACATTGGATTATATATATATAGATTACCTACAACCGTTTTTTAAACTAGCCGTTTCAGTTCAGTTCTTAGAATTGAAAAGATTTACTTAACAATTAAGAGCATTGCTTACTTACTTAACAGCATAGTTTTACTTAACAAAATGAGTAAGGGACCAATGGGGTTCAAGGATTGAGAGAAAAGAAGATTGTAATACTTCGAACTTCAACTAATCAGCAGTTTAGCAATTTAATTGTTAATGATCGGTACCATTAGTTTTAGTGGTTGGTACAATGGTACTTTAATACTTTACAATGAAATGGCTACCATACAAAGTGGTTGCATCACTGTTAGTGGCAATGAGAGGTTATACACAATAACCTCTCTTAGAAGTTATAAATAGTGGTTGTTAGTAATTCAAAAACTGTTGTAGGTAAAGTAGTGTACGCGACTTGCCTAAATAGTCTTTACGTCACACTACAATGTTTTAACGAGCTTCCCACGCAAGGATTTAGTCCAGAAAACAGATGTTTGCCGCCAGCTTAATCAAATGAGGTTTCATTAGGTACTACTATAATTATAAACCATGACACCACCAACAACACCAATCAGCTTATTATATTTTACAATGTGTGTTATAAACAAAAACATAAACATAACCTCTCTTAGAGGTTATGAGTAGTGATTGTTAGTCCTTTAGTCGGTGGGTGAATAAGGATTTATTGTTGTTAAGTTAGCTTAGAGTAGTATGGCGTAAAATAACGTACGTCACTCATTCAAGTGTGTTTACTGGACTCGTATGGTAATCTCGCACTGGACTTTGTCTCGCACGGGAACGACCAAACTCACTCGTTAAACACCTATTTCCAGGTCTAGTAACGTAATATACTATAACGACACTCGAAGTTTTTAAGGCACTTGCTAAGGCTCGTACCTTAAATTTCTACTTGTGTTGCTAACACTATCTTTACATGATCGTTGCGTAACTATTGGAAAACAAATTGTCCAACCATAGATATTACTGTCTACTATTTTTGTTCCCTGTGGACATGTGAATCTCAGTAACCAACACATATGAAATCAGGAGGGTGTTGGATTACTGAAAACCACGTTTATGAAACTCCAATACTGTACAGATATCATCAAGTGACCCATTAGGTATGTCAGCTTCCGATAACAGAATGTGTTGGACTTTGGAAAGAACATGTGCAATTTTCAGTTCTAATTTTGAGAAAAACTGAGGAGTTCAGGTTTGTTGAAAATAAAAAGCTCAGTAACAGTAGTAAAATTTATTCTCTACTAATTACAAAATAAATTAAATATCACGTTAATCACAGTTGTGAAAGACAGGTCCACAATATCCATTGTGTTTTATATTTCGCAATTCTTTCAAGTAGTCATCAGGAAGTCTGCTTTCCTCTGCTCCTTCTATGATAGTGTCCAAGTAGATCTGTAACATTAAAACACTCTTTATTGCATTTACTAACCCCAAAAATTACCAGACCAGTTAGGTATCTAGGGAGGTTTTATTTTGCTGCACCCTCATGAGAATATTAAAATGGTATAATATTACCTGTTTCCGTCTGTGATCCTACATTTGTTGTATAGAACAACCGGTTTCAAGATTATAACCTGATCATCAGGCTCTTGTTATCACTCTTGCGAGATCGTCGAGTTTTACAAACACTCAAAAACACTAACATTTAAATAAATAAACACGAGACATTGACAGACGAAGACGATTAACATAAATTCGGAAACTAGTTCCACACACGACGCGGCACGGGTAGACGTTTTGTCATGAACCCTCATGACACATCTGTCTGAGTCAGGGGTTGTACTGTATATATTCTCATTTTTGTTAGACTATATCTTATCCATTATATTTGATTTTTTAATAATTAATTGTAATAATTGTAATTAATTGTAATAATTAATTTATACTCTAGTTATAATTGACATGCCATCTGTTACATGAGCTATGCTCAAATTTTTAATGTTTTTTATGGCAAATAAAGAGTTTGAGTTTGGGAGTTTGGCCTACAATGGTTATCAATGACTTGAGGACGAAAGGTCGTGCACAAAATGTTGTGCAAATAGCACCAATACCAATAGGTGAGAATGATCTACAAACTATACACCACGAGCAATGCTCGGTCCCCTGGTACTTATATTTAACTGTCACTGCACTGACAGTGTTTCTAATCTATCTTTGAAGACATTTTCTCTCTCCAATCCTAACCATCATTGAACCCAGGCCAACCTACATCCCACAAGTGTGTTGATATCTAACCTTGGAAGGTTGTCTCTCCAGAGGTCTAGACTCGCCAGGACTCAGTGCAGGAGGAAGGTTCACCAGCTGATAGGTTCTGCATTGCACAACTTCACCACTCGGCTTCTCTACTTGTACAATGATTGGTTTGTAAACCCCTACAGATACGCCTTCTTGCCTGTGAAATGTTGACACTTAAATGATTTTGATTAAAATTCATGATGTAGCCCCTGAACTGTTTAATTAGACTTATATGAGGTTCATACCTTTACGCCAACAGTTCAATTGTAGTAAGTAGAACTCGCAAAATATTTCGCCTATTCAGGCATCGTCAGGTGTTCTAGCAAGAATGCTTTGCCTTCATCCATGAGGGGGTCGTCAAAAAACATTTAAATAAATACACATGCATTACGGACAAAAACATTTAACAATTAGAGTAGGCCTACTTAAATTTAAATGTCAAATCCCACTCTATCTTCAATGCCATAATAGCCTTCAACAATAGACAAGAACAGTTTGACCTTTGTAGTACAACTACTGATAACGGAGGAGGGGTCAGTGTTACATAATTCTAGCAAGTTCAGTCTGCCTCCGTACCTCAACCCCATGTTTTTTGGTGGTCGTGTTTTTTGACGACCCCATCATGGATGAAGACAAAGCATTCTTGCTAGGATATCACCTGACGATGCCTGAATACAATTGAACTGTTGACGTAAAGGGATGTACCTCATATTAGTGTAAATGATTTTGGTTTGAATTATACATTTCACCTTCTTTCTATCGCTGTACACTCAAGTCAGGGAGCTGGTTAAGTCTAATGAAGTGTTAAAAATCTCTTCCAGTATTATGTATTATGTTCGGTATTCTGTGGCTCGAGGGAAGTGTTCAGTGTACAGAGATATTTCACCTAATCTCATAGACATAGCTTTTTTAACAGCCTTTTTAGACCGATAAATCAAATAGTCATTTGTAATAGGCAGGACTTGGGTTAGGTTTCCTAAGACATGCCCTTAACTACTAGACTACTGTCACTTCTTTCTCCCATAATATGTTATCGTAGCCTCATTATTAATTTCTCATCATTACCTTTGTTCTAAAAAAAGAGGAAAAAAAATTTTCTCGTCATCTTTATGCATCAATTGAATCTGCCGACAAGTTTTTTAGAACTTGGCGAGGCCAAGCTGTTGTAATTTCTTTAATAATTATATTTGAATTCAAACAACTCAAGCCGTATACAACTTCATGCATGTACAAAAATATAATACACTGTTTTTTCAAAGATGGCAAATTAAAAAAAATAAATAGAGGCTACATATCATACCGTACTGGAATATGTCGGTTTAGTCAGTTAGTTACCTATTAAAAGTCTAAAACTTTTACCGGTCTAAGGTCTTCATGTGGTCACTGTGAATTTCCCATAATGCACCCCAAACATAACTTCCAGCATCAGGAACTACTGTTGCTGCAGCACCATTCCATCGTTTAGACTTGTAGTTAAAGTCCAACCTGTAATCCTGTAATATTAAATTTCTACTTTAGCCTCAACTTACAGTCATGACAATATGATGCTTAATACGTTCACTACCACAATAGTACTAAATTTTTAATTCATATGGACCAGCGATGCACAAATGTGACGGCCGGCTTCTACCCATAGACTGTCATTGCATATATAACTAGCTATCAATACAGATTTTTTAATTCTTTCCTAATATTAAAGCATTAATTTTAATAAATTTCAAAAAAGTTCATTCCCAATTAGGCTACCCCTAATCTCCAATTCCCCCCTTCTACCCTACATGTGGCCTCGGTAGTGAACGTTAAGGTTCCTCTCATGGATATTAGGCCTAAATAAGGAGGAAGCATTGCACACATGATATGGTTTCTGATAGTTTCTTTATTTTGTATTAAGTTACCTAGGTAGGCCTAACTTGTGATTCTTAAGGATATTTTTTAATTTGGGCAAAGATCTGGTCCCAAAGTGTCCAAGCAGAAGGGAGTCCACTTTAGCGGTACCAGTACTCAAATGTTACTAGACTGAACAATATAGAAAAATTGTAGATTAATAAAAAAGTCACAGCCACATCCGGTTGCAATGGTTGCATATTTTAAGAGGAAGGTGGAATTAAATGGATGAGGTTACAGGTTTGTACAATAAAAAAACTTTAAAAAGTTAACTTTATTAACTTACCCACCTTCAGTTTTCCTACTCCAATTCTCACGGCAGATGGATTGTTGATATGAATTCTTTTCATTAATAAATTACTTCCATATGCAAAGTAAAGGAATGTTGCTAGACACATGGCAATCAAACAAGGCCTAACTTTGCAAGAATTCGCAAATTTAAACTTGTCACTTAATCCAAAGATTATGTTTATTTCCTAAATAAATAGTGATAAGGCATTTACAGATAAAATAATGTAGATTTAGCTCTATTCACTTAAACACAACCACTAGACTTGAGTATTGAGTCAACAACTATCAAGTTATCCAAGGTCTTCAGTGGCATTCACAGCTATCATCACATATTTTAAAAACAAATTAGGAACGATGTCCGACTTAATCTAAACAGGAACAAGGAACTATAAACTATAAAGATAATAAGCTAATATTATAAACGGCTAACGCATCATCTTGACATAACACGACTTTTATAGGTTACGTTACAGTGCAGTTAAAGTTACATACATAAATATCGATTATCGAATTCCGGTGGGGCACACGGGAGGGACTAAGGCTAACATATCTTGTAGTGTCAGCGTTCGCCGCTAGAACTGCTAAGTTGAAATAATTTAAATTATTTTTTTTTTTAGTTATTAAATTAACTTTTTAATTATAAAATATTGTTTTAAAATTATAAAATAAATTTTTAATTTTTAAAATTAAACTGTCATAACATAACCTAACCAACCAGACTTGCTGATAATATAAAAACTATATAAGATAAAAATCTAATTAATAATTACTTATAATTTTTAATTAATTATAAAATTAATTTTAAAATTTAGTATTATAAAATTAAACTGTCATAACCTAACCTAACCAACCAAACTTGCTGATATGAAAAATTTGTTGACAAAAAGTCAGTGGGACCAGCGGGATTCGAACCCGGGACCTCCTGCACACCAATCCGGAACGCTACCAACTATGCCACGAACGCCGCTGAAATCACATCGTTTCGTAACGGTAATCGTGTCGCCTCAAGAGAAGACATTACCCACTAGAGATATGACGTCACTACACCTTTAGCCTTAGTCCCTTCCGTGTGCCCATTCCATCGACTTCTTATTCGAATTCGAATTCTTATTATATTGACAGCTTCTTAGCTGTCAAATTAATCAGCTGCTCAGCACTGTCAGCTGGCGGAGGCAGGTGGACACTAAGCGTAGACCAGAACCTTTTTAAGCATGCATACAACCCGAGCCATTGATTATGTATGGATTGTATACAGCTAATACACGGCCACCTTTAACTCCGCTAATATCGTCAGAATATTGGGCAATTAATTTCCTATAAATCCTCCATATTAAAGTACTAAGCACTAAGGGATAGCTAGTTGAGGCTTTTTAATATGTATTGGCTATGTAAAGTTAATTTGTTGTATATAAATTAAAATATATTTTAAAAATTTAAATCTTATTACACATTGTAGTCTGCTGTAGAACAAAGAATAATATGACTTGAAATTTTGCAAGCTTGTTAAACCTAATTATAATTATTGTTATATAGGTGGTTTCTTATAATGGTAATAGCAAATTTTATGGCAGTTAAAGATACTAGGTGGCGTTCGCAGAGGCATCAACAAAATTGAGCGGAATCATCAAGAGTTCATATTATATTGCTTTTGTCATACTGCAGTAAAAACAGTAGTTTTTAATGCATGCGTTGCGGGTTTAAAGTAGCATTACTCTTTAGGGAGTAACAATCGTTTTTAGCCTCTATGGAGTAAAAATCAGCTGTTGTCAACTCAGTTGTAAATTTATATTGTAAACGATAAACGATTGCATGTATCGAAATATGTATCGATTCGTGCTTCGTAATCGTAATCATTTCTCATCTGCATGCATCTCTCATCATCTCTTGTTTGAGCTTGTTGACTGTTGAGAAGGATTGTGTTTGTTTTGTTTGTGTGTGTGACGGTGACGACGACGACGTCACTCTTGTTGTTATTGTCTGTTGAAGTTTGAAGTTAACCTGTTAAATAAAATAGTTAACCTGTTTTCTTCAATTCTTGTGGTTTGACGAGGAGATAGGCTACTCTAAAAAAATGATGGATGTGAGTAAACTTATATACCTTTCTCAGTACTCTTTACTTATTATTGAACTGATTAGGCTATAAGTTACTCTCTAACACCAAACAGTCTTGTGGTAGGCCAACCTAACTTGTTTGACTTCAAATTATTTGTTTCGCATTCAATCAAAGTGGTAGATTTCAGAAGCTTGCCAAATCCTAACTAGCATATAGCATATAACTTTAACTCAATTCATTGCTAAACAATTAAGTTACTAAGTATTTCATAAGTGATAGTGATTTATGTTTAACCTCATATATTTGTCTGATTTATTGAGCATTTTGGGCAATTTAATTCAGTAAATACAGTCTAATGGAGTACTGTCAATAGAAGGTTCCGCGATGTGCTGGTAGAGGATACTCGGTGTTCGATTCGCTGCTGTTGTCGGCACTCCAAGCGGTGGACGCCAGAGCATATGCTTACCGCAGCACTGCTGTCTGTCTATATTTAGGCTACCGGTAATTCTTTTTGTCTAACTTATGCCCAAGGTCACCTCGGATTTGGGGTGACATTGGGTGGCCATGGCTTTACACTAAGTTAACACTAATTTCTCATTATGCTTAGTAAGGGGTGATTTGGGTGGTATTTTCTGAAAGCCCAGAGGTTTTTACTTGTTTTGAGTAAGTTATGACCAATTGTTAGATTACAAGGCAAAAATATGGTTCAGATTACACTAACCAAATCTCTAAAATATGGGTCTCTTAGATGCCATTGGCTGTATAGGCTATTAAGTTAATTAGTACAGCCCTGTCTTAGGGCCCCGTTTATGCACAAAAAGCGGGAGCGGGGCGATAGCGGGCCCGCTCCCGCTGTAAAAATTTTGTCAAAATTGTGTAAGCGATAGTGATAGCTGTTGGTCAACGGAGAATGGAAGGGGGACACAGTCTTGCCAACTCAAACTCTGCCAAATAATTAACACAACTATTTGTCCTAAGTGCACGTGCGCGTGGGTCAGGTTGGCAACCCTGGCTGCAGCCGCTCCCGCTCCCGCCGTGCATAAACAGTCCCATTTGACTCAATGTAGTTGAAAACCGCTCTATTCCAAGCAACCGCTGCGATTTCTAACTACACAGCGGGCGAATTAGAAACCGCAGCGGGAGGTCAACCGCTACCGCTATCGCTCTGCGTGCATAAACAGCCCCATTTAACTCAATGGTGTTAGAAATTGCTACCGCTCCCACTCTTGGTGCATAAACGGGGCCTTAGGAACATACCGGCCTTAGACAGTAACAAGACTACAAGATCGCGCCACTCATCTCCATTCATACTTAGCTTAAAAAACCTACCGTTCTATGGTTGCCATTTCAGTTAAAAGTAAAAGTGTTAAAGTAAAGTTAAAGAGCCTAGGCATAAGCCTAACTAAGGTGAAATGTATTCAATAGAGCTAGGAAGGGTGTATAGTCCTATTGCCAATTCCCAAAGTAAGGTTAATATATGAAGAGCATTAATAAGGCAAGTAGTAAATAATAATAATAAACGTTAAAGCTCTGTTTTTTGAGGATATGCCAGTGGGAGTTTCAGTTTCACCAAAAACGACCTCTCTTAGTTTACTTTTAGAATATGAATAAATTGATGATAGGTACCATTTATTTATATTTCCGTTTGTTGTAGGCTATGCTTTTATGATAACGTTAAATGTTCCCTTCAAGAGTTTAATGTAGAGTTAAAGCGTGTTAACACCAAAGTTGACAATAAAAGCTGCAACCAAAAGTTTACTTCTAAAGGCACGTTTACACCAAAGTTGACAACCAAGGTTTACAACTAAATGTTTACAACTAAATTTTGCTCTTAAAATTTTGAGCAACTAACTTACCGGTAGTTGAAGATTTTTTGTGGAAGACCACAAGTTGCTCCTCTCTAATTAAGTGCATATTTAGAGCAACTAGTGGAAAACTGGTTGCCAAAGAATTGGTGCGAAACGGTCAGTAGTATCGTCAAGGATGTTGGATGGAGAAGACACAATCTATGTGGCTGCATGTGTCATAATAGCCAGCCACTATAGCCTACAAGAGAGTAGCCAGTAGTGATTTTAAATATTTCATTTCAATTAATCGGACATAAAGTCAAGAAACGTGACACAAACTACAGGTTAGCCATAGCCGTCCAAGAAAAGCTAGTAGTTACACTACGTTTTTTGGCTACTGGCGATTTGTATAAAAGTCTTGAATATTTGTTTAAAATCGTGCATGGAGGGGGAATACTTCTCCACTAGTACCGTATTCTACAAGTTGCAAAAATAAAAAGCAACTAATTGCCGCAACTAGTGGAAAAGCTAGTGGAAGACTTTGGTGTAAACACGGCTTAGTTATATCTGAGATATCTTTATAAACAATGGAGGTCTGATATAGCCTGTAAATTTTATTTTATATTGCTCTGTTTCAGCACATTTACCCACCACAAACAAAAATATTAAAAATTAATGGTTCAACTTTGAACAACCATACAGCAGAATTGCGATTAAAATGCAAAGATAAAGAAGAATTTTTGGTCTGGTTGAAAGAACATGAAGCTCTATCTGGCGTCATATTCAGGGTGCTGTCAGGAAAAAAGGTTAACGGAAAAACTGTAGTGTACAAAGTAAGTACCAAAATAACCCTGTTTGGTTTTACTATTAAAATAAAAATATAGGCCTAATCCCTGAATGTTATGAGTGGAAGTGGTGTTGGTAATAGATCTTGTAAATAAAAAAATAAAAAAACAAAATAAAAAATAAATCAAGAATAACATTTTTTCCAAAATCGCTTTGTTTATCCGCCATTTTTTTTTTTTAAATTAACATTTTATCTTTTTTATATTTTTAACCGATCTTTATGCAGCTTGGTATATGTATGTTAAGGTAGAAGAGACCAGTGTTAGAAAAAAAGTTCATCTTGATTCAACCTAAAATTTCGAAAAGGCGGCCATTAAAAATTTTTAAACTTAACCCTTCAAGTGTCATGCGTCGCTGCAGCGACGCGTACCACACTTTGTGTAGTGTCATGCGTCGCTGCAGCGACTCACGAACACTGTTTACGGCAAAGGCTCTATGACTGACTGAATCGGATTGAACTGGATCGAGTTAGGTATCGTTCTTTTCGTTAAATTATAAGCTTTCTCCAGAGGTCTGTCTCAGCGCTGTATGTTCTCCGAGCCGATCGTAATTGTAGCAGACAGCTGACGTGCGTATTCGTAAACAGCTTGGTTATCCTCGGACCGATGACTGATGTGTTTTATTACGTTTATCATTGTTTTAGTGTTAAAAATCAAAAGTAGTGATATACGTGGTGCATTATAAGAAGATTTAAGTGATTTTGAAGGGCTGGTTGATGATCCTGAAGAAGTAGGTAGTGATATTGATGTAAATTATCAGCCAGATTCCTAGCTATGGTTAGGCTATGCATTCTTAGCTAAACGCAATGGGTCGCCGGATTTCTACCCCCGGATATTTACCCCCATGAAAAAACGCCTACGTCATTTTGACGTCACGAGGGGCGGGGCTTATACACGTTCGAGAAACAGCCCGCGACTGGAAATCTACCCCCGGACATCTACCCCCAGACATCTACCCCCGGACATCTACCCCCGGAAATCTACCCCCAGTGGTCAGCTCTGCCACGTATCGGCCAATATTCATTGTTGTAATTGATTTTATTAATTATTTTATGTAAATCAACGTCTCTTCGGTTAATCATTACCCTCTAATATCTAGTATTAAGCATGTGATATGTCATTGCCTTGTTTAACATTATCTATCTTCCTAATAAAATAAGTTGTAACAGCCCTTTTTCACCCGAACTACTTCACTGATATTTATGATTAAGGTCTAATTTTAAATCTTAAGATCCAGCTCAACGCAAAATGGTATTTAAAACCATATGTTGATAAAGGGCTTCAAAAGTGTGACCCTTAAGCATTTGATTCATTTCCAGACAGTGATTTAAATGGTTGACAAACTTTCACATACAGTAACAGCTAACGGCGCATGCACGAGCGCGGATCGGAAGTGTTTATCACAAAAGATTGACCAATACGATTTTAATACTATTTAAAGGTTCTTCCAAAAGAAGAGAAACCGGTTAACATTGTAATAATAACTCTTATGACGTACGGTATGGGAAATATTTTATTCATTGAATGATCAACCATATTTTGTAACTAACGCAATAGTCATTATTGCTTTTACACTTATTACTCATCAAAAAAGCTAAAGAGCTAAATGCTCAAAATTTGTATTACTTCAATCTATTTATCGCAGTTATATGAATTAGCATAAGCCTTGAAAGTAACCGTCAGTATCGACGGGTTTAACCTAATTATGTTCTGTATACTACCTTAAAATGCCTCATTTTAACATTTTACTGGCAGGAAACCTGCTTATTCACTTCCTATATGGTATTCTTATGAATGAATCTTTTGAAAACTTATTTATGGACATAAGTTGACAAGTTTTGTTTTAAGGCAGGATTTTCCAATAAGACTTTATACATGCTCTGAATATGCGAATGTGCTGCAATGGGGGTATTTAGGCGTATATATATATTAAAAGATGTTAGGCTATGCTTAAAAATTGAATGTGGCCATTATTTTGAATTTGAATGATTGTCTTATTTTAGGTCTTTAAGAGAAAATACTTTAAAATCCTTTCTTAGTACGCATCTAAAATCTTAGAAACTACTAGGTGATATGAAAGATTTACGATTATACACCTGACTTTTTATCGATCCTCTTTCTCAATTTAACAGTTTACAACTGAATTGTCTTATTTTAGGTATTTAAGAGAAAATACTTTAAATCCTTTCTTAGTACGCATTTAAATCCTAGAAACTAATTTTTTTTTACTAGGTGATATGAAAAATTTACCATTATACACCTGACTTTTATTGATCCTCTTTCTCAATTTAACAGTTTACAACTGAGTTTTGGTTTACTAAACAATTATTCCTACTAGGCCTACATTGAATAAACCGGAAGTTCACCACAGTTTATTCACTTTATCCTTTAAGAAATGTGTGTAAAAACAATGGTTCAGTACGATGTAACACTTGACTATGTGAAAAGTGCGCAATATTATAATATTTTCATAACTTTTTCATCTCCTGTTTACAGTTGCAGACGATCATTCATGTTTTCACAACCTGACTTAAAAATTGATCTGATGAGTACTCCTCACATTTCACTTTTAAACTGTTACTGTATAGAGTAAAAGTTGGTCAACCATTGGAAGCACCTTCTAGGAATAAATCAAAGGCTTAGGGGTCAACCTTTTTAAGCTATAATCGAAATATCCTTTTAATTACCATTTTGTGCTGCGCTAGATCTTAAGCTTTTAAAATACACCTCAATCGTAAAAATCAGTGAAGTAGGTCGGGTTGAAAAGGACTGTTACAACTTATTGAATTATAAATATGGATAATGTTAAAACAGACATCGACATATCGCATGTTTACTACTGGATATAAGAAGGTAAAGCAATTTATAAAATCAATTATACAACACAATGAATATTGGCAATGATACGTGGCGGAGCTGACCACTGGGGGTAGATTTCCGGGGGTAGATGTCCGGGGGTAGATGTCTGGGGGTAGATGTCCGGGGGTAGATGTCCGGGGGTAGATTTCCAGTCGCGGGCTGTTTCTCGAACGTGTATAAGCCCCGCCCCTCGTGACGTCAAAATGACGTAGGCGTTTTTTCATGGGGGTAAATATCCGGGGGTAGAAATCCGCTACCCCAACGCAATGTACTGAAATCTGTTTTTCACTCATAACTTATTTATTTGATAACTTACCTCACTATATGATTATATATTTGTAATCCTCATAAAATTTAGAACAAAGTGGCTATTTTCAAATATTTATAGGCCTATAATTTATATACAATTTCATTGAGCGCAAACTTATTTTTTTTTTTTAATTTTACAAAATATTTTTTTTTACCTAAAAAAATTTTTTTAAACAAATGTTCCTTATGTTTTATATATAATATTGAAGCCCATGATTTTCCAAACAAAATGGTATATAGAACAGTATAATTAACATTGTTTTTAAGCTTCTCAGATCTGTTTTAATTAAACCTTGCAAATGAGCTAAAAATAGGCAGACATTAAGGCCAAAACAAGGGACACTCGGAGGGTTAAATTACTTGAAAATGGCTGGTTTTATGAAAAAAAAGATGGAATAAGAAATATTAATATATACGTAATATGAAATATTACGATTTTTAGTTGTATAATGGGGCAAACCTGACTAGCTTCTGCCTTGTTCTACCCCATTTTACAACTAAAAATCTTAATATTTCAGCTATTTCTTATTCAATCTTTTTGAACTTGGTATCGTTTGAAAGATAATTAAAAATGATAAATGAAAGTGTTCTCAAAATTTTTTCATTGGGGTATTTTTTAGGCCAAGGAGTATATTGTTTTCTGAGTTTTAACCTTTAAAATTTATTGAACATGATTTTGGTTCTCTTTTAGGCGATGTACCGCTGTCAGCACAACACGATGCCCTGGCAACACAACACGAAGAAACCGTCGGAAAAACACACAAACTGTGAATCGAAATTGAAGGTCACGATTAAATCCTCACCAAAGGACCGCCGAGTGAGGTAATAACAAACATAGCCTAGTATAAACACATTTCAACAAGGGGAAATTTGGAGGGGAGGTTGCTGGTAGTAAAGAGTAAAGTTGACAAATATGGGAGCATCAGTGTCCACAAATTAAAAGTATTTTAATGTAGCAGTGTAATAACGAACCAGAATGTTTGTATAAGGCATCATAGGTAGAGTTAGTTTAGACTTTGTTATTGATATTGAAACACATGTTAAAATTTGGTCTGTATTTAAAATCTTTAAATAGTTAACATGCTCAACAACAGAATGCAGCATAACCAATTTTGATTAAACAGGGCATTAACACCCTACAGGTTATCCCGTACTTAGTTAATACTCTACTTTATTTAAAAATAAGCTTACATACCTAACACTAAAAGATTTAAGTAGATTTACAAGCATACATAACAAGATTAAGAAAGATTTTTGAAAAATTAACTACAGTTTTAGACTACTATATTCAATGCTTAAAAAATTGTTCAGAACATATTTAGGTACAAGAATGGTAGCTATGAAAGTCATATCTAATAATTTCTAACGTATTGTGTTACTTTTAGGTCAAAAGACGAGTTCCGGAAAGAATTTCCCACATGTGTTACCATAACACATAAACACAACCATGCAATAAATGAAGCTGAGGCCTTAAAGTTCAAAGACCCCAGAGAAGATATAAAAGACAAGTTCCTGGATTTATTTAAGAGCCACCATACACCTTCTAGAGCTCTTTATCTGCACAAACAGGATCTTCAAGAAGAGTATGAAGATGATTATTTTAAAGTTGCAGAAGACAGATCAATCTGTCCAGATTTGCAGTGGGTGTATCGATTACATAGAAAGTTTAAAGAAGAATTTGTAAATGAAAAACTTGACTTGAAGGAAACACAACAGGATGTTCAAGGTAAAGAAGAATTTGTAAATGAAAAAGTTGACTTGAAGGAAACACAACAGGATGTTCAAGGTCCTGCTTTAGTTACTCCATCCAAAGAAAATCAAGCACTTTCTGAAGTTGAAAATAAAGTTGAAGATATTTGTAAGATTTTAAAACTGCGTGCTGCATCAAACCCTGTACAGTTTGCTAATGCCCTAACATCATTCCATTCTTCCTTATCAGGAATGAAAAATGAAGCAACATTATTGTCTGCACTGCACAGATTTGGAAAGAACGATTTCTTACCATTAAAATCCAAACAGTACACTACCACAATTCCAATACAGCCTACTGAAATTTCAAGGAAGATGGCTGCAATCAAAGGTGAGGCTAATTACACTACTTGGTATTGAAGTCAGTATCAAAGCTAGGTACACAAGTCATCAAAAACCATGCTACGCTCACCATTCATTCTCCTTCAAGTAGTAAATGTCCTAAATAACAAGTATATTAAACTTTTTTGGTAGGGAAAACATTTGCAGGGTTGACACAAAAAGAGTTTCCCATATAGGAATAAGCTATTACCGTAGGTCTCATGGTAAGACCTGGACCCCGTTTTGAGGTCCCCAGAGGTCAAAAACACCATCTGTTCAAACTCATATTATATAGTTTGCCAAAAGGAATGAAAAGGGAAATCCCGTCTCAAAATGTTATGAGAAATTAAAAAATCCTGTCTCGTCTCATCTCAAACTGAAAATCCAATCTTGCTATCCCTACAAATGATCAAAAGTTTGTTGCGTTTTGGTCGCGGTAAGATTCTACCTGTATTTCTTTTAGAAAATATATATGTCTCCAAACAAGATCTAAACAATTTGTCGCATTATTTAAAATTTAACTTGTCTTATTTTAAAAGAAAAAAGATAGTTTTAGTGTTGCACCAAACCATTTAGTTTTAACAATAAGTACATTCAGTGTCAGTGTTTAGAATAGTGTACCAAACATTCTCCCTACCTTATTACCTCCTCCTTGGCTTGATACCAACATAAGCTGGATATTCTGCGTCAAGAATATTTACAATAAAAATAAAACTAATATTTACAATATATACAGACTTCCATTTAATTTTGGATATTTATATGGTCTTTAAAGACTTAGAAAAACTTAAATAAACTTCATGGCGGTGAATTTTAAAGGCCTGTGAGGTTGTTCTCAAAGAACTCCTTGAGTGTGTAATATGGCCTAGCTCAACCAACACTTCAACCTGGCTTGTGATCTTTAAAAATCTTAATAAACCTCATCAAACCAACTATTTTTACTGGCTTCCACTGCACACTGCTGTTATCAAAGAAATATAATCAGTTGATAATAGTAAAGGGTGACCACTTTTGTGTAACCCTTTTCTTAGAGATGTAATTTTTTTCATTACAATTTTTGTTTGTTTTGGTAGTTATTTTGCCTACATAAAATGTTTTTCATTTCAGTAAGAAGATGCATACTAAGTGGAAGAACTGCCAAATTGACTTTCATACCTGAACATGGGTATTCAAAAATGGAGAAAAGTTGACATTTAAAAGCCACCAATTCTTAAATTCTCTGCAAGAATGTGTAGAGAGGAATCGTTCGCCCTAAAAAAAAAACAAAAAAAAAACACCAAGTACTGTATATTTAACCATATTAAAACTGTTTTAATAATAAATTTGTCTTTGTACAAGAGTGTTTTTTTTTCAGCTTACCTTACTTATTGTGTATCGACCCTTAAGCCTGTGGGTGATAAATTAAACATTACATTAATGAACTACTTTGAACAAACATTTCAGTGATTAATCAAAATGCATTGATGTCCATGTTGATATATTATGGATACAATTATCTATATATTTAATACATTTAGTTAAATTAAGACATATGCCATGTAGCCTATTTAATGGGCTTTGAAATGGTGAGGAAATCGACCAAAGTGGAAGGTGATATTCTGATAGAGAATAAAATTTCCTACAAATTACTATTATGTATGTATTTCGGGCAAATACTCAATAAAGGCAGCCTAAAGTTGGCTGCAAATATAAACTTGGAAAAATGTGTTTTAAATGTAATATTGTTTATTTTTATTGTTTTACCTCAAATATATAATAAAATCAAACTTTCATAATTATTTGCAAATCTAAAGAAATTAGGCTTTCCAACGACCCATTAAGTAACATAATTGGTCCGGTAGAAGTCTAGATTTATTTGTACAAAGTTTAACAAAAGTATCTCTTAATTCAGTATTTTCTCACCACTATAAATTTGGAGATCACTTAGACTATTGCCAATAACTTTTAAATGGAGGAGAAATCGACCAAAGTGGATGTTTATTCTGAAAAAGAATAAAATTTACTACAAATAACTATTATGCATTCTTGAATAAAGGCAGCCAAAAGCTGGCTACAAATAGAAACTTGAATACAGAAACTTGAAAAAAATAGTTTATATTTTTGTTATTTTTACCACAAATATTTAATAAAATCACACTCATTGTACCATATTATTTTGTTTGTCTGTATAATTTTCCAATCTTTTATTTAGCGAACAATTACCACGAATGACCATGTTACATATATGAAGGAAACCTGTAGGGACAAGTTAAGGAGTGATGAGTCAGTTGTTGACATAATAATTCAAAAATGTAATGTGGTGGGGGGGTAAACCCTTCAACTGCTGAGACAGAGAGACCAGTTCTCATTCCTATGGCGGCTCCCTGTTTAAACGGTCAGCAAAACTCTTCCCTCACATGATAAGGTACTGTAATATTTTTATTAAAGTAGAATCTATAATATTAAAACGAAAGTGTGTTTTTTTATTTCACGATTCTGAATCAACCACTCGACGGATTTTCATGACTTTTGTGTTGAAAGAAAGATAATTTTGAGAACTAGGGAATGTCGAAGCCATAATTTTAGTTTAGGGTCCCAGTTTTTTAGAAATTGTGTTTTAATTTTTAAAAAGTCTAGCAGCCGACGCTAAGATTTTAAACTAGCTTTTGGCATAAAATAATTTGTTTAACATAACAGCTGTAAACGGATAGCGCTGGGTTCACAACGATATGGTAATGGTAGGCATTCGGTTAAATATCGAGCTTGTTTTCTACCGGATGACAGACATCGACTTTTAGTATCGGCATCGGCTCTCTGGCTCACCGCACCGGCTGTCTCATACTCATGGTGGAATAGTAATAGTAAACTATTGCCTTGGTGCCTTCTGCTGCAGCTGCTCCTATAGCTCCTATGTCTGTCGTCAAACGTCATAATGTGGCCTTGACGACGGAAGGCCATAATTTTATTCACAATATTACAGTGAGAGTGAATGCAAATAAATAAGTACAACATAATATCTGAACCTGGCATAAAATTTGCCAATGAAAATGTTTATTATCCAATTACAGTAAGGCTGATAACCAGCATGATAAATATATAAGAACTTAAATTACGGAGGAATTTTAAAATTAATATTCCAGTAACTTGCGCAATTAACGCCAGGTAAATTACCACCCCCTTACTTTTAAAAGCGTTTAGGAGTGAAAATTTAAAAACGTACGTTTTCATGTCCCTGGCCTTTTACTTCGTAGATACTTGATTTGTAGTTTATTATTATGTGTTTTAATATTTTTTGGGACGGGGGCAACACGTTACACACATTTATTTGGTTTTAAATAGGTTCTAGGTATTTTTTTCGTATTTTTAAAGTCTCAAAATTCACGACCATGACGTGTCCCTAGGGTACATTTTCCAACTTTCACGCTGTTTTTAGACTAATTATTCATGCCGAAATATATAAAGCCATATTTTTATGTCATCAATGGTTATTAAACTTACAAAAAAGGAGCATATTATAATTTTATTGTCATTGCAAACTGACTACCATGACAAAATAAGTCTGTCCCTCGATTTGGCGTCACGACCATTTGGGAAAAATTTTCAACTTTGGAGCCCGACAGTGGCAAGCCTGGCGTCGATGGAGTCACTGGAGTCAGTTGGTTTGAGAGACTAGTTCGGGGTGTACGTCAGGATTGTAGTGCCGGTCGTTTCGAGTTGAAAGGAGGAATTACAAGATTAATAAAGGAAAGATTGTGTTTTTTGTAATTTTGGTGTGTCCATGACCGTACGTAGTCATTCGATGAAGTAGACATGGTGTTAATTTTTGTTTATAAGATATTTCAATTGCTAGATTAACCTAGAAGTCCACTTTGTATCCTCGAACATGAGGTGCAGGGCTACCGCCAGAACAGAGCCAAATAACACGTAGTTTCACGACCAAAGTTTCACGACCATCGCGGGTTTTTTCACGACCAATCCAGCCTTATGGATTATAGTGTGTTTGGTCGTGACAATAACTTTAATATAATTGTGAATTGAACAGTTTAGTTCAATTGAAACACATATTTTTATTATAACTAACAGTATAATTGAAGGATTGCCTAGAAAGATTTAAATTATCCCAGACAATTCACGACCGTACCGCTTGTCCCTGACCATCACGTTTATGATTTCTATCATAACAATTTCAAAAATTAAAATATCGTCATATTTCAATGTTTTATACACAAAAGAAGCACACCTCTATACAAACATAACGATTTTTCGGGTCTCAGGTAAGTTCTTTCGTAGTTATACAAACTTTAAAAGATTTTATTGGCTTTATTTCAATTTTTTGAGTTTTTTTATTTTTTTCTGGAAAGACCAAATATACTAAAAGCTTAGTGACCTTTTTATTGTATAATGGTCATAAAAGTAAATTAGTTTATAGCAAAACATAGTTATAAAAATAATATTAACCATTTTTAATATTCATTTAAACGTCCGTTATGGTCGTGACAGGATTTTGTGTTTTTCCACTAAAGATGCTCTTTTAAAAAGAAACTACCAAAGATATTGCGTTACCATGGACATTTTATGAAACTTCAAATGTTAACGAAATAAAAATAATAATAAAAGTTTTGAAAAAAGGGGAAAAAAATTTGCAAAGTGCTTTTTCTGAAAACGTACGTTTTTAAATTTTCACTCTTAGATGACCTTTGCATATTTCCTCCATAATAATGCACTATGCACCATGAAACTGATCAAAAGGAACAATGTTGGAATAAATTTAATCAAATATTTTCCTCTCCTTTTAGGCTAGTGCTAGTAGTTTTTGTAATCTCTTGTCTTCTCTCTTCTGTCTGTCGAGTGTCGGTGTTGGTTGGTTTGGTTTTTTTTAACAAAGTTTATTTACAATCTGTTTTACATTAAACAATTAATAATTAAATATGATGACATTTTTATTAATAAAATAAAAATTGGAAAACATGAGTTAGCAGCTAAACTGGTTTGTTTACGTTTTGGTTGGTTGGTTGGCGCTATGGAAGCCAATCGATTTACGATATTCGATAGTAGCTGTTTTCATACTACGACGATCGATACTTAACCGTATGCCTACCATATCGTTGTGAACCCAGCGCTATCCGCTGTAAACATTCAGCTTTTGTGTCACAAATTCGGCATTTGGATAAAAAGGTAAAGACATACTTAGGGTTGACTTATTTATACTATGTGTAATGTTAATCATTGATACTGTTTTTGATAAGTTGATAAAATGAGGTTTTGTTTGAAAGTAATAATTGTAAAATAAACTTAAACATTCACTCACTTCATTTATGTTCTTTATTTACATTGTTTTTCTTGTGATGTATAGAAATGATATTAATGTTCTTATTTGGTTTGCAGGTTCTGTTTAGAGTAATAGTAAAAGATAAATTTTGTTTGGCATTCAACTGTATGATTTTACAAAAAATGTAAATTTAAATGTAATTCTACAGCAAAAACTGTGTTTTGTTATCAAGCCGGGTTTTCCTAGGCGCGGAATCGGCGAGCGGAGAGAGGAACGCGGAGAGCGGGATTGAAATTAACATGGCATTCCGCTCCGCTTCTAGGAAAACAGTAACATTAAATTGCCTAAGACAAGTGGAGTCCGCTCTCCGCGTTCCTCTCTCCGCTCGCCGATTCCGCGCCTAGGAAAACCCGGCTTTTAGGGCTGAAGTCTCCCAGTGGAATGAAGAAAGACAATACCTTTTTAATATCCTATCCTTAATTTCCAAGTATTTAATGGAAATGGGGTTATAAATTGTTTAATATTTTCTTCAATTGTAAAAGGTATAATGAAGTGAAAAGTCTTGTTCTGTAGGATGTTTAGCTTTAGTTTTGATTATCTAATAAATTAATTATTCACTTAGGATGTCATTCAATTTAATTTCCTAAGTCTAAATTTGTACCGGTGGGGTAAAAAAAAAACAATACGGTACATCATAGTTATTTGAAAATCTACATGAGTTGGGCTTTCCAATTACCCATTAATTAACAAAATCGGTCCAGTAGAAGTCTAGATTTAGTTGTAAAAAGTTTTACAAAAATATCCCTAACTCAGTATTTTCTAAACACTAATAAAATGCAGCCAAAGGTCTCACCTAAATAAAAAGTGTGAAAAACACCGTTTTGAATGTATTTCTTATGGAAAACATGTTTTTTTTATTATTTTTTTTTTACCATAAATCATAACAAAAACAAACTTTCATAATTATTTGTAAATCTACACGAATTAAGCTTTCCAACGACCCATTAATAATT